TCTCTCTCTTTCTCTCTCTTTCTCTCTCTTTCTCTCTCTCTCTCTCTCTCTTTCTCTCTCTCTCTCTCTCTCTCTCTCTCTATATATATATATATATAAGTAGTCAACATTTGAAGTTCATGTTCCTTTCATCAAACTTGTCCTAAAACCAAAACAATACCAGTTCTTGTCTTATAGGACAACTTTGATGAACTTTTTTGATCCACTTCAAATGTTGACTACTGTATAGATGGATGGATGGATGGATGGATAAAAAAAGAATGGTATGAAAAAAATGTCTAAAAATAAAAGGAAGAGGAGACTCATTATAGCACTAAGGCTCAAAAAATCATTTTGCTCTGTTCAACTCAGGGCTTCACTTGATAAACTTTGCTGTGAAATCATCTTTGTCTTTTTGAATGCAGTTAATAGACAATAGAGTAACATATTCCAACGTACTGCGCTACTCTCCAGTGACGGACCTGGGGCCAATCCGCCGTGCCATGCCTTTCTCAATACCTGTTGAGTGTCACTTTAACAGGTAAATCTGTCTTTCGATGTACATATCGATATGTGTCGATTGCACTGCAAAAAAAAAGCTTATGTTAGTATTTTTGTCTTGTTTCTAGTCAAAATATCAAAAATTTCTTAAATTAAAATACGTTTACTAGATAAGCAAAATGACATAAGATATTTAGTCGGTTCCAGAGGGGGAAAAAAAATTAAGTGCATTTTGCTTAAAACAAGTAAAATGATCTGCCAGTGGGGTAAGTGACTATTTTACTTGCCTCACTGGCAGACTGCACTTCATTTAGTTTTTTTCCCCTTGAAACAAGACTAAATATCTAATGTCCATCTAACATCCATTTTGCTTATCTAGTAAGAAGAATTTTTAGATATTTTGATTAGAAACGAGACAAAAATATCAAGACAAACCTTTTGTTCAGTGTATGTGTTCCACTTGCAGTACCTTTTTGTCAATTTTGTTTGCCTGTTAATCACCGATTTACTTGTTTAACAATCTAACCCCCATTTTGTTTTTTTTCTCCAGATATCATTACTCGTACAAAATTGGTTACATACCACAAGTCAGATATCAGAACTACTTCAAACCCCTGAGAACTGTGGACAGTGTTGTACTCACACCCCGTGATGGTAAACAAGGTTTGACTAATAAGATGAGTACTCCATTCTATATCAGTCAATGAATCATCACCATCCGGTCTTTTAGAGCTGTGGAGAAGGTTATCGCCCACCGAAGAGTATACCATTGGTCACCCCATGTACTTCCAAGCAGACGGACCCCCTCTTGCTGAAGACGAGAGGCTGTTTGTGGATTCCTGTTATGTGACTATCAGCAGTTCTCATTTGTCCATGCCACAATTTACAGTCATTGAAAACCACGGGTAACACTTTGTTCATTATTCCTTATTGTGCCTACTGTGTCATTTTTGATAAGCAAATTTCTAAGGCCTTCTAATTATCAACATCAAAATTTGGATGGAAAAACTGTTCAGCAATCTACTAACATGCCTTCTGTTGTGTGAATGATAGTTTATACTTTTTTAGCAAGTAAAATGCCTTATAGTGTAATTGTAGCATTTTTAATTGTACACCTTAATCATTACTGTACTGCATTGCATTATGTTTTACTCCCACAATATAAACTACAAAGCTTAATTATATACCAAAGCACTGAAATATCATCTTATTAAGACCTGTTATTGGAGATATAGTCTCGCGTAGCCAGACCTTCAGACTGACGGCTGAAAGTCTGGAATCCATGGCAGGTTTCATTGGCCAAGGCCTGCCCATGAGGCCGTTTGACAGACATGTCAAACAACCAATCACAGTTCGTTTCGTTCAGCATCACGTTTCGGGGCGTGGAAATGTTGCCGCAATAACAGACCAGTGTGTAAAACTCTCGGTCGCATTTTAAAGACTCTATGCCGCAAACTTTAAATATTTCACATACTTTTGAAAACCCAGTGTTTAGTTGATTGTCACAGTTGTAAACACGATGGCTTTCTTCTTTCGTGAGAGGGTTTGGCGTCACGGAATCTTTGTTTCCAGGCGGAACGTTAAAACGCGACACGCGTCTCCCGGAAATCCAATATAATTCAACCAATCCGATGACGACTTCGAAAATCCTGAAGTGTTTCCACTTTTGTGTGCTTTATGCATCAGACGTTCAGCCAATGGTCTCTGGGTGTGATGTCTGAGGCTGAGACTATTGAAGATATAGATTGCCAATTAATATTTATTTGTATTATGTAGGTAGTCTGCTATACTGTTACAAAGATTTTAATGACTTCCATTACAAGCTATCAATTTTATTTTACTTTTTGACCATATAAATAACAGCAGCTGCACCAAAATTTTATATTTTTGCTCAATTTGGGAGTTTGAATAAAAGTGAGGTGTTTTTTCCTTGAAGTATGAGCTGCATATTTTCCTATATTATATACTATATAAGCCTGATGTAACATATGATGTTCATACAAACTTTTTTTATATTTCTTTTAATATTGTCTAAATGTTCAATAAACTATTCCATTAGAAAAAAAAAGAACTTTTCTAATTATTTATTATTTCATGCCAAGCATTACATGTATGCTCTTTTTATTTCAGGTGCATGACTGATAGCAAGAGCAGTACGTGGTCCAAATTCATCCAAAGTGGACAAAGAAATGTTGTGCGGTTCTCCTTGGATGCATTTCTGTTTCATGGGATGTTGGGAGAGGTGATATAATGAGCTAAAATGGCATGCTGATGTAATACAATTTCAGAAAAATGTTGCTTTTTCCAATGAAAGGGTCAGGTTTGTGATTTTTGATGAAAGATTGACTTATCAGTTGAGTCCATTTATTGAGGTTGCCTGTTCATTTTATTCTCAGCATCTTTACATGCATTGTGAAATAGCCGTCGGAAGTTTTAAACCAACATCAAGTGCAAAGTCCTGCACTTACAACCAGTCAACAAAACGGTATATTGAATTTTGGTTGTACTGTGAGTGCTAATTTCAAAACTGAACTAGTATTAATTTGGATAATTTCTTCAGATGGGAAGAGTTATTTGGTTCAAATGATGCATGCCTCTGCTGCGACTCCACATGTCTGTCTTCGGACCTGTCTGGTAAGAAATGTCAAGTGATTTTAGGGCAAAGTATGTTGTTGTTGGAATATATATCTTTTCATAGCACTGCATTGAGAGTAAATACAATAATGCTTGTTAAGCTGTCAGGAAAGTCTTGCCACATCATGGAGGTTTTATAAGATTTTAGTGAACCTGTTCTCTGACTTTAGAATCTCAGATTTACGTCAAGCCCTATTTTATGAATTAATTTACAGTGTCCAGTAAGGTCATCACCAGTGAGCCCTGGATCATGGAGTCTGATTTGGACATTGTCAAGGAAGAGCAAACATCTCCATTCATGACAGAAGGGGTGGGGAAAGGCTTTGTTGAAGTAATAACCACACAGACAGCTGAGATTGGACCTCGTCATTTTGTGCCAGACCTGGGTGTGATGGAGGAAGTTGATAAATTTGTGGAGCCACGCCGAATATTTGAGGAGGTATTTGGATTGGACTAAACAAAAAGGATTAAATAAAGACATTTATGATTTCGAGTTTTCAGTTAAATTGGACTTGATTTGTTAATAAATATATGATGCCATTGTACATGACGTCATTTTTTTTTTGATAACGTATCACTAATATAGTGTGAGTCTGTGAGACAATTGTGCCTTGGAATTTGCTACTGTAAATAGATAACAAAGCACCCAAAAACAACACTACACTGCAAAACACAATGGTTTTTAGTAGTGAAAAAAGGTCCTTTTTAGATGTTTATGTTCTCCAAATTAAGAAAGAAAATGGTTGAGCACAAACATTTTGAAAGGGATATTCTTTGTAGTGAATAGATTTTTGGTAATGTCTATTAAAAAAAAAAGGAAAAAAAAAAGGACAATAATAAAATTCACAGATGCGGTAAGTGAGCTACATGTTTTATTGGTTTGAAATATAATGTTACACTTAGGGGAGTGAAGTTATTTGATTAAAAAAAAGACTGTACAAAGTACATGCTTACAAAGGAATATTACATTTTAAAACAGAGATGAGTATGCATGCTTTTGGGGAATGTCAGAGCAGTCTTTTCGATGTCTTATATGAAACATGCAAGACCTATTTACAATTTAGCCCAGAAGACGTACAGCTTTGTTTGATATGCGCATATATATATATATATACACACACACACACTGTACAAAAAATGCAGTGAGATGGAGAACTGTTTGGAATTGCTACAAAGGATTTGCATTGGATGAGGATTCCTGAAAAGTTACTGTTTTGTTATACTCTGTTCTCGTATGAAATCCAGGGCTTTATAATTAGATTGTTTTAGTAATAAGAGTTCAAATGAGAGTGAGTACTGGGATGTCGTGGGATGGGTGAGCTGGGATACACCACTCCTGTTGCAGAGTTCCAGTAGGTGGTTGGAGGCCCAAAGAAATTCCCAGTCGAAACGGGCATAGGGGTTGAATGAGTGCCCATGAAGTTCATTTTTGGCTGGTGGCTGTGGTAACTTTGCACATATGGCACTTCGGCCTGGTATTTGAGCACGCCCCCTTCTGGAGGATGGTTTTGGTGGGCTTGGGAGATGCCCTGGAAATCGAATTTGTATGCATAGCGTTTGCCATGCACCTTGGTCATGATGTTCTTGTCATAGTAGTAGCGGAGGGCCCGGCTGAGCTTGTCATAGTTCATGTTAGGCTTGCTCTTTCGCTCCCCCCAGCGCTTGGCTACCTCGTCTGGGTCGGTCATCTTGAATTCTCCGTTAGTGCCCTCCCAGGTGATGATGGCGGCATTGTTGCTGTCAGACAGCAGCTCCAACAAGAACTGCCACAGCTGGATCTGACCAGAGCCTGTGTGAAAATAAAGAGTGTCAGAGATTTTTAGCAGCGGATGGAAGGGCTTTTTAGGGCAGGTTGTTTTCTCCAAATGTGACCTTTTTAATGTATGTTGTACACAGAAACAGAATGTGGGTCGGTCAGACACCTACCCACAGTCCTGTCAGTGCTGGTGATGGGCAGGTTGTTAGAATTGTGTTTGGTCGGTCGGATCTTGGTGTGGAATGGTTTCGTTTCTGTGTAAAGAAGGTCGGGCAAACATCATACTAATAGTCATACTAATCATGATGTACTTGGCTTGTTAGATTTTTTTTATTTTTTATTTTATTTTTTACAGGCCTTCAAATCTTTATTTAAAAATGTAAACTGAAGTTTGGGGTCAGTAAGATTTTTTTAATGTTTTTAAAAAGTTTCTTATGCACACCAAGGCTGTATTTGTTTGATCAAAAATACAATAAAAGCAGTAACATTTTTAAATATTACAATTTAAAATATAGTTTTTCTATTGAAATGCATCTTAAAATGTAATTTTATTTCTGTGATGGCAAACCTGTATTTTCAGCAGCCATTACTCCAGTCTTCAGTGTTACATGATGCATAATATTATTAATATTTGGTGCTTATTATTTTATATATTGTGGAAACTGTGCAGCAATAGATTTCTTCTTTTCCCAAATGTAAACGTTTTACCGTCACTTTTGGTCTTTCATGTCTTTGCTGAATAAAAGTAAAAATTTCTTAAATTAAATAAAATCTAACTGACCTCAAACTTTTTAATGATAAATGTATGTTATTTAAATTATTAAAAAAATTAACTAATGAAAATATAATAAAATTTTGTCTTGGGTATGTTTCATTTGTCCAGATTATATTAACAACAGGAATTCAGTTATTCAGTTATCATATAACTGAACACATATATGGTCTAATCTCATTTATTATTCAATTATAAAAGGGCAAAACTTTGTGCCCAGTCTGTGCATCCAAAGATAACATACCCTAAAAAGGCCACATTTGTTAATTTGACAATGATGCTTATACAGTTTTCTGATTAGTCACTTCTTACCTGGATTTGCAAGACGGCTGCTGATGGGACCTAATGCTTGGTAGGGGTCTGCAAAGATGGAAATGTACAATACTGATTTGATATTTTGAAGTGTAGTTTAACAAAAAGATAATTAAAAGCAATTTCATAGAGTATTAAATTAAAGGGGCACTTGTCGACCTTGTGGAAGTCTTGGTGGAGGCTCTGTAATTCTGGTGTTGTGCTGATGTTCGATAGGAGAACCTGTGATTTTATAGAGGTGAGTTGTTGTTTTTTTACATTTGTGCAATATAATTATGTAACATGATGTTTTTGTGAACGCAGAGCAACCTTTTGGGACAGCTGGTAAGGCACTTGAGGACCAACTGTTCCTTCTGCCGATCTCCTCAAAGCTGTTTTCTGTGCCGAGGCAAAGTCAGATAGGAGCAGTTAACAAAAGGGAGATTTTACAGGAAAGGATGGCTTTAAAGAGTAAGGAGAAGGGCAGCCGCAGAAGGAAGGAAGCCCTGCATTAAAGATCCCTAAGGAGAAACGCAGGGCAGAACAAAGCCAGCAGCAAAACCGTAAGAAGGCCCGAAGATGGCACACAATTCCTCAGGGTGATTGTCCTTTTGTTCTAACTGATTCTCTTTACCACAGAATAGTCAATTGTATCCTAACCTGAGCTCTAAGCACCCCTTACTTCCTATCCTGATGCAGCTGTTTCCTGTCTGAAAGTGCAACGATTCAAAAACCTTGCAACACTTGGGGCAAAATTCATTGAAGAAACAAACTACAGTCCTCATAGGACCTCTCTAGACTCTATCTTAGCCATTGGCATTTTATCAGTACAATAACTTATTGGAGTTATTTTTTTACAAAAAAATGTTGGTAACCAAACAGTTGTCGGTAGCCATAGACTTCCATTGTATTTTTCCATGCTGCAGAAGTTAATGGCTACTGGCAACTGTTTGGTAACCAACATTCTTAAAAATATATTTTAGTGAACTACCCCTTTAAGAATTTTAGCATATAAAAATAACCATGTGACTTATCATAGGGTGGAAACCGCATTATGATGCAATAGGTGTTTAGTAAATAGTTGCATTGATTAACATTTAATAAGAATATTATTAGGCACAAAATTGCTTCTAGTTCACTGGAATAACTTTAGGATCATTACAGTTACAAGAAACATCTCATTTTGGTGCACTAATATAAAATGTGGTGTACATTCGGACTGAGGTTGCAAATTCAGCTCATCCAATCAGAATTTACAGTCAGAAATATATATAAAACTAAATTTTATCTTAAAAATAGAAGTAAAAAGTTTGACTTACCAGCTTTAACCTGTAGTCTAGGCTGTGGTTCTGTATTGGTAGGGGTTGCAGGATAGGAAAAAGTGGGGCTACCTGAGTAAACGATAGTAAAGAAAACAAGCCCTCTTAATTTACTTTATATATAAATAGGCACAAACTTTTCCACAATGTACTAACAATGCATTTAGAAATGGAAATGATTAAAGTCGCTTTATAGATTTTCCTGATGTTTTCTTGACCAAATTAACAATTAGTAATGGATTATTCATATGGAATTATGGGCGAAGTTCCTTACTCTCCCGGAGGTAGTTTAGATGGGAGAGCAGGATGTCTGTATTGTATGCGGTAGTGAGACGCATCATGTCCTCTTTGGTCATTTTGCAGAGTGCTTTTCCATCCAGTGTATGGAAGAGGGACGCGTCCACATCGGAAAGAACGTATTCCTTTATTGCCCACTCTACCCACTGCCGCACATGGTCTTGTGTCCATACTTCTGGGTCTAAAACAGGACAGACGCAAAAATAAAATGAGGAACAAGTGCTTCAGCTGTGACAGTACTTATCAGAGTTCAAACATGAGGTAAAAAACTGTTACTGCTCTTAATCTCAATAAGATAGTGCTGATACATCTTTTTGTACTTCAGTAAGGGTTTTGGGCCGAGGGGTCATGGTTTGGCTGATATATATCAGCTAAATAATGACCCCTTGGCCCAAAAACCCTTACTGAAGTACAAAATATATATATATTATCAGGGCATTTTTTCAGAGGAGGCTGTGTCTCCTAAAAATATTGGATGAGGAAAAAATTTGTAGTAAAAAAAAATAAACCATGCCGATATTACTAAATCCGCATCTCTCTTGCCTCCCCTGCTCCTATTGACTTTTAACAAACCCCCCTAAGCATGCGGATATACATCTGTAATAAAACACACATACATATATATATATATATATATATATATATATATATATATAGAGCGTTTAGGATTTTTTTCTGCCTTTTTGACGTCACCGCTCAGCTGCCATTGAGATGAATGGGAATGCTATCGGAAATGTTTCTCCACATATTACAGACCTCCTGTTATAAGCCATCATACTCTTATTTGTTCTTGAAATATGACGCCATATCCGAGAATTATGAGCATTATAATTGTTTGGTCTGGGTGACTCATGAGGAGGTATCCCATACACTCACTGTCACACAATTCATGGAGCGACTCCACAACTCTGCCCTCTTAATAATGTTACGACGACCTTCAAAACGTTTCGCTGAAGATAACGCAACTTCCTAATTGGTTTGCGAGTAAAGAGTGATTATCTCTGTTGGAATCTGTGCAATCATTTGTAGTTTAGTCAGCTGGGTTACTGGGATCTGCCAGAAGGAAGCGCATCAGTGCTTTTTCTTTCTTTTACAATGCTTGTATTGCAAACTAGCCTTTTCCCCCCACAAAGCACAAGTTCCTAAGTGATGCAAGAGCCTGTGGACACTGCATAATTACCACATATCTTTGTTTAGACATCTATACATCCTCTAGTTTTAGAAATTGCAGACTAAATCTGTCAGGTGCTAAAATGCTTCCCTTTTTACAAAACATTACAGTCTACAGGTGTTATTTAAGTATCTATATACTGTTGTGTATTTATTAATATTTTGAATTGGCTTTTAATTTTATATTTTTAGCTTAAGTACTTTTATTTAATTTAGTTGCAAATGCAACATTTTTAGCAAAGACAAATGTTTTTAATCGTTTTAATGTTTTAGTCTTGACAAAAACAGTCAACATGAAATTTAATTTATGAAATTTATTAGAAAAATTTTATCAAAAATGATACATAATATACAGACCTTGTCTTAAGAAAGTGCATGATATTTCAAAATGCATTTTAAAATGTATTTCTTTCCTCCGATGGCAAAGCTGAGTTTTCAGCAGCCATTATTTCAGTCTTTAGTGTCACATGATCCTTCAGAAATCATTCTAATACATTGATTTGGTGCTCAAGAAAATGACAAATATATGAATATTTAAACCATTGTCCTGCTTATTTTTTGTGAGAACTGTGAAAAATGTGATCACACTTTTTTTCAGGATTCTTTGAATAGAAACAAGAAAATAATTTAAAATATAAATCTTTTGTTATATTATAAATGTCTTTACTGTCACTTTTGATTAAATTAATGCATCTGTGCTGAATAAACAGAGTCATTTCTCAGTGTATGTTGCGTATATCTCATTACAAAAGTAAAAAGGTTTGTGAATGCGTTTTCATATTAAGTTAATACAAAAAATATACAGTCAGACTCTGCTTTTCTGTATAAATGACAGTGAAATACTTGATCACTTTTACTATAGATCTCACCCGCTGGTACAATGACCCTCTTCTCCTCTGTGGCGCTGCTGGGTGGGGTGGCAGTCTGCGGGCTGCTCCGTGGTTCTGGGTAAGAGGCCTGGTAGGCCAAAGGTCCCCCATCACTGTTACTCATGTGTCGGGTCTTTTTAGTCACACTGCAGTCCACTGGGGACTCACGGCTGTGGCATGCATGAGAGAAAATAAGAAACTGAGAGCTAAAATGTTTTGGTTCTAATTGCTCACCGTTATGATATTGAAGGAATAGTTTAACTCAAAATTCAGATGCCTCCTGGAAATGCATATCGACAAGTTTGATCAGTGATACTGAATGGCACTGGTTTCTTACATGTAATGCAACATGGTGAGTTGCGAATGAGATGTTATTTCACAATACTTGTCACGTATGACCTGTATGGACTAATTTATGGTGCTTTTCTTGGTGCTTAACAGCATGTGGTCACTGCTATTATTGTGTGGAAAAGAGCCGCTTGGACATTCTGGGAAACTTCTCCGTTTGTGTTCCACAGAAGAAAGAAAGCCATATTATGGATTTGGAATGACATGAAGGCAAGTAAATGATGCCACAATTTATTTATTTATTTATTTTGAGGGAAAGAGTCCTACACATTTACAAATAAAGGTTCCAAAAGATTTTTTTTTTACCACAGTGATGCCTTTGAAGAACCACTTTTGGATCCTCAAAAAACCTTTCAGTGATCTGCAGTTCTCAAAAGAACCATTTTTTTCTTAATGTGAAGAATAGAAATGTAGAACCTTTTTATAGTATAAAGAACCTTTTGTGCATTGAAACGTTTCTTCATGGAACCATAAATACCAGTAAAGAACCTTTATTTTTAAGAGTGTATAAATGGAGATCTTCTGACATCAAGGTTTGTTGTCCCACCTGGTTCCGTTGATGTGTTCTGCTCTCTTCGCAGGGTTCTGTGTGGCCGATCCGGTCCAGTCTGGCTCAGTGGGTTCTACGCTCTCTTCAGAACCCTGTCTGAACACTGCAGGTGAGGTGATCTCTCCCTTCATGTGCATGGCCTGGGGACCACTGAAGGGTGACTCGAATATGGACTGGTTTTCACTCACCACTGATAGAGCTTCCTGTGAAGTATACAACACACACGGGTTATGTAAACAAAACACTTAAAGTCTTTAATTTAGGTGAACAAGAAATCATAGTGTGAGAGTAGAAATAACACTTAATCATTTAGTCAGTAATTCCAGAACAGGGATGTTACGGGTTTCCGCTACTATCGCTATGCCATGACTTTCTAATCAGCAACTGGTGTCAAAAGAATTGATTTGGGGCACGAACTTAAGGTTTATCTGGACAATAAAAAAAACTCTACCGAGGAACTCCACGCTACAAAATAAAGGTGTCTGTTGTTCCATAAAGAACCTTTAACACCATGGAACCTCTGCATTTTACAAAGGTCCTTGATGGTGGAAAAAGGTTCTTTAGGTTATTAAAATGTTCCTCACATTAAGAAAATATGGTTCTTTTAAGAACAGTTCAGTAAAAGATTCTTTGTAGAACCAAAAATGGTTCTTTTATGGCATCACTGCTAAAACCCCATTTTGGAACCTTTATTATTTTATTTTTGATTATTTTTAAGAGTGTAGAGTTAATAGAAATAACCTTTAATTCAGTCTTTTGACTGTTACGACCCTCCTTTAGTTGTTAAACGTCTAGGGACTGAGAAGGGGAACATTGGACCGGTTCAGACCATTGCCAGCTTCACACTCGGTGTGTAAATGAAAGGAACGAAGACTGGAGACTAAATCAAGCGAACTTGTTTTATTTAAAGACCGTGACAGTTATTTACCCAAGAAATAAAAAAACGAACGGGTGTGTATATAAAAATAAAAGAAATAATTACAGCAGCTTTTATAATGTTGGAAAACTGGGGAGGTTGAAGGGAAACTGGATTGTGCCAAAAGAAAGAAAGTAACAAAACCAAAAGGAATCTAACTAACCCATTTTGGTCTAGTCCTAAACTAAAATAAAGAAAAATGCGAAAAGGAAAACATCTTCAACGTCCAAGACGTCGTAACTCAACTTCACTAACCAACCAAACAAAAAATACAGAAAGTGGCACAAATCCCTAACCTAGTGTGTCTAACAATGAAATCGAACTACATGTGCACCATGTAAGTCACGTGACATAACTTACCTACCCCTTTACCTCCGTCCAGTTTTAACACATCTTTGAAAAAGCTTTGTAAGGCTTTCAAATGTCACAGATCAGGAGTTTCGGGCCAGCCAAGTAGGTAAGATATTTTACATGGCAATCAAAGCACATCACAAACTAAATCAAACAAACAAAAACACAAAGAGAAAATATCACAGCCCAAATTCACAAAGCCAGCTTTCGAATACGCTGGCGTTTCCCTTATATAGCACAGCTGGACGTCAATCAGCTATCAAAAGTTATATTTGCTTATTAGTCCAAAACCTTATAAAACTATAAAATTAGCACTAAAATTACTTACATGCTCTCTTATTGTTCAGCTACAGGGGGTATTAATTTTGAAACTGAAAAATAAGTTTATCGGAATAGTTTAGGGCATTTTTTTTTTTTTTTTTTTTACTTCCAGGTAGATATGACTTGGCACAAGAGTCCAATTAGAAATTGAGACATCATCTGTGCATTTTCTTCCTGTGTTTAGTGTTGGTAGTCTGCTCTCGAGCACTCTGGCCTGGGTGTGTCCGTTTGAAACTTCAAAAAGACATTTTAAACATTCAAATGTATGTAAGTGTTTGTGCATGAATAAATGTTTGTGTTATAGCTGAATTCAGGGAGTTTGTTTAGAGGGCTTTAGTATTGTCTTTAGAGCTGAAATACGTCAGCACTGAGCTTTTTCGGTGGCTCACAGGAAATCTGGCCCCCATGTGCAGGGAAACCTTTTGGCATGGGGCATGAGATAGGAAACAGAGGAGTGATAGAAATGTGGGTCATTTAAAGCTGAAAAACAAATTTGTTCTGAATGCTGTTGAGGTTGAGGGTCACCAAACAGGGAGGCGGCAGCATTGTAGGGTGCATTCACCTGACCTGAAGTCTTGCGAATTTGTTACAAGAATCTGTTTCGGTGTTTAGTTTAAGTGACTGGCATTTACTGATAAAATTGCTTTTTGATGATGAAAGTTCAAAGGATTTTATATCATGAATATTTCAGATCGAGACTACCAGGAAAGAATGTTTTCTTATGGCCCAAACAAACACCAACTACTTTGGGTTTTGTTGTCCATTCAGAATTAATCCTGAATTTGAATTGAACTAGCAGAATAAGAATTTGAATGTAAGGAAGTAGAATTACAGTGACGTGAAATTCAAAGAAATTCATGTGACTAATTTTTAACTGGAGAAGCTAAGTTAAGTCAAGACAAAAGAATGTTGGCATCTTTGTTTGAAAGTTTTAAAAGCTTTGCAGTTTTATAGAGCTTGCGGATGGATGGATGGATTTGTTGTTGCAATGTGAATTGCCAAACCCGAGTGACAAGTCAATATTACTGGTTTCTCTTAAAATGTCTTACATTTTTGCTAGTAATAATTCACTATAAATATGCTGCCACAAATCTTAATAATTTCTAGTTCTCCTATTGAACTAGCTGTGAATAGCACTAGCTATCTCTCACACACACTATAATAAATGCCATGAAATGTCCTGCTCTAGTAGAGAAGTGAAAGCGTGCTCAAAACAAGGCCAAGCTGAAAATTCAAACCGTTTTCACCGCCTAGTCTGTGTGCATTTGCAAGCGTCAGTCTTGTGTAGACATATACAACAATAAAGTGCAATCCACAGCCTTAACTTATGGCACAGATGAGGCTGAACTTGATGCTGCTCTGTGCAGGAGAGATGACATGCACTAAGATTGCATTGCATTGTCCAACAGCATTTGAACACTCACTTATTTAAAACAATTCATTTGGATCCGTATACAAAAAGCAAATGTGCTAGTTGGACAAATGATGTATTCTGCATCTTCTCTTTTACAGCAAGCTAAACTGCAGCCAGTGAAACAGTTGGTATTTCATTCTGCAGTTAAAATTATTCTGTACCTGTGCACCTTTTAAACCACAACCCCACACACATAGTACTGCTCTCTCTCCTCCAAAGTGATGAACATAAACATACTCTATCCTGGCCACCAATGCCACAACTGACTTCCTGTTCAATGAGTTTCATATCGGTCTCTGTTGCTGAGAAACCAAATGCAATATTTTAGCGAACATAAACTGCACACTGTGTGCAAAATGTCAGAGTTGAGGTCAGTGAGATTAATGTGCATCTCACATCAAAAACAACACAGAGAGATGCACATAAACACAGGCATGCTATTGTTGTGCCGTCCTTGGCGCCGCTGGGTGCCTGTGACATGCATGCAGTGTTTTCAAGTCAATTGCAACAGACCTCCATTTGGGTCTTGTGAAAGAAATTCTCATTTTGTCACAACAGAGCTTGGGGTAGAGCAACACTGCACAGAAAAAAAAAAAACCCTTGGTGCTTTTAGGTTTCAGAGGTTTTGCACAAAAGCTAATCACACAGTATATCACCCTCAAAGGGCGGAGCTCACTGCAAATTTATTCTGTGATAATCCAACAGATTTACTAGATTACCACTAGTAAATCTAGATATTAGACTAACATTTTTAAAGGTGTACAGGTTTGAATCTGATGCATGCTAGTAAAGGAAGCACTGAAAAGCAATGTGGTCAATCTTTGGTAATGAAATCAAGTTATGAAATGTCCCTTTGCTTATTATCATAATTGGACATTGGGTAATATGGGAGACACAGTCTGATCTGTACATTTCACAAATCACAATTTGCTTTATCATATTCTAGTTGGTTTGCTGCTGTGAAGTCTAATTTGTTGGTCTGAAGTATTAGAGAGAAAATCACAGTAAAATGCGGAATTCAGACATGCAAAAAATACTGTTACTGAATAAATACTGTGCACTGGCTACATGCTTGACAATGATTTCATTTATTTATTTTCATCATTTTAAATATAATGAATAGGGCCTAATTGTGCAATTCCTTAACTACATTAACTCAGTATTATTATGTATAAATGTATTTTATAAAATGTTTAATTTGGGCTATTTACCATATAAACCCATTAAACAATAACTGTCATTAAGGCACATTATTAGGGAAGACAGCGTTATTTTAATTGTACATTTAGCACTAAATTATTATAAAAAATAACTTGCAGAAATATATTTCAAATATAAATTAATAGATATGAAACTTTATATTTTTATTATTTTAAAGACTGATAAATGATGCCCCGCCTCTGACAATTTATGAAAAGAGTGTAAATGTAAAATAAGAAAAGAAAAAAAAATTCGTAAAGATGGACACTCCTTGGCCACCAATGCCACAACTGACTTCCTGTTCAATGAGTTTCATATCGGTCTCTGTTGCTGAGAAACCAAATGCAATATTTTAGCGAACATAAACTGCACACTGTGTGCAAAATGTCAGAGTTGAGGTCAGTGAGATTAATGTGCATCTCACATCAAAAACAACACAGAGAGATGCACATAAACACAGGCATGCTATTGTTGTGCCGTCCTTGGCGCCGCTGGGTGCCTGTGACATGCATGCAGTGTTTTCAAGTCAATTGCAACAGACCTCCATTTGGGTCTTGTGAAAGAAATTCTCATTTTGTCACAACAGAGCTTGGGGTAGAGCAACACTGCACAGAAAAAAAAAAAACCCTTGGTGCTTTTAGGTTTCAGAGGTTTTGCACAAAAGCTAATCACACAGTATATCACCCTCAAAGGGCGGAGCTCACTGCAAATTTATTCTGTGATAATCCAACAGATTTACTAGATTACCACTAGTAAATCTAGATATTAGACTAACATTTTTAAAGGTGTACAGGTTTGAATCTGATGCATGCTAGTAAAGGAAGCACTGAAAAGCAATGTGGTCAATCTTTGGTAATGAAATCAAGTTATGAAATGTCCCTTTGCTTATTATCATAATTGGACATTGGGTAATATGGGAGACACAGTCTGATCTGTACATTTCACAAATCACAATTTGCTTTATCATATTCTAGTTGGTTTGCTGCTGTGAAGTCTAATTTGTTGGTCTGAAGTATTAGAGAGAAAATCACAGTAAAATGCGGAATTCAGACATGCAAAAAATACTGTTACTGAATAAATACTGTGCACTGGCTACATGCTTGACAATGATTTCATTTATTTATTTTCATCATTTTAAATATAATGAATAGGGCCTAATTGTGCAATTCCTTAACTACATTAACTCAGTATTATTATGTATAAATGTATTTTATAAAATGTTTAATTTGGGCTATTTACCATATAAACCCATTAAACAATAACTGTCATTAAGGCACATTATTAGGGAAGACAGCGTTATTTTAATTGTACATTTAGCACTAAATTATTATAAAAAATAACTTGCAGAAATATATTTCAAATATAAATTAATAGATATGAAACTTTATATTTTTATTATTTTAAAGACTGATAAATGATGCCCCGCCTCTGACAATTTATGAAAAGAGTGTAAATGTAAAATAAGAAAAGAAAAAAAAATTCGTAAAGATGGACACTCCTATTGTATGATCGAAATGACTACTAAGAGAAAAAAAATAGTACAAAAATGTCCTGTTTGTTTGGTTTTAAAACCACCATTTTTCTATTTTCAGTTTTTTCTTCTAATGTTCTTTTTCTCATTTAACAGTATGCAAACCAACCCCACAACCCCGGGGATGGTGAACACCACTTCAGTCATGAACGAAAGTTAGAAAATATTTTTACACTTATGTTTTGTAGTGTCTGTTTTTAACCCAAGAGTCCCCCCCTCCACAATGTTGAGTGATTCTACTGCTTGTTTTGCCAGAGATAATCAAGAAAGAATGAAAAATGTGCCAACCAACCCTGGTCTCACCGGTCACTGAGATAATGTGCAATTTTTCGTATTGTTTGTGGCTCATAAAACTGCAGTCACTGTATTTTAAACAAAATAGGCCTACAGCTTTGATTCTTAACTGCAGGAACTGACACGACTGAGGGAATAAATCCCTATAAAATAAATATTTTGTTCGTTCAATTACTCATATATTGCTAAATTATTCGTTACTACCCGAATTTGCCAATATAATAAAAATAAATTGCAAATGATAAAGTGCCTATATAAATTAATGTACTATAATTGAATCAATATTATAATTTTAATATAAATAGTAATAACACCAGCAATAATAATGTCAATTACTACATTTTTATATTTATATTCAGACTATAATTTCTAATGTCATATTATAATGTTCATTTTAAAGAGAGCCTATATTAAACCTATATTAACGCACGAGAATTCGCTAATGAATCCTATTCGAGCTAGAACTTTCACAGTTATGATGTTAGCTCAGTTTGCGAGAGTGAAGGAAAGCAGAAGTTGACGTTAAGGCATGCTGATTTTGCAAAGAGACACGCAGCTGCGCTCTGAGCTGCAAAAACACTTTGTGGTTTTCACAAGTTTTAATCAGCAACATCTTGCAAGAGGAGATGGGGCGCTTCTCTGAGGAGAATCTGCATTAACAGGACGTGGAGACGCAGCACGTTCGAATTGGCTTCAGTTTATTGTCCGGCTAATTTAATTGAAATGTAGAACAATGCATTGGCATCGCACATCTATCGAATCAATTTTGTTTTGTCAGTCTTTGTTGCCTTTTTTTCGAGGAGGGCCTGCGGAAGTGTGTGCGGAAAGTCTGAGGTTTGAGACAGGAAGCCTGCTCGGCTCTGATAACGACACCTGACAAGCGCCCAGCACTTTGCTATTAATGATTCCTTAAAGAACTAAATCAGGCATGGAATAACTACAAACACGAAACACAGGAATGCAGAGGGGATGTATAGAGATCGTTGCGTGAAAGGACAAGATGAACCAACACAGTTTTTGCAGAATTAACAATTAAAAACAACCCCGATGCGTCACATTCAAAGTTGTTAACCAAATAAAAAAATTCACATGGTGAGAAATTAGAATAGGCCTATATCCTATTTGAGAAATATTATTTCCACACGTTGAAGACCATGTCTATTAATATATATATATATATATATATATATATATATATATATATTCGCTATTTGGATACAGAAGAAAATATGGATAGCCTACACTTTATTTTAAGGTGTCCTTGTTACAGTGTAATTACACATTTAAATACTGGATAATACTAGCCTAATTAACTATGTCCTTACTATATGGTTAGGATTAGGGTTTGGCTTAGAGTTACGTGCATGTAATTATGCATAATTTATTGTTGTTATAGCTAATAGCAAGTACATGTAACGTAACAAGGACACCTTAAAATAAAGTGTTAGATACAATATTTATGTAAATAATACAAACATAAGACAACAACTAGCAAACAGTACGCAGTTGACGACAGTAGCCTATTTAAATATCATCGAAATGAATTTCAGTACGCAGATAATGACTGGGATTTTAGCGATGTTAGTCATTTTATGATTAGCCCCTGTGTTTGTTTGGTTTGTTTCGTTTTGTTTTGAATGAATGTAGCTACAGTTTAAGCTCCCTAAATTAATCGAGGTTCTAGAATAAGTAATTAACCTACCACTCGCGTGACTAATAATCAACATAATGTAGCTTTACTGGACAATTTTCAGCACGAAAAAAACACAATGTATTAATAATAATATTAACTGGTGCTTGCCACCATTTTCTACCATGACATGTTACCATCCAAATAAAACTAAACTCCAGCATATGCCGTTAATCACCGTTGATATGCATTAATATAGCCTATTAGTTCTTGCAAAGTGCCATGCCAGATTTAACCAGTCGAAAGTATACAAAATAAAAAAAATACTAGACGTTTTCGTTTTGTGATTTTTAAAGTCTCCACAGTAGGCTGTACCTTGTTGTTGGCGCCATAAAGCCACCTGCGTCGAGAGCGCCCCGCCATAATTGTGCCATATGTGAAATTCGGTTCATTGTTTTCCAATTTGCATTTGCGTGAGTTTTCGTCGTTCTTAAGATGCAGTAGAAAGTAGGTTAGCTACATGTACTTTAGCTAACTTGGATGGATCATTAAATATGCCATTTTGCATCCTAGAACGTAACTGTTAAAAAAAAAGTAAAACAAATGGAATAACAGATTTGTGCATAGCCTCTCTCGCGCGCGGTGGACACCATTTCGTTTTTTATCTGAGTCTAAATGTTGTAGTGGTTTCTTGTGTTATTAAAGAGCCGACATTCAACCACGAACGGGAAGGAAGAGGAAATTTTGTACAAGAAGGAAAGAGTGGGGACCTCTCTCACCAGTAGTCGCGCTAACCGTGTGGGTGGTTGCGCACTCGCTATTCATTTTCAGAACAGACAATAAACCAGATCAAACGCCTACCTTAATAGTACAGTCCATTGCAGATTTCTGTGGAGTTCATGAAGAAAAAAACTTTGGTAAACTTAAGCTATGTAAACCCAGGTACTTTGTTAACCCAGCTGAAACGCATCGACTTGTGTGCACAGGCGCATTTAGTCGTCGACGCAAACCATACTATTTTCGCTTAGACCATAACCGGATGGCAACGGGGTTTTTTTTTTTCTTCGTTTTTTTCTTTTGAGCTCTCCTTTCTAAAATTGGGAAGTGAAGTCACACAAAAGCATCTAGCTCTGTTCCTTATTGGTGAACTCTTATTGCACTAATATCTCCTCGGAATATTTGTTAAGCCAAAACCTCCTGTTTAAAATTCTCTGATTATAAGGAGATTTTGCAATCAGTTACAAAGTAATTTAACTAATTTATTCAAATCTGAACTCTTTCCATTTTAAGAACGATATAGAACAATTTTAATGTTTTTCTTTATTAGCGGTGAAAATCAATAAACGAAGATCTGCAACCTTAATTTGTTTTTAACCACTTATGGTAGGCTATTGCAATTTTATGGTGGTCCTATATATATTTTTTTTCCCTTTTCATTGCTTTTTTTTGATTAGCATTTAAGACTAAGAACATAACAGGCATTAATGCATACGTTTTATGTTATTTACCTTGATTATACACTCTAAAAAATGCTGGGTTGTTTTAACCCAACTTTGGGTCAAATATGGACTAACCCAACTGTTGGGTTAAATTTTTCAATTACATTTTAAACCCAAAAATTGGGTTAGGCCATATTTGCCCCAACGTTGGGTTAAAACAACCCAGCATTTTTTTAGAGTGTAGATAGACATTTGACCTTATCTTCAAACATACAAAATTAAAAAAAAATATGCAGGAAATGACGCCTTAAGTTAGAATTCTCAAACCACAAGCTAGTGAAACACCGTATCCTAAACCAACAGCTGCATAAAAGCTCTTCAAAGCTCTCGGAACTGAAGAGAGTCCGTTGCGTTATGCACATATATAGTTTGTGTACCATGCGTCCTTATAAATAATAAAAGCAGATGATTCATAGAGTGCCCAGTCCGTGAACATTACTTAATAGTTTAACCATTAAACTTAAATATTCTGAAAAAGTAACACGAAATAGATGTTAGTGTTTAATTGTTTGTATACTACAAAAATATAAGTATTTTTGAACATCTCTTCATGTTGAATTTGGAGACGGTGCGTGCGCGTGTGGAGGGGCCATGGGAATTCAACACTGATTGTATCCTCTTCAGTGAGCGGGCTCCTTCAATCACGACTCAAGCCTTGCTCGATTTGGCAACTTACTTTTCCAGATGTATTTTTTCTGCGCACCGGAGGAACATGGCCTGAGGTGTTTGTTTATACAAGACCCTTGGGTTGGTCTTATCTGTGCACAGCACTCACGCAGTGATTTCAGGCCTCCTCGTCTCGGAATTTTACAGGCCATTGTTCTCTTGAATGGCTTTTAAAGATACGAACTCCTCATTAAAGTCTAAGTTGCTGGTTCTGATTGATCATATTTCTAACTTCCAGTTAGAACATTTCTCCTCGTCACTTTATAAGAATGTATTTAGATCGGTAAGTGATTAGCATTAACCCCAACAAATTAGCATGAACTGTTTTACTGCAAGGCCTATAGGTGTAGTCATTTATTCAAGTCATTTATTCAGACATGGGCTTAATGCAGTTCAGATGTAGCCTATAATTTATATTCTTACGTATTTCGTTTCGTTCTAAAAACAACAACAACAACAACAACAACACCAAAACGAAAATGTTGTTGTATGCTAGTCTACTTTCCTGTTTTATAAGCAATAGAAACGTTCCATAGATATTAAAGGTTCTTCATGGAACATAGATTCGAATAACATTTATTTTTGGAAGTAGGGCTAAACAGTAGGCCCAGTTGAACGGACTGTCATTTAATTTACGACAACTCGAAAGATTCATAGACCTATCGTCTTTCGAGTTTGTTTAAGCCTTTTAATCTTCCACCGAATCAAAACATTTAGGTCAAACGGTCTCGTGTTCGAGAAAAAAAATCAAATCTGAAGGGACGTGTCTGTCAAACCTGTCTAGTGATGTTTTTTCTGTTCCCCACGGACACCTTTTCTGGGAATGGAAGGGTAACAAATCTGTGGTCGTGACTCCTGTCTGACGTCACGAGGAGTAAAAGGAGGGAACCGCAGTCACGACGCATTCCTTCACGAGACGCCCGGACACGCCCCGCCGCGCACGGCCTCTTTATAACGGTCCTGAGGCCAGCAGAACACGGTCAACGGAGCTGTGAGGCAGAGACTGACGCGGTGGCAAATCCTTGATATCTGGAATAAGGACTCTGTGAGAACTTTAAGGTAAGGTTTTCTATTCAGTAAGAATTGAATCTGTCATTTGCGATCTGAGATTTCTAATCAGTGTTTGAATCACTGGCCGCCATTGGAAATAGTGGACTGTTTTACACACACGGATGTGTTTAATAAATTGTACTACAGGGTGTGATAATTAGAGTGTTTTTAATGGAATAATTAGGCTGACAAAACCTAACCCAATTAAAAGGATATTTTATATTAGGGTAATTATCTCAACTATGCTGTTTTCCTTCAGATATGGAAATGTATCAAGCTGGATTTTACACAGAAGACTTCAGAACTCAGGAGGTTCCTGGCGGATTTGACTTCAGCTCATATGGTAATATCTTATTTCAACACGTTTTTCGTTTAATCTTCAGTTATCTCTCTCAGTATATAAATGATAACATCAAAGTCCACATTTGCAATTATCACATTCAGTTTGCCCTCAAGGGAAAAATCTGTCCGATTTTGTGGGATTTATCCTGAGGCCAGCAGAACACGGTCAACGGAGCTGTGAGGCAGAGACTGACGCGGTGGCAAATCCTTGATATCTGGAATAAGGACTCTGTGAGAACTTTAAGGTAAGGTTTTCTATTCAGTAAGAATTGAATCTGTCATTTGCGATCTGAGATTTCTAATCAGTGTTTGAATCACTGGCCGCCATTGGAAATAGTGGACTGTTTTACACACACGGATGTGTTTAATAAATTGGACTACAGGGTGTGATAATTAGAGTGTTTTTAATGGAATAATTAGGCTGACAAAAACTAACCCAATTAAAAGGATATTTTATATTAGGGTAATTATCTCAACTATGCTGTTTTCCTTCAGATATGGAAATGTATCAAGCTGGATTTTACACCGAAGACTTCAGAACTCAGGAGGTTCCTGGCGGATTTGACTTCAGCTCATATGGTAATATCTTATTTCAACACGTTTTTCGTTTAATCTCTGGACTCCTTTCCTGAGTTTAGCTGTTGGGCATCCTATACTAATAGTAAGTGTCAAATGACACCACTCAATTTTTTCCCTTCTACTTAAAATGTTAGAAATCCTTTTTTAAGTGACATGGCCTCATACGATGCAATTTCTCCAAAGTTCCAGAAGGAATGGTAGCAGACAGGCAGCAGGTTGGCTTTCAGGAAACAAATCAAACCTACCAGAACCTCGTCCCTCTATGCACTCCAGCACAAAGCAGTCCATTTAGCCCAGGGATGGACACCAGTAGCCATTACCAACCTGGGAAAGGTCCAAATCACAGAGGAGCATCTGGTACCGTCAATTTGGACCATCTGGGTAGGCTTTTTATTAGAGACACATAGGCTTGTGAATAAATATACATGCTATATAATTGTTTTCAATTATATCATTTTTACATTTTTAAAGGACATTCTTTAATGTTTAATATATTGTCAATATTAACTCATGTCTTTCTTGTGTAGGTGATACTGAGAGAACATATGTCTTGTATGAGGCAGAGCAGCAGAGCAGGCCTTCATATTGGTCTGATTATCCCTCACCCAGTTACTGCACTTCCATGCTTGGACAGCCAGCATCCTCTTCATCCCCTCCAGTTACTAAATCCTCTGAGCAATTCTGTCCCCGTGTGGCCAAACGGCGTAACGCTCCATCTCAAAGATCAGACAGAGAGGGGGAAATGACACCCATGTCTGCCTATCCAGGTGAGGCATTGTTACAGGAGCTCTTAAAGGATAAATATTTATCATAACAGAGAGTGACAATCATTTGTTCTTGTCGAGATATATAATTCAATATTGTTTTTGCCCATAGGATCCGGACCCATCCAGCTTTGGCAGTTTCTTCTAGAACTTCTGTTGGATTCTGCTTGCCACACGTTTATTAGCTGGACTGGAGATGGCTGGGAGTTTAAAATGTCCGATCCTGCAGAGGTAAGATTCATAGTTCAACTAAAACACAAAAATACATGCAAACATTGTAAGCAAAAGGGCATTTGTTATCTTTACATCTGGCATTTTCACATTCTCTCGGTTGTTCTGAAGTGGTCTTACTGGTTGTTTTAAGATACTTACCGTTTCCCTTGTGTCCTCCAGGTGGCAAAGCGGTGGGGCCAGTGTAAGAACAAGCCAAAGATGAACTATGAGAAGTTGAGTCGTGGCCTGCGCTACTACTACCACAAAAACATAATTCACAAGACAGCGGGGAAGCGTTACGTCTACCGCTTCGTTTGTGACGTGCAAGGAATGCTTGGAAAAACAGCACACGAGGTCTTTGCCAGTCTAAACATCTCACCGTCAAATGGCGCATCTCCACAGTCTGCAGTAAACACAGCCAGATCAGAGGAAACCACAGAGTCCTGGGCACATTAGAGAAGAATGTTTTCAAATGCCCGTGATTATCTAAATGAACTGTAAAACATCAGAAGTCATGCCCTGAAAATAGTAAGGACAGAGGAAAGACTGAAGTTCCATTCAAAGATATGTACTTTAAACTGATTTTGACTTCTGAACGAGTTGATTTTGGATCTGAAATCAGCCATCAAACGCAGTTAGGTGCCGTTAGAAAACATTGTTAGCTACCTCTTTTGACATTGAAACACTAATCTTGTAAATGTTTTTTTTTTTCTTAAGTAAACTGATGTTTTGACATCAGATTGTGCATTCTTGTAAATAAATTAAGGTATAGGCCTACACCTTTTTACAAAATGTTGTTACTCGGTTTCAAGTTTTTTTATACACTGTTATTACAGATGGGTTAAATGTTTAAAAGTTTGCTACCCTGAGATCCGACGAAAACTATATGGATTGTGAGATTCTAAAAGGCGCAAGTCGCCTACAGATGGAGTGTGCTTGAGTAAGTAGTTCTGGTTATCGACTTGTTCATTGCTCAGGAAAAAAAAAAAACGGGGCGTATGCATGCACAAGCCTCTGTGAAAACCTGGAAACAGCCACTGAAAGCGCACAAACGTCTGAGCAACCATGGCGAAAAGTACTAAGGATTATCTGGAGGATACTTTTAATGATCTAGGGACGGACGAGCTCAAGAGCTTTAAAAACAAACTCTGCGATCGAAAGAAAGGAGCGGGAATCCGAAAAGCTCAACTCCAAAAAGTTGCCGACGCTATAGATCTCGCTGATTTAATGGTGCGCACTTTCACATCGACTGGTGCGGTTCCTGTAGCAATTGAAATTTTGGAGGCTATTGGCTGTAATGAACCAGCAGCGGAGCTCAAAGAGAACGCAGGACACGGTGAGTAAACTATAGTAAAAGATGACAAATACGAAACTGAATGTAGAAGGAAGACTGTCTGTTGCCGATCGTTTCAGACCTTAACAAAACAAACATAATCAGTCATTTAAAAAAAAAAAAATTCTTTACAAAAACCTTAAAACTTCCCAGAACGTCTTTAGAGAGAAGTCATAAATGTAATGCAATATTACATACAAGTTGTAATATTAATAAACAATATAGTAACATAATTTAGCTATATTTATAGAATGTCATTACTTGCAACACTCCTGTAGGCTATCTTTAACAACACGTCGGTCAATGTTCAGCAGGTGTAGCCTAGCTACTCCATATAATATATATATATATATTACATTTTGGCCCTTAGTGAAACGTCTGGGCAACTAGCATTATACCGCCCACTTAAGACTTTCAAAGTCACTTTAATTGCTGTTCTTTCTGTGTCGTCGCTTATAAACACATTTCGCACTGCAAGGTTATAAACAGAGTAGATTTTAGACATGTAGCAGACAGGACTAAGTATCTAGATTAGATAGTAAACATGTCTGAAACGTATATATCTGTAGCATAATAGTAATATATAAATATCTAACCTGCTAAATCTTCTAAAATCACACAGCGATCGTCGCCGATTTGCCTTTGCACTTTAGTCGGCACGCTCTATTAATTGTCGGCGAGGATATTGGGGCCAAAATCGTGTCGTGTAGAAACAGCATAACTAGTTCGCTATCTTTCGAGTCGGTCTTGACGGATTTGAACTTGTGGTTCAGTCAGATTCATTCAAAAAACAGCTTCGTTTCGTTCCGGTATAGCCTAGGCCTATTTATTTTAAACTCGGTTCAAATGCATTCGCACATTTAAAACGTGTGTTATTGTTGAGTTCCTACAAAAGTTTCACGTACTTCTGATATGAGGACTTGTAGACTAGTCTCGGGTTTCAGGTTGGAATGTCAAAACATAGGGGTGAAAAATATGATATATTAAAATGGGATTACTGCTATGCTCATGACCTGTGTTCTGTTTTCTAGGTTTACCTGTGGCTCAGTCACGTGGGGATGTAGTAGACTATGGAGCAAGTCAGGGTCTGAAGGTTGAGCTTACTCTGTCAGATGATTGGCATGAACAATTGCATGTTGTTTTATGCAGCCAGCAATTTAAAAACCAAATTATAAGAGAAAATGGACATGAGGCAAGTATTCGTCAAATTTCAAGCATTCATCATTTTTGTTAATAGCTAATACACATTAATATAGTCTTCCTAATGCATTAATGACAGTTGCTCTAGTCTGCTATTGAATTTGTTTCTGCATTAACGCCTCTTGGTTGTTTTTCTTAGATTTACAATGTAAAAGAAAAGTATGTAAGAAAACGTCTTGCCCTGCTTATCAACAACATCGATTTTGACGATAAGGCTATGACAAGAAGAGGGGCAGACAGAGATGAACAAAACATGGAATGGCTGTTAAAGGAGCTGGATTATAAAGTTGTCAAGTACAGAAATCTCTCTGCAAAGGTGAGTAACTCTGGTCTTTTGAAATTAGTGGAGAAAAGTATTCAGATGATGCATACAGCTTTTAATTGAAAACCTTGTCTTGATTGTTTTAATTGAGTTTATTTGATTGGCAGGACATGGAGCAAGCAGTCATGGATTTTGCTCGACGTGAAGAACATGCACATTCAGACAGCACCTTTGTGGTTATAATGTCCCACGGCAAAAGGGATGCCATATTGGGTGTCCATTATACAGCATCCAATCCCTCTGATACCTTCCCGGTTGATAATGTCTACCGCTGTCTGAACACTGAGAAATGTCCAGGTCTGCGAGATAAACCAAAGGTTATTCTCCTCCAAGCCTGCAGGGGAGGTACGAATAAAATACAATTGTTAGTTCTCAGGACATAATAACTACACCTCATCTGTGATTGTATAAAGTCCTGCTGAACAAGGCTTACACATTCTTATCCAAATATCTACTCAGGGGACAGTGGACGCTTGTGGGCCAGTGACGGCGAGCCTGATGAGCCAGTGAAAATAGAGGGCGATGACTTTGTGCACAAAGAGAAAGACTTCATTTCTCTGATGTCCTGCACCCCAGGTAAAAAAAATCCTGTATTTGTCTGTGCATTCAGGCTAGATTAGAATTAGAAGATGAATAAAAACGTTTTTAAATGGAGGGTATCATGACCAACCAAAAAAAAATAAATCTTGCACAGTCCACTTATTTGTAAATAAGTTTCACCAAAACATATTTTCCAAAGTAGCTTATTCAATGTCAGTTTCATTATTGTTTAAAAGATTAAAAGCACCTAATTCCACTATTGAAATTTCTCTGCAGACACCAAATCTTACAGGCATGTTGAGAATGGAACATTTTATGTCCAAAACGTAGTGGATGTTTTAATGAAACATGCACATAAGGATCACATTGAGGAATTGTTCAGAAAGGTAAATCAGACGCTGCTGCAAGAAGCAACCTGTGTGACTTGTTTCTTTCAAAAGTATTTCTCATAACCTTCAGGACTTTGGTTTCTTGTTACTGATGTTTATGATGTTCTCTTTAGGTTATTCAACGCTTTGAAAGCACAGAAATGATGGGGGACTACAAGCAAATGGCATGTAAAGACAGAGCGTCACTGCCAAAGTTGTTCTACCTGTTCCCCGGACTCTGATATTCAAGCTGTACATGTTTTTGACTCCTCATCTGGGAATTTTATAAATCCTCATGTGCCTTTAATCTCCAATGTAGCCTAAATAGTTAGAAAAACGTTCTGTTTGGAAAAAAAAAAACAAGAAAGTAAATGTAATTTTTAATAACTGTTTCCAAATTAATTGATGGCTTAGATGTATTTCCTCTGCCAAGAAAATACTCTGTTCTGATAAATAAAATTCCTGTCTTGTCCTGTCTTGTTTTTTGTTATGTGTTATACAAAACCAGAGACCTTAAAACGCCACTGGCATACATTACAACACACCCTCTAAAAATTTGAATATTAAATGTTGAGTGACAAAAGGGATAGTTGCTAATGTTCTTCCTTTTTTTTAACAGCTACAGCTATAATGAAGTATTTGCATTGGATGATAATAGTAATGAGAGCACAGGTGCACTTTCGAAGGAAAACATTTTTTCCATTATAGCCTGAACAGTTTGAAAAACGTTCTTTGAAAGAAAAAAAAACGAAAGTAAATGTAATTTTTAGCAATTGTTTCCAAATTAATTGATAGCTTAGATGTATTTCCTCTGCCAAGAAAATACTCTGTTCTGATAAATAAAATTCCTGTCTTGTCCTGTCTTGTTTTTTGTTATGTGTTATACAAAACCAGAGACCTTAAAACGCCACTGGCATACATTACAACACACCCTCTAAAAATTTGAATATTAAATGTTGAGTGCCAAAAGGGATAGTTGCTAATGTTCTTCGCTATATAAATAAAGGTGACTTGACTTGACTTGACTTAAAGGATTAAAACAACAGCAGAGGTGTTAAATACCCTATAGTGTAAAATTTGAACAACATTAGCAAGTGTAACACTTTACACTTGGTGTAATTTTTCTACACTGTAAGGTGCTATATTAACACTAAAAATTCAACACTATGAACGGTGTACTTTTAACACTAGACAGATTGGGACCATATATGATCTTTAGTAGTGTTAAAATCGACACTTTAAGTGTTAAACTGACACTGCGTTTTTTTTTACTGTGTGATGATTCTCCTCTTCTAGGGCCAGGAAAAAGACCTTCTAATAATACAACTATTTAAACTAAACTCCTCAAAGGAGCTGTATATGCTCAAAAGTTGTTGCTGCTTCTGGAAACCTGTTTGCTTTGACCATATATCTGGTGTTAATGTATTTATTATTTTAATGTGTTGTAGCCTGGAATATTTAGTGTGCATAAACATTGTATCTCTGTGTGTTTTGGAGAAAAAAACTGAATTATTCCTGTTGTAGAAAACGTTGTGGCAGATAGATGGGCTACTATGAAGGGGGCCCTTGGGTTTGCTATAGCTCCAGGGCCCTATGTGTTCTTAATCCAGGCCTGCCTACAATTACAAGTTGAGTCAGGATGCCGGAGTGCTATAGTTGATGACATCCTTCAAATTAACAGGGACTGCAGCTTCTATACTGAGAATTTCTATACTAGTGAAGTCACATAATTAAATAGTTTAATTGTTTTTTTGGTATACATTACCAAAAAAATAGAGCATGCAAGTAGTGCGTGTAGCCTACTGGATTAGAAAACTGTAGACACAGTGGAAAACATACCTCCAAAACAAAATAGCATGGGTTGTGCCTCTAATTCTTTATAGAAAAGCAACTTAACACCAAAGTAGCCTACACTTTCTTGTATTCTATTTACAAGGAAGTGGCCTATATAGGGCGGGAAATGTTTAGAGCAAGTCTAAAGACACACCTAGGCCTACTGTACGCATAGGAGCTGTGTTTGGCAGCAGTTCCTCCTCCTCCTCAACAGCTTGTAGAAGAGGCACGACACTTTTAACGAACTAAGGAACTATGGCGAAATCTAATAAGGATCACCTGCAGGATATTTTTGATGATCTTGGAGCGGAAGATCAGAGAAAGTTCAAAAGCAAATTGTGCGACCGGAGGACAGAGCCGCGCGTACGACGAGCTGCAGTGGAAAAGGCTGTGGATTCTATAGATCTCGCCGATTTAATGGTGAACGCTTTCACATCGACTGGTGCTGTTGCTGTAACAATCGAGATTTTACAGGCTATTGGCTGTAATGAACCAGCGCAGGATCTCATCAAAAACACGGGACAATGTAAGGAAACTATTATAAAAGCATGCAAATACAAAACTAAATTCTCAAAGAATAAAGTATTAGGTAAAAGTTCTCTTTCGCTCTAGTGAATGGTGTTTAGCTGGGTTAATTGTTGTATTAAAAAAAAAAAGTTATGTTACGTTTTAATGATTACAAATAGTTGGGAACCGAGGATTTTAATGTGAAATGCTTTTTTTTGTTTTTTGTTTTTTTTTGCAAATAATTATTCCTCAACGTACAAGGCTAAATCAGAATTCTTTTCGATTCCTATTTCTAATTGTACTCCTGAGTTGACTGTTTCACTTTCAGTTTCCTTTGACGTCTGTGTAAATAGGCTAGCCATTTGATTGCAATCGTTTTAAAAGGTGATCAATAATTTTAAGCACAGGGGAAAGCGAGTTAGATTAATCGGTAATAGTAGTAATAATAATTAGCTGTATTCTTCATTAATAACCTACTCCATATATATAGTTTTCTGTGCACATGTGCTTGAATGTGCAACGTGGAGATTTACTGTAAGGGCAACATTAACTTTAATCTTGTTTTCCAGCAGGCCCAAGCGCTCCATCTACTGGTGAGTAAGTGTAACTGTTTTTGAACGGCATTTATTTGGAAAAAAAGTTTCGAATCACTTCACTGTTTGGTAGACGAAATGAGAGCGTTCATTTAAAACCCAATAAAAAGATCACAATACATTAGCACTTATTAACATCCTCACATAATTCTCACATAATTAAATAGAGCATAGTATACATTACCAAAAAAAATAGAGCATGCAAGTAGTGCGTGTACTGGATTAGAAAACTGTAGATAAAACATACCTCCAAAACAAAATAACGTGGAGATTTACTGTAAGGGCAACATTAACTTAATCTTGTTTTTCAGCAGCTCCACATGTTCCTTCACCAGCCCCAGGCCCAAGCGCTTCATCTACTGGTGAGTAAGTGTAACTGGTTTTGAACGGCATTTACTGTATTTGGAGAAAAAAAAGTTTCAAATCACTTCACTGTGTGGTAGACGAAATGAGAGCGTTCATTTAAAACCCAATAAAAAGATCACAATACATTAGCACTGATTAACATCCTCACAATCAAACCACATGCTTGTTCCAATCTCTTTCATAGAGCACTTCATCGATAGGAATCGGGTGATGCTGATAAAACGAGTGCATAATGTAGACGGCATCCTAGATGAACTTCTTCAGATGAGAGTGATCACAGATGAGGATTACAGTAACATCCGTGCTGAGAAAACCTCAACAATCAAGATGAGAGAATTATTAATGGGCCCGATTAAATCTGCTGGCACTAGAGGGAAAGATGGCTTATACGAAGCTCTCAAGGTCATTGAGCCTTGCTTGACAGAAGAACTGGAGCATCAGTGAAAAGCCATTTAATGTTTCTATTTGCTTGTCTACTTCGTATACAGGATACATAACGAAATCAAGGAACTTCCATTTTTTAATAACAGCAAACAAATTTTGTTTAAACATTTTAACTTGCCATCATTTGAATGTTGTTTCCTTTACTTTTCTTCTTCCAAAAAGACAAACTGTCACAAAATCAGGTGCAACCAAAATCTCGCTTGCTAGCTGAAGATAATAAACACTTGTCCAATATCTTGAAAAAATTGGTCTTTGTCGACTTATCTTTTTATCACCAGTCAATAAACAAGCAAATCATGAAACCAGATGTTTTTGTCTTTTCTGCAAACCATTTTAGTTTCTTCAGACTGTTGTAATTCACAGTTAAAGGGTTAGTTCACCCAAAAATGAAAGTTCTGTCATTAATTACTCACCCTCATGTTGTTCCAAACAAGTAAGACCTTCGCTCATCTTCGAAACACAAAATAAGATATTTTTGATGAAATCTGAGAGCTTTCTGACCCTGCATATACAGCAATGTAACTGAAAGGTTCCCAGACCCAGAAATGTAGCAAGGGCATTGTTAAAATAGTCCATGTGATATCAGTGGTTCAACCGTAATTTTACGAAGCTACAAGAATACTTTTTGTGCGCATAAAAAACAAAAATAACTACTTTATTCTACAATTTTTCAATGTGTTCTGCATCAGCATGCATCGCGATACTCTCCAAAATGGCACCAGGGTGACACTGAGGAGAGCTCTCGTATTTCAACAAAAATATCTTAATTTGTGTTCTGAAGATGAACTGAGGTCTTACAGGTTTGGAACAACATGAGTGGGAGTAATTAATGACAGAATTTTCATTTTTGGGTGAACTATCCCTTTAAAATGTCTTTATTCAGACTCTTTATATTCCTGATTCAACTTTGCATATAATGTCTTATTAATACAATATTGTATTTGTTTTTATTGCTATGTGACTTAATCATAGTGCATTCTGCTTTAGCTTAGTCAATTCAATGCTATACTACTATTGAAATGTCACTAGAAATATTCAGGAGTTTATATTGGCTGCAGGGGTTTACTTTGGACTAGTCCTCCTCCTTGCATGAATAGTTTACTCAAAAATGAAAAATTGCTGAAAATGTACTCACCATCTAGTCATCAAGGATGTAGATGAGTTTGTTTCTTCATTAAAACAGATCTGGAGAAATTTAGCTTTACATCACTTGCTCACCAATGGATCCTCTGCAGTAAATGGGTGCCGTTGGAATGAGAGTCCAAACAGATGTTAAAAACATCACAATAATCCACAAGTAATCAACATGCCTTGATGATTGTAATAAATCCATCATTGGGAAATTTTTATCTTTAAACTGGCTAAAATACAAGTCTTCCATCCATAATATTTCTTCCTCCAGTAAAAAAGCTGTCTCATCTGAATCAGGAGAAAATATGCAAAGATTAAGCACTGTTTACAAGTGAAAAACAGTTGCTGGATTTTGATGTGAGAGGGCAACAGGGAATTGACTTTTTCACTGTAGGAAGCATTATTATGGATTATGGACTCGTATTTTGGCCGGAAGCGACAGTTTAAAGTCTTAATGATGGACTTGTTTCGTACCAACTTGCAGATTTCACTTCACAAGATGTTAACTGATGGACTGGAGTCGTGTGGATTACTTGTGGATTATTATGATGTTTTTATCAGCTGTTTAGACTCTCATTCTGACGGCACCCATTCACTGCAGAGGATCCATCAGCAAGTGATGTAATCCAAAATTTCTCCAAATCTGTTCAGATGAAGAAACAAATTTATCTACATCTTTGATGGCCTGAGGGTAGGTTTTCAGCAAATTTTAATTTTTCAACTATTCCTATAATATGTATCAAATATATTAGCAATAATTTAGTAATCCTAGTCTCTATTCACTAAAAATATTAAGCCTACTAACCAAAACTGTAGTTATTACAAATAAATGCCATCACGAGGGTCTTTCAACTCGACGAGCCTGTAAAAACACAAGATGAAAACAGGACATTTTGAATCAAAAAGGTATAAAGTAACGTTTAATGTGTTGTGTGAATCAAACAACACAAAAGTGAGCCTTACTTGCTTTGAGAGCGTGCAGTTTTTCTGGTCTCTCGAGCTTCGTTCTCAGCGTAGATCTTCCTATAGCAGTAAATCAGCACTCCAATCATCCACAGCTGCAGAACTGCGATCAACACATACATCATGATCTCAGAAATCACAGCCGTCAGCTCAGGGTTTGCTTGGGGAGTAACAAATTCCGATATTCAGATTACATGATGAAATGCAAATGTATCACTTGTAAAAGGGTCTTAAAATGGATCTCACCATTTTCCACAACTGTGAGTTCTACCTCTTTACTTATTACCACATGTTCCTCATTCAGAGGAAGGTACAGCGTACGGTGGAAGGTACAGAGGTAAGTCCCAGTGTCATTATATGTGACATTGTGAATAAAGACGGAACCAATTTGCACATCCTTTGTACCCATAGTTCCTTTCCACTCTAATCTTCCCTCAAAATTTTCATGAAGAATGATGGGGTTATTGTATTCATACTGAAAAATCTGAGAGGGATAGATATATCAGTAGAATAAAATCAGTCTTTAAAAGCCTTTTCAACAATTACAAGCGTGAAAAGTCATATATGCATCAAGCTGATCAAGCTTTCTGATCCAAAGAATCACTCTACTAACATGGATAAACTCGTCAGATCCAGCTGCTTTGTAGTGCCAATCAACAATAGCAGAACCAGGCACTTCTTCTCTTCTTTTGCAAGAAATGCAAACCAACAGAAAGCCTTTGCCAGCCACAGCTTCTGTCATGGAGTCTACTTCAGCACATCCAGTTTGGCCCTGTGGCACTACAATTAGACATATTGAGACAAATAGATGTACAGAATGTTTAACAAGCAAGAAAAAGAGATGCAAGATTATTATAATTCAGTTGCATTAAGCAATGAACTGGTATGGCACTGGGTCCCTTTTTGGTCACACTGGGACAAATTCTCACTATTAACTAACTGTCAACTAGGTATTTTGCCTCAATAAATGTATAAATTGCTGCATGTTAATAGTTAGTAATAGTTCACTTAACTAGAGATGTTATTAATGCAGCTTATAAAATGACAAATATGCATAAGAATCATCTGTTGACTGTACGTTAATGTTACACTCGATAATTTTACTCTAAATATATAATCTCCTCTAAATCGTTGTATCTTCTTAAATACTTTCACAGTAGCGTGTTATAACTTACCTTGAATATAAAAGATGCAGAGAGCCAAAAGTGAAATTATTCCCAGTGCCATTTTCACAGTTCACACAGTTGTATGAACCGATGGATTATAAATCGCTTCCTCGAAATAGCGTGTATATTATAAAATAACGTTTCTCTTATTATCACAGTTTCATAAACATTACTGGGCCATAACAGTCTCAGTTCTTCTTATTTTAAATCCAAAACACATATCGCATTTGCGCTCTTCAATTGATTTTCCTAAAAACATACATTTAAACACAATCCTCCAGCGTTCAATTGATTTAAAGGAATGCGTTTTAAAATAATACCACGTCGCTAAAACAGACCGTTTCTTGCAGCAGACTTTGAAGTTTAGGAGAGCTAAGGATAGACTGTGTGAATCATTGTGCTTGCAACTCAGCTCGCAATTTGAGAAGTCAGATTCAGAGGAGCAGCATCCAGTTGCTATAAAATCGCCTAATAATCACGTGGCATGCCGTTTTAACATTTATTCCCTTAACTATTGCCTATTTTATGCTTTTTAGTACTTGTACTAGAAATAATCCAATAGTATCTAGGCTATTAATTTCCTTCTATTCCAGTCAACTCCTTGCTAATCACTATCCCAACACTGACAGTAACTGTTTATTTATTATTAATGAATTGCTTTTGTCCCCATTGAATTCTATGGAGATCTGTGTTCAGGTATCAAAAATTCACTTTTGATTAGAATGTATTCCAATTAATACTGGGACCTATTTCAATTTGACCACATTTAGTATATACCTGTTAATGAGACGCAACTATATAGGCCTATCTTACTTTTTTTTTTACTTAATGACTACTCAGAATGACTACTTTATAGTCTGGTCAAGTTAAAAACTGTTTCTAACTATTGGAATAGTAAGCCCTAGAAAATAAGTACTGAATATCTTGTAGTATCTACTGAATGGCTTGCAACTCAGCTCGCAATTTGAGAAGTCAGATTCAGAGGAGCGGCATCCAGTTGCTATAAAATCGCCTAATAATCACGTGGCATGCCGTTTTAACATTTATTCCCTTAACTATTGCCTATTTTATGCTTTTTAGTACTTGTACTAGAAATAATCCAATAGTATCTAGGCTATTCATTTCCTTCTATTCCAGTCAACTCCTTGCTAATCACTATCCCAACACTGACAGTAACTGTTTATTTATTATTAATGAATTGCTTTTGTCCCCATTGAATTCTATGGAGATCTGTGTTCAGGTATCAAAAATTCACTTTTGATTAGAATGTATTCCAATTAATACTGGGACCTATTTCAATTTGACCACATTTAGTATATACCTGTTAATGAGACGCAACTATATAGGCCTATCTTACTTTTTTTTTTACTTAATGACTACTCAGAATGACTACTTTATAGTCTGGTCAAGTTAAAAACTGTTTCTAACTATTGGAATAGTAAGCCCTAGAAAATAAGTACTGAATATCTTGTAGTATCTACTGAATAGTTACTGGTAAAAAAGATACATCATTTAGTAATGATTTTAAAAATAAGTAACAGTTACTAGTTAATCTTAAGGAATTCATGTTGAAATGGCTTGCCATATCAAATGAGCACAGGCCTGCTTTCCTAATGTCAAAATTCTCAGAAATCATCTTTATGTTTCTAGTTAGATTTAAGGAATGAATGTGATGCATTAAAAGTAAACTAGTTGTAGTGATGAGTTCATTTCAGGGGCCATACGCCAATAGTCAAGGACATTACTGAGATCCAGACCTGAGCCTTCGTGGTTGTGGTTAGTGCTCCTGAAAAGGAATAAACAAGTTAGCTAAATGTAGTGCTATGGAAACGGGATTGTTTTTACTCAGTTATAATAACATTTGCATTTTCCTTCTTCCTTAGAGAGCTGCAGATGCCACAGTTCTAACATACTTACAACGGCTTTTGTTTGAAATGATAAGGAAAGGAGCTCTGCTCACATTTATTAAGAATAAGTGTCAGTATTCAGTAAAAATGTGAAAAGTTTTTATAATTTTGCAATATGCAGTGCTATCACAGGGAACACAAAAGAGAGTTGACATTCAAAATAGTTCTGCTTGAATTTCCACAGAATTTTACTGACAAATGAGCTTAGAGTAAATTAATGGCAGGTGCCTTTCGAAGATGCTAAAGTCTGTTCTATAGAGGATATACCTGTACAAATTTACAAGCTGCAGTATTTGATCATGTTGATAATGGTTTTGTTTGTACAGTATATACCTAATACATATTGTGCATATTTTGCTAACACCTCACAATGTGTGACATCACTGAAGATAAAGTCTTATTGATTGTAATCTTCAGAAAAAAAGTCAAAATGTCTAAACCAAAGTATGACTTCGCAATTGTAGAAGTTTTAAAATGTGCACTGCTTTAAAGTTTAGTTGCTAAATTGTGTGTATGTGGTGAAACAGCGTTATTTTGCTATGGTTTATCACACAGCTTCTCTGTTTTCTTTTCAAGGCACTTACATTCAATGTCAGTTTACTTAGTCTTGAGCACAAGGGCGTTTCATTGGACAGCAAGGTTAGCAAAACATTCCCTAATGGAAAATGATAATTCTACTATCTTAACTAATTACTAGGCCTAATAGATTTAAAAAACAAAAACAAACAAAACAACAACAACATTTTGTTCTCACATTAAATGCTTAAAAAATAGGCAAAATCACATTCACTTGTTGTGTGTTACGAGTGTTAAGGTAAAGTATTTACACTGACACGTCATGTCATGTCAGATTGCGTCAGGGGTTTACTGAGTAGGCCTAGCTGATAAACTTCTGGAGTGAAGGTTGTTGTTTTGGTCCCCCAAACGTCAGACCACCCTCCCCAAACACAAGCAGGCCGTACGCAAAGCGTCCCACCTAATTTCCTTAACGACGAGCTGGTGAACTTTTATATTTAGCACCGCTCGAGTTGCCCATTCAGTGCCAGCAGACGTTCAGCAACACAACCTTGTGGAACCTCTCCGCTACACCAACACAACTCATAACATCAGACGAGTCACTGGCACTAGAGAGGAAACACGTGCTGAAACCCTGTCAGAATCGAATTAAGTGGTGAGTCAAGGTTACTTCATATGTTTTAATAAACGAAACGTTCTCGCGGAACCTGATTGAAAGGAAAAGCTGTAGAGACCGGAACATCTTACAGTCTGTTTACATAGCATAGTCTATACATTAAATAATCTATACCCTAATCTTTCCGCATGATAACATACATAACGGTTAATATTGAACTTACAGCTCGGTGGTTTGCTGTAAATCTTCAAGTTCAAGAACACATCTCAGGAGATTGTTTTGTTTTTATACAATTTAGAATAAAATATAATCATAAGGTAAGAAGACTGTGAGATGACCCTGTTGAAAAAAACAGCATATGCTGGTTAGGTATGTTTTGACGCTAGGATGCTGGTTTATGCTGGTCCTTTGCTGGTTTAAGCTGGTCCTTTGCTGGTTTAAACTGGTCCTTTGCTGGTTTAAGCTGGTCCTTTGCTGGTTTAAACTGGTCCTTTGCTGGTTTAAGCTGGTCCTTTGCTGGTTTAAACTGGTCCTTTGCTGGTTTAAGCTGGTCCTTTGCTGGTTTAAACTAGTAATTTGCTGGTTTATGCTGGTCATGTACTGGCAAAGGACCAGTTTAAACCAGCAAAGGACCAGCTTAAACCAGCATCCCAGCGTCAAAACATACCTAACCAGCATATGCTGGTTTTTTCAACAGGGGAATGGTCAACAAGTCGCCTCAGTAGGCCTAATAGGCATAATAACGTGTCTGTGTTTTTCTTTAGCCCTCTGAAAGCAAGGTGACCCAATTCTTGGCGAGAAACGGGCTGAAACGGGCAAGAAAATATCTATTCCAAACTCATCTCTCATTGCTTGATAGATTAATGATTATTAAAAGCGTTGAAACAAGCATTCAAGGTAAGCAGTTTTATCCAATACCTACGCACACTTCACTCTTTTAGGATTTCTATTAACCAATCTAAATGTTTCAAACTGTCATTGTTGGACTCCCATATTATTAAAGTATTCCTCCTCTATTTTGAGTTTAGGTTAAACACGCTACACTTAATGTCCTGAAGAGGGTGCAGTAATCAAATAAATCAGACTGGGAAAATTTAGTGATGTAGAAATCAATTTGAGGATTATATGAACTATAGGATAGGAATGTTTAATATGTATCTACAGTGTATAATAATTTAAGCTTATACATATCTATTGGATTTTTGATGACTTGTCATGCTTTATGATTGCTTGGTAATACGAACTCATTAGATGTTCCATATATACTATTCATTTATTTCTGTAATTTTAAGCACTTTATTGGTGTTTAAGATGAATTATTTGTGTACAGGCCTGTTAGTACACAACGCCAAAACACCCGTTATTTGTTGTCTGCGCACGCTGAAGTGTCTTTCGATGGATTCTCGCTCGACTGTACCATAAAGTAAACCGGGCGGGGGTGTAAATAATTCAGTATAATTTCCATTAATTTATTTTTTCCGCTTTGAGCTGCGTTTTAATATCAACGATGTCCGTATTTGTTTTTCTCCTTATATGTGTTCATACTTTAATTACTTATTCATTAAAGTGTCACTGTACTTGTCTTGGACTTTGAATCTAACGTACCCTGTTGAAACGTTTTGCCCGTCGCATTGGAAACAGCTCTATCTTACTATCTCTTCGTGTAGCATTTAAACTTAGGAAAAGTTCGTATACTTATAATATAATAACTACATAATTTAATGAGGCATATTCATACAGAACAAACTATGACTAGTGCTAGACTTGTGACTAGGATTTCGGAACGGTGCAAAGGCGAAATCACGGCTGGGAAAAAGTCAACAGGACCGTTTTCTCTCCCACCGGTTTCATTAGCATGCTAGCCAACTAGCTTCTAGTATTCGCCTCAACTGTCTGAATAGTAACTTACAGCTGACCGGTTCGTTAGCACTGCTAACGCCTGGCATGGTTTATTTACTGAAGTGTGATTTGACATGTACGCATTTGTCCGCGTATGTAGACTCGGAATAGTTAAACATTAATACATAATTGGAAAACAGTGGCTAAATTTGAAAACTGGCGACGAAAGCTACTTTTTTTGGTTAGCTTTCCGGCTAAATTTGGGGTGCTGATGTGTTCCTGCGAGAAAGTGGATTTTAACATTACTCCTCGTACTGTCGCCCGTCTGGTGTATGAGGCCGAACAGGAAAAAAACAATGGGGGTAATTCGTCCAATGGGAGGTAGGAATTATTATTATTATTGGTTTGTTTATTATTTTATTTTTTTTCTTTATTCTTCTTATTAAATTAGACTTTTGTTAAGTTCATAAAGTATCTGCCCTTGATGTCCTTCATTCAACTGAAGTATGACTTGATGATAAAAATGTTTGTTTGTATACTTGTTTTTATTTATCATACTGCTGGTTTTTACACTTTGTGTGTGTGTAAGTGAAAGTGTTAATAGCCCTAGTTTGATTTGTTCAAACAAAACCAAGACATGATTTAGCTTGTTCAAACAGGGAAGTAAATAAAGTGGCAGATCTTGTCCCTGCCTTTGATAAATAGCTGTCAGTCTTGTTCTGAAGCCTAGTGATGAAACAGTTCAGTAGGTTTTCACAGGAATTTATGTTAATTTGCCAATGATCAGGAAGTTCTGCACAATTTCTCAACAGTTTAAAAGGTCAGGATTGATGACTGCTGATTTGGCTATGTTTGTCTTATCACTTGGTGTGATAAGAGTGTGTTAGTACTATTTTGGGTCATGCTTTTTAGTTTGTATTTTTGAAAGTGTTGTTTTTCTTTTGCTTGATACTTATGTTAGTTTCATTGAGTTCAGGAAGGCATCTTAAAAAGCGAACAATAAAGAGGACACATTGTGCAGCTTGAGTATTGTGGTGGTTGATTTGTCTCAGTGTGGCTCACCAGCTTGTAGTAACACTGACAGGAAAAACTGCTTAGTTTTGGGGGCCCTTGTCTTCTTTAACCACAGTAAACATTACACAATGTGCACAAATGTTCCAAGGTAAAACATGCAAAGCTGATAGTCAGTTTAGAAAAGAAAACAGGTTTTCTATTTACATGTGCATTTCCGTTGCTTTTCAAAATGTGTCTTGTTCCCTTTGGAGGAAGTTCAGCAACATGATACAAGCCAATAATACAATAATAGGTAAAGCAGCTGTTCAAAATTCACTGGGTATTTCATTATATTTTCTATTAGATTAAGCTGTTGATGTTTTACACTTAAGTTAAATCAAAGGCAGTAGCTTGAGGTTCAGTGGCTTTTTTGTCCTGGATTGTAATAGTTTGTAATTGTTTTGGTTCACCTCTTTTTTGGATAGAGCCTGTAACCTTCATGTTAGCAGTTTAATTAACTACTTTTAGCTTGTATTCTCGTCACAATATCTAGAGGTGTTTCTCAAAGCTTTCAGGTGACAAATGAAAAAATAATCACAGAATGATGGCTGCATTATACTGTAATCATGCTATGGTTACTCCACCCATACATTAATAACAGCTTTAAACACCACTTATGCAGGTGTATGCATAATAATAATAAATCCACTTTTGCACCACTTATCCACTTATGTTATATGATTTTATGTTTGTGTTGCTCTGAATCTGATTTGTCAGTCATGATATCATTTAGAGGAGTAATACCGTAAGAATATGGGAGGATATTATCCAACAAGACTTTTCATTTAGTAGCAAACTTTGTTCTCTCTTACATTGTTTCTTATAAATGTTTTTATAATTATGTGGAAATAGGGCTGTGCAATTAATCAAATGCGATTGTCATGCGCATTTTGATAGTAATGCCGGTTCTGTAATCAGCAGGAAATCATCATCACATGCTTTCAGATGGAGCAGAATGGACTACACATAGCTGTAGTTCACTGACAAGTTACGCAAAAAAATCGCAGACGATTTTATTGCGCGATTATGAAATCGAAGAAATCGTTCGCGATAATGACAGCTGTTTGCATAGCTTCTCAGTGAACTATGGCTCTGTGAAGTAAATGCTGCTCCATCTGAAAGCATGTGAAAATACCACATTAATAACATATTTTTACCCCAAACTCACTTCATAACGTCAGTCGAGTGTTTGAAATAAATCCTTCTGTGAGATGATGTGGCTTCTTACACAGAATAAGGCATGCAAAATATTTCATAGTATTTAAGCAGTGATAAAGGCATTGCATTATAAATATACTTTATTTCCCTCTGGCCTTTGGATGGAGATTTACTGCTGATCACAGAACCGTTCTTCACTAAGACATGCATGACAATCGCAGCTTCTGTCGAATCGCGATCTCTGTTCCATTTCGATTTATCGTGCAGCCCTATGTGGAAATATATTTGGGGTGCAACCCTCTGACCATTGAAAGTTTGGGGTAAGTAAGAATTTTTTTCAAGAAACGAGAAATGTAGCAAGGACATTGGTAAATAAATGATCCATGTGACATCAGGGGTTCAACCGTAATTTTACAAAGCTATGAGAATACTTTTTGTGCACAAAAGAAAAAGAAAAAAAAAACGTTATTCAACAATTCCTCTCCACCCTGGCACCATTTTGGAAAAAGTATTCACTTAACAGAAGTATGCTGTTCTGTGTCAGCTGCATCACGCAGATATGTTGTTTTCGTTCAGATCAAAGCGCAAACAATGTAGAAAACGTATCTGCGTGGCACAGCTAACACAGAACAGCAAATGCTGTTTACGTTCGGTGGATACTAGGGATAGTGCTGGGCGGTATACCGGTTCATACCGAATACCGGTGTTTATTTTTCTTATGATATGTATTTTTAAAATACCACAATATCGGTTTCGTTTAAATAATGTTCTGAACGCGTTTGACTTTAACTTGCATAAAGTTTAAATAGGTATACAAAACTTGAAATAAATAAACGTGTATAATATATAACCAAATAAATAAGAAAGTAGAACGTTTATTAGCAAAACGAGTAAGAAAGCTTGGAGGCATGACATACACCTTGATGTCAAATAAAATAAATAAATGACACAAAGTTTAAATAAAGTAAAAATCAGCAAACAATGTGGAACAAATTAAATAAGAAACAAATGTTTAAAAAAACTTCCAAAATCAGATAAGCGGCAAAAGTCAACAGGCTTTTCAAAATCCAAAATATTGCCAAACAGGCGCTTTTGCATTTCGTTTCGAAACTAAATCATCCGTGATCGTCTTGTCTGTCTCACCCCACTCTTCTTGTCAGTTAGCTCAACTCACTCTCCTCAATGGATAAATGAAATCTGATCTGTGATGCGACTGTCGTTCGGCACGCTGCATTGAATAGCCGCGTTCAGTTTTTAATTGTAGTGTCTGTTCTTTTACTGAACTAAATTATTTGTATTACTATAAAAAATCTAAACGACGGTGGGGGTCGGTGACGCGGTGGGCAAGTGACGTAACTGGTGTTGCGGCTTAACACCGGTATCACCGTCAGCACCGTCTATCGCGGCAAGCCTAGTGGATACTCTCCAAAATGGTGCCAGGGTGACGCAGAGGCAACAAATTGTTGAATAAGTCTGGTTTTTTTTCTTTTGCACACAAACAGTATTCTCGTAACTTCAATATTGTCACAAAACATTTCTATTTCGAATAAATGCTGTTCTTTTGAACTTTCTGTTCATCAAAGGATTATGGTTTCCACAAGCATATGAAGCAGCTCAACAGCTTCAATTGTAACAACTTTTTTTTTTTTGGTTGATAATAATAAATGTTTCATGAGCACCAAATCAGCATATTAGAATGATTTCACAATATTCATTTTCTTTTGTATTTCTGACCAAGCAATAATGCAGCCTTGGTGAGCATAAGAAACTTCTTTCAAAAATATCCAAAAATCTTACCGACCTCAAACTTTTGAAGTTGTTATTTACATTTCCTAAATGTATGCATTTTATTTTAAATCATTGAATCTCTTCCACATTTGGCCCTTTTTGTTATAACAAAACTGTGACTCACTGTTAAAATTAGCGTTAAATGATGGCAGTACTGTATGCTCATCCCTGAAAAAACATAATATTATACAACTGATCTGTAAAGATACGTTTTGGTACAATATAAAGGAGTTCAAGTAACCTTTTTTTAAGTCTGTGGCTTGAATAAGTTAAAAACAAATACAGTTTTTCCCCTCCTCAGCAACATGATATTATCATACCTGATGTGCGAATCGCGATAACGAGGTGGATTGCAAAACTGCATTTTTTTGTGAACTGTGCTTGTAGAAGAAAAGGGGGCAGAGACTTTTTTGAAGGACGCCTTTAGTAGCAACAGAGAAACAGGAAGAAGATGGATTTGACATTTGCAAACAAATTCGACTGCTCAAATTCTGGGTTTTTCTTTCCTCTAAAAATGATCTGCACAAGAGATGGCTGCACATTTTTATGTAAATTGTATTTCAGTGATGGCTCCACCCCATTTTTGAGTTCCTGCTGCAGGAGTTAATGCTGTATATATGCTGTACAGCTGTGAAGGAACCTGAACTGCTGACTTCTTTCTTCAGGACAGTGAGTTGCAATGGATGCAGACTTTTCCAAATGTCATCAGATTGTATTGCCATAATGGAATATTTATTTTGGGCTCTAGTGGAATTTCCAGGCTACATGTAGAAGACTAGAGAGTAGGAAATATCTAGCATTTCTCAATGAATGATTGTGCATGGTGAAACTTGTCCTCAATGAAACTGGCAGCCTTAGACAATCCTGATGCAGAAAGTTCTAGGTAATACGTGAAAGTCTGTAGAACATGGCTGTGACACCACCTCCTGAAATTACCATAGCTGAGCCCATTTCCATTCCAATCCTAAATGTTCTCCCACCGTCGTCCGATACGGAGTCATGGTCCTGTTCCCCAAGCCCACGGCCACACCGGTACCACTCTCGGAGCCGAAAACGGGAGAAGAGAAGAGCCAAAGTGCCTCAAGAGGACATATCAAAGAACCGTTGGGATAAAGGGCAAGGGAAACGAGATAGGAGCCAAAGCCTGTCACGTGCATCTCCAACGCCTCCAAGGGTTTCTAATGTAGAAGAGGAAGAGCAGAGCAGCCCCTCCGTGCTTCTCCTACCCCCATCCCGCTCATGGTCACAGAGCTCCTCCCTAAGCAGGCGCTCTCGCTGGTCTATCCGTAGCCTTCTCAGCAAGGACTCGGATTGTGGCAGCAGCAGGTCAGTGTGTTCCCCCTCTTGCTTGTGCAGTCTGCAGCACTTCCTTATGCCGAGTTTTTTTTTTTTTCTTAAGTGCATCCATGCTAGATGCTCAGAGGGATATTTCTGCAGGTGCAGATGCAATGAGAAGAGGTGGAGAAACACTCTGGTTAGGCATGAGATGTTTTTGGTTTTAAGACCCATGCTTATTAGCATTACCTTTTCCATAGATAGACTTATTGTCTTTTTTTTCTTCATTGGCATGTTTTGTATTTTCTTAATTTAATTTTAATTTAAAGAAGTGTTTGTTTCACTTCCCTTCAGAGTCAAATTCAGAATTTGTTCAGAGTGCAATGCAGTTAAGCTCTATCAACAGTATTTGTCATTTACCACAGGAAATAGGTTTGACTTGTTCCTTAGTTGCATTTATAAAGACGGCAAGAAACATGGTAACAGTAAGGCACACACAGTGCGAGTAAATAAGTAATTCTTTAAGTATGAAGTATTATACAGGTCATTTAATTGTTTAAAAATAACTGTTACTGTATACTTGAATATAATACTGTACACCACACACACACACACACACACACACACATACATAAGTGTGACCCTGGACCACAAAACCCGTCATAAATAGCCCGGGTATATTTGTAGCAATAGCCAACAATACATTGTATGGGTCAAAATTATCGATTTTTCTTTTATGCCAAAAATAATTAGGATATTAAAAAAGGGTTAGTTCACCCAAAAATGAAAATTAGCCTATGATTTACTCACCCTCGAGGCATCCTAGGTGTATATGGCTTTCTTCTTTCAGACGAATCCAGTTGGAGTTATATTAAAAATCTTCTAAGCTCTATCATTGCAGTGGGCAGGTGTATTTGTTCAACAGTCCAAAAGACGTCAAATAAAGTGCATTCATCCGTAGTAAAACATGCCTCACACGGCTCCGGGGGGCGAATAAAGGCCTCCTGTAACGAATCCATGCGTCTCTGTACGAAAAATATCCATATTTATCTAACTGTGGTACTCAGGTACTTAGAAGGGGATGACGTAGGACGTCGGCATAGCATGATTAGTGACGAACACGGAGAGAGAACAAAACAAAATGCCGGTTATGAATTAGAAGTACAAACCGAGGATTTCGATATAGGGCCTAAGCCAAGAGGAGACTGGTTTTCTTTTGCTAAAGTAAGGAAACTTTGCTTCCTTTGCTCCTGTAAACTAACTCGTGAGACTAGCATATCTCAGAGGCGCGCGTGCGACGCATACGTCCTACGTCATCCGCCGGAACAGCTTCCGCATATGACAGATAGCAGAAGTGAGAGAAAAGTGTTTATTATGTTTGAAATATGGATATTTTTCTTACAAAAACACATGGATTCGCTACAGGAGGCTTTTATTCACACCACGGAGTCGTGTAAGGCACGTTTTATTATGGATGCACGCAATTTATTTTACGTGTTTTGGACTGTGTAACAGAAGCACCCACCCACTGCAATGATAACGCTTGGAATAGCCAGGACAGTTTTTTAATATAACTCTGATTGGATTCGTCTGAAAGAAAAAAGTCATATACACCTATAGGATGCCTCGAGGGTGAGTAAATCACAGGCTAATTTTCATTTTTGGGTGAACTAACCCTTTTAGTAAAGGTCATATTCCATGAAGATATTTTGTACATTTCCTAACTTAATTTTTGATTAGTAAAATGCATTGCTAAGAACTTAATTTGGACATGTTTAATAGTATTTATTTAACATTACATAAAGGTAATGCCACAAATTCAGAAATTCCAGAACATTATAACCATGGTCCAGAGCATTCTTTCAATGCAAATGAAAATGTAAGTGTTCCCTAGTAAACTGCCATCATTCAATCTACACTAGAAATATGGCCTGTAATAGTTCCATACATGCATATAAACGCTGTGCTTTATTGCTTGTTATAATTACAGTGAATCTGTCCAGAAATATTTCCAGGGACCAAATTAAATGGAGTCCTGAAACACTGTAATTAGGTGAGGTTTATTGAGACCTTTTCATTGAGTAATAGGAAAGATGATAGAGTGACAGAAGAGAGACCACAGAGGACGAGTGCTCTTGGCAGTGGAGAGATGGAGGCGGGGCTGAGCTGTCTGGCTCTCGCACACATGACATCACTATTACCCAGTGGGAATGTTCCGCCTTTTCTGGTGATGTCACTGCTGCCCAATCAGAAGCTGTTATTTTGATGCTGCAGTGAAGACTGTCAGCCAGTGAAAAGACTAGCTTGGAGAGCGAAAGGTGTTTTATGCACGCCACATGAACAGCTGTGCCCTTGTCCTTCTCATCTACCAACCCGTTTCATTGACCTAGTTCTTTCTGTTTTGTTGCTCAGTCATTTCGAAGACTAGCACTGAATTGGAGCCTATTCTGATGTTTTACAAGGTTCTGGATATTGCTTAGCAAGTGCTTATTTATTTATTAGCTTACTATAACCTTAAACCTTGCAATTTGGCAGCAGCTCTGGACACAATCCTTGTTAGTCTGAAAACAAACAAAATGCATTTTTATGGCTATGAATTATCACCCTTGAAATGATTCAGACATGCACGAATGAGTATTACAGTATGAATCATTTCCATCTGATGAATCCATCCTTCCTTTATTTTTAGACAGATCTGTGTAATCTAAAGTCCAAGAGGGTAAAGCTAAAGCCTGTTTATTGCTCACTTGCATTAATCGTTTTTGCTGACTGTAGAATGGGCCTTGTTTGTTTAGCAGTGTCTGTAGCTTGTTTATCTGTCCAAAATCAATGCAAATTCCTGCTGTGCAAACTTGCATGTCAGGAATTTGCATTGTAATTTGTATTGTGAATAACATTAACTATATTATAATTATGTAATTTTATCTATCACCTCCTAATAGCATGAAAAGAGAGGATTATAATTGCCTGTTTAAACCTCTGTGCAACCCATGCACTTTGCCTGTAGTTCACCCGGTTTACATCAGTTGCTGCTTGTCTGAAGATTTTTATTTGTCTAAGCCTCTTTGGGGTGCTTTGGCCTTTTTGACCATGATGTAATTGTGGTTCTGTGTGCCATATGTCTATATATAAACTTGAGATCCTTTTAGGAGACTTGATTAGTGCTGCATTTCTCAGATCACACACATTTTAAACTCTGCTCCTTACAGACACAGGAATTGCAGAAATAGACTTGCTTTGAGCTTCAAAACCTCAATCCTAGTGGATTATTGCACAGGAAGAGCATTATCTGTGTTGGATCGATGCCACTAAAACCTCAGAAGTGAAAGGTAGAGTGACATTGATCGCCCCATTTCCTGAGGTCTAAAAAAAACACTTGTCATACCTAATTGACTTGCATCTGTAATGTACCATATTTTCCAGAAAATAAGTTGCATCTAAATATATATTGCACCAGGTCAAAATTGCTTTATTACATTCTTATATTATTCAGAAATAATATAAAATTTTAGTTCCCCTTACTCCACAAAAAATCCTTTAAATTTATTGAAACTACCAGTGAAAATACACTGCTTAAGTCATAGCACATTTCAGATGATTAAAAGGAAAGACAAATTATATTTCATAAAATACGGTATTATGTTTTCAATCTGACCCCATTGTCTCAACCCCTTTTTTAAATTATTAATAAAGATGCTTATAGCTAAATTGCTACCTTTACATTTATTTATTTACTTTTATCCATTGCCATACTGGCTGTATATGATTTAGGAATCTGTATTTGTGTAGCTATATGTCTTGGCCACCCGTCACCCTTCTTACTGAGATTATGGCAGCCTCTCCCAGGAAAACAGATTATGGAGGCGGTCGGACCTCTCAGAACTATTATGCACTGTACGGTCTCTATGCAAACTGGGACTGGGAAGCCAGGTTTCCAGTTTTTGATACAGGGATTGATTCCCTTAATTTGAATAACTTTGTGTCCTTACCAGCTCCAGGCATCCAGTCCATCAGCAAAGCATTTAAATCTTTAATCGTTTACTGACTCGAGTGCTTTCACATCAACTCCAAGCGTAGTCCCCTTATGGTCTGGCCCTGGTGTGTGGTAGTAAAGAGAGGGCTACTGCCTCAAACGGTGTTGATTCCCTCCTCCACACAGTACATCTTCTTTTCTCCTCCCCCTCCCTCTCTTACCCAGTGTGTAGGTTGCTTTAGGATAGCTGGGGCGCTATGGTGGAGACCGCTGTGGTTGCGTTTTATAGGGGGTCTGGTTCCTCTTGTGGGATGGGGAAGTTGAACGATCGCGTTCTGTTGGACTAGAACGGGCTGCGGATGAACAGTGTCTCCAATGCATTCGGTTTGTTAATCTGAATGTACCGTCTGTTGTGTCGGCGCTGTGCTATATTGAGAGGCTACTGTAAAATAAACGTGGTCATCACGCACTGAACCGAGAAAACACCCAATGACATGTTCGAGTAAGTAGCAAATGGGTTAGTTATTTTATGCAATGCATGCATAATGATGTTGTTTCTACAAAGCGTATGCTAATGTTGTTTAACCGTTCACTTCTATCAGTTGTTCTTGCATCACGGTGCAGTAGAAGGTTGTTAAGGCGTTAACACGCATGCAACTGCGATTGCATCCCTAAACCGCACTGATGACATCGACATTCTGTGTGTGTGATCTATCCCGGTGTGCACAAATGCACGTTCAGCACTGAGGATTAGATTGGCGCGTGCTATAGTTTTACTTTGTGCACGTTCTGCATGCAAACCCCGTCTTCGTTATGCCTTTACTTTATTTAAATGACAAAAATGCAGGCACTTTTTGCACATTTGCATTGGTTTACGCAGTGTAGATGTCAGCAGCTGAAGCTCGCGGCATTAGTATTTTTTAGATTCAGCATTAGACCGCCCATTCATTCTGTTGAAATTTGCTGTAGCGATGTCCGATTCGTTTGAGTCGAATCTTTTGAATGAATCGATCGAACCGGTCCATCAAGTCGGACCGAACGATTCGTTCACCTGTTGAACTGAATCGTTCCTAGCTGTTATCGAGTCAACTGACTTATTAACAATTTTAATGTTCTGATTAAATGTAATCAATCTGATTTATTATTTGATTGACAATTTTATCAACACGCATAAGAAACGAAGTGGCTGTCAATAAATAACATTTGTGGTAGTATGCCAATAAAAGGCATTTATTCTGGCTATTGTTAGGATATTATTGGGATTGCATGCTGTTTTACTGCTCTTTCACTTTTGCTAGGATCTGTGTGACTGGTTTTGCTGACATATAAAATCAACTAAACTTGCTCATTCCTTTTGGTTGCTTACATTTCACATTTGAAGCCACTAGACCAACAAGTTAAGTGAGAAATGTGTTCTCATGATCCTGCTGTGTTACCTTGGAAACTTCAATATTTGCCCCCCTATTCCCTCTGTTACCAAGACAACGTGAGACTGGGATCCAAGCAGATATTTGTTAAATATAGGCCAAATTTGTTAAAGATAAAGTAAAGTAATATTTGGTTACCTCCTTGCAAACTGCCACAGTGCTTTTTTTTTTTAGTAAGGGTCTGTTGTTGTTACGCCATTGTCTTCTGTGACTCTTCATCTTCTCATCTTGCAGCAGGCGTGTCTAATCGATGTCCTGAAGTGTGACTGTCTGTTATGTATTTGTATGGTGTTTTGCAGGATCGTTTCAAAACCTTTCTTGCACTGAACATTCAGTTTGAACTGACTGAACTTATCAACTCAAATGCATTACAAACAGGATAACTTGTGGTAAAGGCAGAATTTTTTTTAGGTATTTCAAATGTAGTCCTGACATTAGTTGATTTCCGTTAATGTTATAGCCTTCGATGGTTTCCATTCTCTGTTGTGTCGTAGCAAGTAGTACTGGGTGATTTATTAAAGATACGCAATATATTCTTTACAATTTAATGCTTGTTATTTGACTATGATCACATTCCCTAAATGTTAAAACCATTCATTTTGTGATCCTTTCTTGTTTTGAGGCTCTCTTTTAAAGATGGAAGCCAGTTTTCATATATTTTTGTAAATTATCTGTAGGCAAGCATTGCTGTTTATTATTATATATTGTTATATTAATGCATGTGAATGGAAATGATTGATTAATCATTATTTTCCCTGGTATTTAATGGCCATTTAATGTAAAATATACTTTACTTTACTTTTAGTCGTTTAGCAGACGCTTTTATCCAAAGCGACTTACAAATAAGAAAAAGTATTTAAAACTAAAAGCTAAAACTCTATAAATACGATATATATATATATACACACATTTAAGAAAATAAAAGAAATTAAATAAAAATGACAAACGCATACAACAATATTTCAAAACTAAACATTTAAATGAAAACAAAAAAATAAAGCTAAAAACAATTAAAAATATTAAAAGAACAAAAGGTATGAGTATAATAATGATTCTAACATAACACTAAGCCAAACACCATAAAACAACTACATATGTGTATGTACAGCCACACACCATTTTGTATGTTGAAGTACTGAAATAACTCAAATTAAATAAAACTAAAACTTAATAAAAAACCTATATAGACATAATAAAAATCTTAATAAAATTACAACATTACTACAACTGTAACTAAATCTAAAATAGATAATACAATACAAATCAAACTACATTAGTTTATCAGTAATCCTAAAAAAAATAACACTGAGCCAAACACAAATGCTAAAATAACAACAACTTACTGACACATAGTAAGAAATGGTTATTAAAAAAAAAAACTGAAACCGAAGTGAAACAAGTAATAGGAAAGAGGAGAAATAAAAAGCGATACTTATCCTTTGCCGGTGTCCTGCCCGGTAGAGTCGATGGTCTTTACACTCTTTGGTCTTCAGATGACCGCAGCCGCGACTGCTTCCGCGGTAAACGAAGCTTCCTTTTTTATTCATTTAACAAAACTCAAATTGAATTCAGCTGGACACACTTTCCTGTTTATCACAACAAATGGCCAAGCAAAGCCCACGACACTGACAAAGGTACGCGATACAGTACGAGACCAAGCGCGATTTCAGCACGTCTCCACAGTATACATATACTACATATACCTTGATTATTTTTAAATACTGTTTTTGTTCTTAAACATTGTGAATCCACATGATGACATGGAAAAACAATCCCTTTGAGTCATTTCATACAAAATATTGAGATCTATATAGCCTATATAGTATTTCTGTTTTTGCTGTATCATCCAACCATAGTAAGAACAACTGGTATTAAGGATTGATTTCACATGCCTCAAAGCCACTATCAGCACTCCTTTGACTAAACCGGTCTCATATGTCTGGCATTTAAATGTCTCATCAGACTGATCAAATGTTGGTGAACAGATAAGGCTTTGTGTTTGTGTACAGAAGCCTCTATCTGTGTTGTCACCTTTTTGACTGGAACAGGAATGGAATGCTACTATGGAAACGATTGTTATTCATATAAATACGTTCTTTATCCATGGGCTTTGACCTGAACCCATCCTGGACGTTCTTTCGGTTTGTTTGTAGGTGTGCTAGCTGAAATTCTTCAGATTATCAGCTTGATTATGTTTTAAAATATCTTGGGAGTCTAGAGTCGGTCCTTAACTTGCATACTGTATGTTGTAAACCAGAATCAGTTAGTTGTAATCAGTACATGCTGTTTGCTAAATAGTGGATAAACCTTGTCCTTTTTGTCGTTTCCTTGTGCATGACCCAGTTGCCCTTTAAGGGCGGTTGAAGCACAGTCCTGAAATGCCAGATGACTGTCTGTGTCTCCTCTCTGACCTTACTTCTCCTCCGCCTGCAGTACAGCCAGTAATTCTCCGCGCAGTACTCCCGGCAGCTCACCCTACCTGCGCCGCCGTGTGCTGGGAGGCAGAGCCAGTGAAGGGGAGGCGGGCGGGGACAGAAGCGCTGGGGGCTCAGAGAGCCCCCTGCCTCCTACTCCCTCCTCATCCACCTCCTCCTACCCGCTCGCGGCCCGACACTTCACCCGCAATGCCAAGGTAAGCCACGTTCTCAACCAGTGAGACTGATTGATGGTCGTCACTCATCCAAATGTCTGATATGACAAGCGCTTGCTCTTCCACCCACATACTAAGCACTGTATTGCTGTTCTTTTCTGAATAAATAAGGCAGGAGGAATGCTAGTGTTGCAAACATTTAGAAATGATTCTGAAAGATAATATGGTGCAATATTGGGAAATATTATTATAACTAAAAAGCATTTTCTATTTGAATATATTTAAATTTGTAATTTATTCCTGTGATGGCAAAGCTGAATATTAAGAAATATTAAGCAGCACAACTGTTTCCAATAATGGGAGTTGGCAATAATGGAAATGTTTCTTGAGAAGCAATATGAGAATAATTTTTGAAGGATCATGTGACATTGAAGACAGGAATTTTGTTGTTCAAAATTCAACTTTTGGCATCACAGGTATAAATCGCATTTTAAAATATATTTCAATAGAAATGTTATTTTATAAATTATTTCTTATTTTTATTTCACTGTAATAATATTTCACAATATTATAATTATGTTCTGTATTTTGAACAATTAAATGCAGTCTTTTCAGCATAAGATACTTTTCTCAAAAACACGAAAAACTCATAATTATTCCAAACATTTGAGTAGTGAACATCAGGGATTGATTGGGCATAAAGTCTGCATTGCATATTCAAGTTTGAAGTCAAAGTCCTGAAACCAGGCAGCATTTGCTGGTTAAATAATGTTAATGATTTAATTAATGGAATAAAATGCACTGATGAATTATGCTTAATAAAACCAAGAATGTGTATTAAGAAAGTAAATAGGGCCAATTTTGATTGTTTTGTTGACATGTTTATGTAGTAAATTCATTGTATATTCTCTTCTTTGTTTCAGAAAATGCAGAGCTGGTATAATGTAAGTATCCTGGGGTCTTGGGAAGTTCACACCTCAGTGTTTTTGCTTTTGCTGACAGTGCTGTTTTATTCCACTCACAACTCTCTGATGTACAGGTTCTCAGCCCTACATACAAACAGAGGAATGAAGACTTCCGTAAACTCTTTAAAAAGCTGCCTGATACAGAGCGTCTCATAGTGGGTGAGCGTCACTACTTCATCTGTAAAGCCAATGAATATAATGAGTGATATTATTTTAAGTGCAGCACCGTGTGATAATCACATGGCTTCTGGTTGTGTTCATTTTATGTTGTTTTCTATCTAGACTACTCGTGTGCACTGCAGAGGGACATTCTGCTCCAAGGCCGCCTTTACCTGTCGGAGAACTGGCTCTGCTTCTATAGTAATATCTTCCGATGGGAGACTACGGTAATTACTGAAAACATTGACTTTGCTGCAACAACTAATCCATAACGATCAATATTGACAATAATCAACAATGAATTTCATAATCTATTAGTAGGTGTACCGTGTATTAGTATACAGCAGATGCATGTAGTTTAATAATTTTTTTGCACACAGTGTAACAAACATTACATGCTATTTTTCAAAAGGTTGGCGAGCTGTGAAGTTAATTTTTTTATTTTTTTGAAAGTCTCTTAAGCTCAACAAGGCATTTATTTGTTCAGAAATACAGTAAAAACAGTAATATTGTGAAATATTATTACAGTTTGACGGTATAACTTCTATTTATTATTTTTTTAAATATAATTTATTTCTGTGAATTTTCAGCAGCCATTACTCAAGAAATCATTCTAATATGCTGATTGGCTGCTCAAGAAGTGTTTTTATTATCATCAATGTTGAAAACAGTTGTGTACTTTTCTTTTTGTTTTTTCATGATTCTTTTATTAAAAAGTTCAAAAGAACAGCATGTTTTTGAAATAGAAATTGTAACAAATTATTGAAATAGTCTCTTTTGATCAATTTAATACACCCATTGCTGAATCAAAGTATAAATTTTTTACTGACCAAAAACATTTTTATGGTAGTTCTTAGATGTTAATTTGTTTATTTGTGCAACCTTTGCTTTGGTCCATTATTTATTTAATCCTTCATATTTTTTCTATCTCAATATATCACCAGATAACTATACTGCTGAAAGATGTGACCAGTCTGACCAAGGAGAAGACGGCCAAGCTCATCCCCAACGCCATCCAAATTAGCACTGAACACGAGAAGGTACCACACTGCAGACATCGAATATGCATGCTAAAATGACCATTAATGGATTTCTTTTGTTAGTTGCATTTTGAACCTCCTAAGACAATAAATACTCTGCCTTGGATTAAAATCCGGTCTTGCATTCGTCAGCACTTCTTTACGTCATTTGGGGCAAGGGATCGCAGCTACATGATGATCTTCAGACTATGGCAGAATGCACTGATGGATAAGGTGAGAATCGCACTATTGACAGTGTACATTTATCTGTATAAAAGACACAACCATCTGAAGTCTCCTGTCAGAATCAGTGTTGTGTATTTGTTGGTGTGTAGACAAATTAATTTGGCAGGCAAACAACATCACTTGGCGATTGTCCGTATTAATTAGCACTTGGCAAGATTCAGGTGGTGACTACAGATGCATTGCAATGCACAGATACAGCATCTTCTGCAAGCCTGTCTGTTAGAACTGAACTATAATATAAAGCTACTGCGGCTTATATTGTTGCAACAAACATTCAACAAATGCTACGTTTGCTAAATTCTTTTCTTGTGGTTTTAATAAAAAAAATACAGTTCCAGTTTGCATTGCAGTGAACTTGGATGAAACGCCAAACAGAGTCAGTGGGAATATTTTCGATCTGCAACTAAAATAAAAATAATAATAAAAAAATCCTGTCATTTTTACAAAAATAAACTGGCAGTTGTGGTTGCCAGAATAATTCTCTAAAAATACAGCAAAAATTTACGTAGTGTCTGTGACGTCACCTGTAGGTTTCTAAAGAGCATTTTTGAAGCTCAAAGTGGGCGGAGCCGGCCGTTGCCATCTTGGTAGCACATTACTAACGGATAATCGAAAATGGGCAAAGATGCAGGAGCTGGTAGCTGCGACGGTGGTGACAGCAGCGGCAATCCACCTGCCACTCAAGAGGCCACGCCCTTAATTATGCAGAACTTTAAGGCTTAATATAATTTAAACGGATGAGTTATAAAAAAAATTCACTCCCCTCACAGTTGTCATGAAGGGCAAAATTAGCTATATACAAACCCAATTCCAAAAAAGTTGCCAAAATTATTTTTTGAACCAGGCTGTAAACGTGTTTTTCTGCTGTAAAGTTGGGCATTTTAACATGGGGAAGCCTCTAGCGGCCAGTTGACGAATTACAGTTTAAGTCACTTCTGTGTTGGTTTCACGAGAGAGACCGGAAGGTTGCCGCTTGGCTGCCTCACAGAAATGGGGTTAAAGCAGTCTTTAGCCTGGAAGTGCCCCGCACTGAGGTTTCTGTTTCTTATGTTTCTCCTTCACAGACTCTGTCTCCCAAAGAGCTATGGCACATCGTTCACCAGTGTTACGGCACTGAGCTAGGGCTCACTAGTGAAGATGATGACTACGTCTCCCCTACTGCTGAACATATGAACGGCCTGCTGTGAGTCCACACTGAGAGGAATCTGTTTGAGATTTTATTACATTTACCTTAGAACACAAGGACAGACAGAAGGTTACAGTGCACCTGTATCTATTTTTTGTTTTATTGGTTTTAGGTTTTAGCTTAAATAGGCTATATTATATACACTACTAGAATATTATTATTTTTTTATGAATGTGACCCTGGACCACAAAACCAGTCTTAAGTGATTAAGTGAAATAAGATGCATCATCTGAAAGCTGAATAAATAAGCTTTCCATTGATGTATGGTTTGTTAGGGTAGGACAATATTTGGTCGAGATATAACTATTTGAACATCTGGAATCTGAGGGTGCAAAAAAAATCCAAATATTGAGAAAATTGCCTTTAAAGTTGTCCAAATAAAGTCCTTAGCAATTCATATTACTAATCAAAAATGAAGTTTTGATATATTTACAGAAGGAAATTTACAAAATATCTTCATGGACCATGATCTTTACTTAATATCCTAATGATTTTTGGCATAAAAGAAAAATCGATAATTTTTGACCCATACAATGTATTTTTGGCTATTGCTACAAATATACCCTTGCAACTTACGACTGCTTTTGTGGTCCAGGGTCACTTTTTTTTTTTTTTAGGTTTTGATTAAAAATGTCCACATTATATACATTACTAGAATTTTTATTTTTATTAAATTTACCAAAAGGACAGACAGATTTTTATTTTATTCAATTTATCTTAGAACACAGGGGAACAACGAATGCTGCGAAAGCTGAATGTGTACCTGTATCTTATCTATATTTTATTTTAGTTTTTAGTTCAAAAAGGCCATTATACATTACTCTCATTTAAATTTTTCCCTCTAAAGTCCTCTTAGAATACCAGTAGGAAAGCATTTTAGTTTTGCGTTTTGCATTTTGCATGATAATTTTCCTTCTCCTCGTTGATACTTGGCATTAAATGTACTGTTTTTGCTACTGTATCTTCAGGCTTATATACGTTTCTTTGCCTGTCATTGCTGCCAGGTTGATAAATACTGAATGGTTGATATGTAAACATCCTTGATATGTCAGCGTTTTTGCTGCTTTGGTCAGGGAGTTCAGAGTTCTGTACATTAGACTACGACAACCCTGACACTTACAGTACATCTATGTGTTTGTGTCTTGTAGGCCAGGTGAGGAGCCGGTCTCCGTCACTGACCTGCTGGATCTGGGTTCAGTGCTGGTGGCTCCAGTGGGCTCCTCTCCACCCTCATCTGCCTCAGTTCTTCCCTGCGCTTCAGGATCTTCACCTCCATCCTACTCTTCCTCTTCCTGCCAGCCTGTGGAGGTGCCGTCTACTCGGGCCAGCATCGAACCTGAGCCCAGTCCACCCAGCTCCCAGAGCTCATTGCCACCCACTACAAACACTGGAGCTGCCCCATCCTCAACCGTAAGCAGCAACCAACTGTGAAATACCTGGCAGAGTGGTTATGCTCAAAGAACATTACAATGGAAGATTCAGAGACAAAAAGGTTGCAAAAACCATGATAAACTGATTCATCGGGTTTTCTTATATAAAATATTTTAGAAATATGCTGCATGTGTACAGAGTAAAACTTGCTTGCAAGTCATAGGGATGTATGATTGCATTGAAAATTATTCTTTTGAGTCAGTTTTTTTCCCAATTAATCTGATTACAAATCAGTCTTATTTTATTAGTGAATGTTTGTAAATAATAATCATAATTTAGTAAACAATCATAATCAAACTAAAACATTATCAGAGCAAATATTTACACCCCAGGTCATGTATTTTAGGCTTTTACCAGTTTTAAATGGCATTATGTACTTTTTATTGTGATGTATTGTTTGTATGTCTGACTTTAAGTTGTTTTTTTTGTTTTATTTATGTACTACTATAGTATTTATTTATATTTTATAATAGCTTTTTATTTTTACTAATATTTGAATAGCTTTTATTTTATATTTTTATTTTAATGCTAGTTTAAGTTTTAGTAATTTTATGTGATTTTGCTTTTTATGGGTGTTAGTTAATAGTTTTCAAATATCTGTTTAGCTTGAATTTTTCAGCTTTAGTAATTTTAGTAATTCAACTTGAACAATTTTTTTTCAGTCATGCTATAGCAACATTTCAAAGTTAATTTATTTCTTCTAATATTTATATACATTTTCAGCTATATTTCAATTAAGGAAAAAGATTTTAGACATTTTAACGATAACACTGATTTAAGAGTGTTTATTCATTTTATAGATTGTGGAAGAAGGCGGGGACAGCCAGTCAGAATCGGCCAATCAGTCACTTCAATCTCTTCACACTGTCCCACACAGCCTGGGAAACCTCTCGTCACTGGATATCACCAATGATGAAGAGCTCCCAACTGACCCCAGCAATTCCTCTGACACTCAGGAAGAGAGTGAGTGCTTGTATATCCTCCCTGTTTCTCACAGCAAACTGACCTTAATTTCTCAGATTAAAACAGAAAGATTTGAAACCAGTCTTTCTTTAGAGTAGGTAAATATGTGTCAAATAGCTATGTCCTTGATAAGGAGTCACGTTTAATCTCCACAGGCGAGGTGGAGTCCTTCTGTGCGGATCTCAGCGGCCGGCTGCATATCAACACAGTTGTTCGCATGAGCGTGGACAAGCTCTACGACCTTCTGTTCTCAGACACTCACTTCATACAGCACCTCTTCTCACAGCGTCACTTCACCGGTCAGTTCAGGTTTAAAACTGCCATTTTGTAACGGAGTTTGCTACTCCTACATTGTTGCATTTTAAATGTTTTATTTTTTTTTCTCGCTTCAGCATACTTATTAAAATACTGCCCCTAGTGGACTGGAGTCCTGCTTGCATTTAATCATTGACTGTATTGCTGACTGTTCTATGCATGGCTGGTTTCTGCTGTGTTGTTATTGCCTTTTCCTGCAGCTTTCAGGTCCCACGTGTCCTCTTTCCCCCTCCCTTTTGCTCTTTACATGCTGTGTGTCCTATAGGGGCCTTTGGGCGGATAATGACAACTTGACTATTTGGTTTCGCTGTGTTCTTTAGCATAAAATACCATTGCCTCATTCTTTTTTTTCCTTGGTAACTTTATCTGCTTTGTACAGCAAATAATGTTGAAAATATACATGGTAGATCAAGGAGTGGTAGCCTGGATAGCACAGTGTGAGAAGTGTTTTTTTTCTCGTGCTGAGCTCTTTGTCTTTGTTGTCTGCATGGATAATTGCCCCTTCCCTGTGCCCCTGCAAGTGCTCTGACTGTAATCATCCACCCTTCTTTTTCCCCGGCCTCTAACTTTCTGCTCTCTCTCTCTCGTGTGATTGGTTCAGATCTCTCTGTGCACGAGTGGCAACAGGACAGCAGCAGTGGGAACAGCAGTAGAGTTTTGAGTTACACCATCGCCATCAACAACCCGCTGGGCCCAAAAACTGCTCCTGTGGTGGAAACACAGGTGGGTCCACACAGATCTTTTGCTTTGTTTTTATCTCAGCTGTTCCTCAATCACCTTCATTCTTATTAAAGTGGTAATTCACGGAAAAATTTTAATTTTGTCATTGTCTCACCATCATGTTGTTCTAAACCTGTGCATTTTTTATTTTTTTTGGAAAACAGAAAGAAAGGAAGATATATATATATAATTATATATATATAATTTATTTATTTTTGCCAGTTTAATTTTGGACCACAGTGACTTGAATTACATGTACAAACTGTTTTTGTGTCCCACTGTAGTAAGTTAGTGATATAGGTTTGGAATGATGTGCTGGTGAGTAAATGGTGACAATTTTCATTTTTAGGTGAACTGTCCTCTCTGATAACACATAATACATGCATCACATTTGAAAGAACATAGCCACAAAAATTAGTAAGTAAAATGTTATCCCTGATACTTCATACACATTAGGGCTGCTTGATTTATGAGGAAATTTGAATTCCGATCTTTATGCTAAAAATTGCAATTGCAATTTAAAATAAATTTTTTAAAGAGTTCCAGGTTTGCTGTGCTTGTTTGTAGAGCTTCGCAATGTGTCCAAAAATTGTGATTATATATCAATATGACTATAAAATGTTGTTGTTGTTATTATTATTATTATTATTATATTTAATGTGTGTGTCTGCAGGGTCTCTTCTGATATCTGCTACAGGAAGCAGCCGTGGAGTCTTGTGAAAGCTCTGATAGAGAAGAACACTTGGAGCGGCATTGAAGAGTATTACAGACACATGGGTGAGTAGGTTTTCGTCTCAGTGCAAACCTTGACTGTGACATTGGTGCTAAAAACAATCCCATGTTCCTCGTCAGAGATGGAGGTGTGTAAGCTGGAAACGCTGTTGCAGTCGGAAGTTTCTGTAGTGAGCACTGGGGAAGTGCCTTCCGCGGACTCCGCCAAGACTCCCCCCGGCCTGCGCAGACGCAAACGCAACTGTCCCAGACGAGCAGGAGAGCGGGAGAGAGAAAGGGATGGAGCGGGAGGAGGAGGCGGGGAGCGGGGCAACCGAGGAATTGGAGATGAGCGTGAAAGGAGGGCAGCTGGTAAGTCAGTCGATGCAGGGGAGCACCAGAACTGAATTTAATTAAGTCTGATTTAAGCGACCATGTGGAATGTGTTGACATCTAGTGGTGGAATGCGGAATTGCTTTGACTGGACTAATCAGGGATGTGATTTTTCCATATTTATGCAGATTTCCATAATTTCTGACCTTAGAAGACCTTAGAAGTATGACCCACGTGAATTACATAAATCTGAGGAAAAAAGCAAGAAAGAAATTAAGACAGCCATCAGTTTTAGCAGAAATTTTTTGCAATAACAGTAGTGTAATTTTACTGTTGCTCTGTAAAATAAATTATATTATTAAATGCTAATTTTTATTTTACAGTACAGTATGCAATAGTAATATATCTTTGATTTGTAATAATAATATAATTTAAAAAATTTATAAAACGAATGTTTTTTAATAAAAATATTTAAATATATAATACTAATACTAATAATAATTACATCAAGCTTTTAAAGGAATAAACAGATATGAATTTTTCGGCCTGAGAAGTATGACCTACGTGATTTGTGTGAATCTGACAAAAAAAATAAAAATCTTAGTAATGTAAAGAACATAAATCGTAGTATCATAATTTAACTGTTGTTCTATAAAATAAATTATTATTATTATTATTGTTACATACTCTTTTATTTTACAGTACACTAGTTATTGCAGTAATAGTATGTCTTTATTGATTTATATTTAATAATTATATAATTCAATAAAGTAAAACTAATATTTTGAGTAATAATTTAGATTTTCCTTTTAAATTATTAATTTTATTAATTTAAATATTATTTAATATTTAAATATTAAATAATATTTATTTATCTTAAAATATTACTATTGTAATTTTACTGTTGCCTGTAAAATAAATAATAAAAATTATTATTATTAATAATATGAAATAATTTTGATAAAATAAATAAAACAAATTTTATAGTACATTACTCATATTGCAATAGTAACACGTTTTTGAAGTGTTCAATAACTATAGAATTTTATATAATATATAATTCAGGTTTTCCTTCTTTTTTTGTCCTTATCTGATCACATGCCTGCTGATGAGTCATTTTCCTGTTTTTTCAGGTGCTCAGTATGTGAAATTAGGGGATAGGTGGCGTGGAGCCGGCAACAACAACAATAGCATCTCCACCATCCTGCTCATTGTGAGCTTCATGTGAGTGTTTTCACCTTTGGCTGACTAAATATTACTCTGTGTGCATTTGTAATATCAGCGTTAACACAAACTCACTTCAGATGAACAAGATTCAATCTGAGCTCATTGAGACCGCCGGGTTGTCATCACTAAAGTGGTGGCTTCTTTTTCTGCACGTTACGCTCTGCTCTGATTTCTGAAGAGCAGAAGTACCGTAGTGAGTGCCTCATTGGACAACACTCTTGATAATGTTTATTTTTAAGGTTGACGTGAATGAATCATTTCATCGCAAAAAAAGAAAAAAAAAGAAAATGGCCATCTTTTACTGGTCCTCATATCATTTGAAACCTGTACGATTTTTTTTTCTGTGTTACACAAAAGGACAAGTTTAGCAGAATTTCCAAGCTGTGTTTTTCTGTACAATGAAGGCAGATGGTGACTGGTGCTTTCATTGTCCTTTTTTTTTCTTTCAGTAAACTGAGTAAATATCAACTTAAATTCAGTATTTTTTTTCTCACAGAAAGCTATCATACAGCTTCAGAAAAATTGGAATATAGCATCCAAGTTATATAGACTACTTTTTTTTTTTGGCGCTTAACATCTCCAGTCCTCATCCACTTTCACTGTACAAAAAGACAAGCTAACAAAGTATTTTTGGGGTTCCACTGTGGAAAAAAATCAATGCAACATGAGGCTGAGTATATGATATTAGAAATAATAAATATAAGTTAACTATCCCTTTTAACATACTTCCTATTTTCTGTGCAATACTTTACACCCTGTTAAAAAAGAGTGTAAAGTGTCTCTTTTTCTGTTTCTCCCTTCTTTTGCGTACTAATGTGTCCTTGCTGATCCTCTCTCTCTCTCATCTTGATTTCCTCGCTTCCTCCTGCATATAGGATCTGTGTCAGGTAGAGCCTCTGTCTGTGCTTCAAGAAAAACGCGCACACACATTTTCACCATTGATATTGCACCATCAAGTATAGATCGCTATATTGAAATCTCTGTTCTTCCTTCAGTCTGGTGGTTCTGGTGGCTCTGAACATGATGCTCTTCTACAAACTCTGGGCGCTGGAACGGGCCGCACACACGCTGGAGACCTGGCACTCGTACTCTTCAACTGACAGGTATGGTCAAACTGAGTGGCTGTACACACACGCTGCTTTCCAGCATGCTGATTCTGTACTGTTTCTCTGCGCAGTCCTCTGCCGCAGACAGCAGGAGAGTGGGCGCAGGTTCTGCAGCTCCAGAGGCAGTTCCACCAGGCCCAGATGAACAAATGGCAGCAGATCCTACAATCTTCTGTCACTCTTCTGGATCAGGTGTGTGCTTGAGCTGAACTTAAGATGTCTTCATTAGGCAGTCGAAATGCTGCATTTGCTGAAAACAAGTTAGAAGTAATAACTGTCTGTGAATATTTAGTCTTTGTTACTATTTCATGAGATTGTGTCCATTTTGATTTGAAAGTGCACGTTTTTCTTTATGATAAATCTTGTGCAAATCTTGTTTTTAACACGGTTTGTCCTCTCTCATGTAGATGAAACAGTCTCTGGAGAAGCTCCACAGAGGAATGATCACACCAGAGGTGCAGCAGGAATCTGAATCCGAACCAGAAACTCTGACGGACCAGTGAGAGCGTACGGTAACCCCTTCACTCTACCGTTTACAGACTGTGGACCCCGTGACATAGCCGTCCACGAGGGGCCAAATCATAGACGGGAGACGGTGCTCAACTCAGTGACATTCATGTTGGGATTGATGTGGGTATCTTCTAGCTCACCCTTGTGTCCCAGCAGCAGCTACAGGACTTTATACTAGCTGTATAAAACACATTAAACTCTTTTATCAATCAAAAAACCATGAACTCTGGGTCTGAAGCAGTAACACACATGTACGGGAGCGTCTGTGACTTACAGCTGTGCTGCATCTTGAGCTGTTTGGTCCGTACTGCGTGTCTGAAAACTGAATTTCATCATGGACCTTTCAATACAGAGCTTGGGAGAGATGCGCTAAATAGGGAAATGTCTGAAATCAACCTTCCAAGAGACCTCTCAACCGTCATTTCACAATTGTTTTTATGTCGTCATGGGAGAGAAATTTCAATTTTCTCTTGTGTTACTGTTGCTGATTTCAGAGCTGTTACTGAATCTCGTTTAAAGTGTGTCAGGCCATTGCAGTATTTATTTAATAGACTTGAATTACAGTCTAACGTCATTGTGTTTCTGCTCAAACAAGGACCAATGAAGAAATGGGTGGAACGAGTGGTATGAATATGAATTCCCATTTTAGCAATAATCATGTGGAAAAATTGTAATGGACAATTAAAAGTTAATCTATAAGAAAGAATGCAAAAAGTCAAAATTTTACTTAGTGTAGAGTACCAGAGTGAAGATTGTTTTACAATTTTAACCATTTCTTCTTTCTCCCTAATGTTTTAGTTATTATTTTTGTTTTAAATCCCTGTGTATTTATGACTTAGGGGTGAAAGGAGCTGTTTTGTGTAGTTGAGGTGTTTCACTGGAATCAAACTTGAACTGTTCAGGGCTACTATTAGCTAGAGCAGCTGATGTGCTCACAGATTGAAGAACTTCAGTCGTTCCTCAGGCTGGACTTTTGGGACCAACCAGAACTCAAGGTCAGGAGGACAATTGTCATTTCACTCAACACTGTAGGCCAGTCTCACACAGAACATGTCTGAATCACCTCAAATTTTTTTTTTTTGCATTGTGGCATTTTTATGACAATTAAGCACCCCTCATAATTTTTACATTTTTATTAAATAATTTTTTTTGTCTATGATTCTCACTACTCTAATGCAATAATGAAAACCATCCTGTCCTTTGCAGACAATTATTTTACAGGAAAATAAGCATAATTTGCAAACCGTAAAACAAATACTTTCAAACACTGTATGGGAATTGAAATAAAAACAATGTCACAATTCAAAAAAAAAAAAAAAAAGTATAGATTTTACTGTGAAATATGATGTGCATGTTCTTGGTGAGATTCACCAAGAGGCTATGAGTTGGATATTTTTTGTCCTTTGTTTCATTTGGACTTTTACTGATGTCCCCTGTCCAGCCGTTTCATTACTGTCCCTGTATTTGTCATGCCCTTCAGCCTCTGTGATCTCTCCCTCCTCTGAGTGTGTTATCAGAGTGTGTCTGTCTGTCTGCGGGCGCTGCTGTGCAAAGCCCTTGCTCTGAGTGCTGAAAGTGTGTGCTATTTATTCGGGTCAGGGAGGGAGAGAGTGAAGGTGGGATGTATTGTATAGACACGATTGTAAAGATGACTTGTGACGGTCACAAATGTATAATAAAAAATGCCCAAAAATTGTAAAATTGTGTGTTTATTACTGATTGGATAATTTTCTTTTTTTGACAGGTTAATACTTCCTGAGTAGTGAGGAAGTTGGTATGATTATGATTTTGTATTCTCATTTATTATCTGTTGTTGGTGTTAATTTTTTATTAATGATTCTTATTAATGTTGAAAACTACTAGTTTTTGCTACTTAATATTTTTTGTGGAAACCATGATCTTTTTTTTATAGGTGGGGTAAGCGATTTCTGGTAGCCAATGTTGACATTTGAAATCACCAACATAAACACGGCCCTATTTTGATAGCTCCGCCCCACACATATGTACACAACCCAGGCAACGATTAGTTCATTTTGTCGGGTCCAGTGTACTAGACAGACTTTAGCTGTTGCGGTGGCGCAGACATGGTGTTACTCAGCTATCGAGAAGAAACGAAGCAATCTCGGCGTCCGATCGCAGGCCTTCTGCTCCTTGAGTTCTCTCCAGCGCTGGAAAGCTGATCTGATATTTACATGGGTCCTACTTCTTGCCTTAAGCCTTCTTTTGTTTTTTTACTTTTTACCAATTTAATTTGTCCTTGTTAAATAAAAGTATACTCTCTTTTTCATTACATTTTACTTAACCCAAACTTTTGAATGGTAGTGTATGATTTCCACAAAAAAAGTTAAGCAGCAAAAATGTTATAACACTGAAACGTAGATGTTCCTTGAGCAGCAAATCAGCACATTCGAATGATTTCTGAAGGATCATGTGACACTGAAGACTGGAGAAATGATGCTGAAAATTCAGATTTGCCATTATAGGAGTAAGTTACGTTTTAAAATATATTTTAATAAGAAACTGCTCCTTGAAATTGTAATATTTCACAATATTTCTGTTTTACTGTATTTTACTATATGATCTCGCATGTAGGTCAAGAGAGAAAAGATTCAGAAAAACACATCAGCTGTATTTTGAAATGTATTTTTTGATATACTATCTTGTCCATAATTTATTTGGCAAGCAACATTTTCACTTCAACATGAAATGCATCCTGGAATTGTTGAGGCCGTTCAGTCGTTGTGTTGATACTTTACAGAGGTGCAGACATTGTCAAATAATGACATATTCTGTGACATCTAAAGTGTTAGTACGATATCATCTATGTTTAGTAATCAGCATTATAAGCAGCTGTGGAGTTCCACGTTTTGCTCGGTCGAGGATGAAACGGATCCGGTGTTACAAATGTGGCAGTGTTTATGACGGTATTCATAAAAGCGTATTTAAAATCATGCAGTGAAAATCTACCAATTTAACAACCACCGAATAAAAGATATAAAAAGTAAGAAAACCAGGGCTGGGAAGTCTCGAGAACGTTCATTCATGCATAAAGGCAGTGAGACTTTGGCAGTGTTGTGCTGCCCTCTGTAGTCACTACCAGAACTAGGCTACTATAGAGGGAGAGGAAAGACTGGAAGCTTCTGCATCATCATGCACAAGGAGCCAGAGGCATAAACATCGTTCCTACAGGAGGCACACTTTAAACATTGAGTCATTCTCAATCGATTTCATGCAGCCCTTGATTATCTTGTCAGCAAAGACAAAAAGAAAAGGGGAGGAATTGTGAGGCCAACTTGAGAATGATTAATAGCACAGATCCTCGGCACATTGTTAATCATATATTTATCACATTAGTTTCTGAAGCTGGATTTGGATCTTACATAACAATGCACTTTCCTGACGTCTATGATATTAGCATACACGTGACATTCATTAGCTTCGCTGTTATTTCTTTTAAGAGAATGATATGAATAGCTTTATGCAACTCACAATATCTGCTTTTCACCCAGAGCGGTTATTTTGTGCTTTATAGTGTAAAATCTTCATTAATTAAATTACGAATACAGGGTGCTACAGATAGATGTAATGACAATTTAAGTGAATTACTACGTACCAGTGAGAAGTTTTAAACTTTGTGGGTAGCTTAGCAGTGGTTAGTTAAGTTAGTTCTGACAGGTGCAGTTTTCAGATATGTAGCTCTTGTAAACGTGCGTTGGCATTAACTATGTAATGCTAATCACATGTCCCTATAGCTGCCAAACATGAGATGTTATGATTTCTCTCTATATATTAGAGGTGTAACGGTACACAAATATGACTGGGTCGGTATGTACTTAGGGTTTTTTTTTTCTTTGACGTAAAATTCTGATGCTCTTTTTAATAATGCTTTACTGAACAAAAACCAGCCTACAGTTCTGTTACACCCCTAATATATGTTTTTATTTTCTTTTTTCTATTTCTTAATATGTATGTTTGATCTTTAAATAATGTTATAAATATGTTTTCACTTTCACATGTATCATTCTATTTGACAGTTCTTTTTTTTGTCTCTGGCTCAGTTAAAGGGGTGGTTCATTGTGATTTCACTTTTTTAACGTTAGTTAGTGTGTAATGTTGCTGTTTGAGCATAAACAATATCTGCAAAGTTACAAAGCTGAAAGTTCAATCCAAATGGCGATATCGTCTTTATAAATTCTGGCAGTTTAATGCCTTCAAAAACGGCTGGTAGGGACTACAACAAGTTACTTCCCGGGTTCGTGACATCACAAACCCAGATAAACCCCGCCCTCGGGAAAAGGCAGCAAAGGGGGCGAGGCCATGTTGCGCTGCTTTAGAGAAGAGGAAGAGAAAACTAGAGGTGCACGTAAAAATCTATTCATATATGAATCATGATTCTGTCTTCTATCGATTCTAATGGATTCACAAGATTCAAAAACAATGTTCTAAAGCAGCGGTTCTTAATACTGTTCCCCACGTCCCCCTGCTCTGCACACGCTCTGCATCTCTCTCTCTCTCTCTCTCTCTCTCTCTCATTCAGCTCAACTGTTCCAATTATACACTTATTTTCACATAGCTAGCTGAAGTGTTAAACGTGCAGTTGCCGTACTGTATTAAAGCGCTAATCAGGATAAAACTGTATATTAAAAGCTAACATAAGCAGTAGCATTTACAACAGCGTATCTAAAAGTATGAGACAACAACAAACAAAAACATAGGCCAACCATTAAAAGCCGTGCTTGCACAGGTTCTGCACGATCCTCTTCACTAATATCCTCTGCTTCTCAATTGGGCTCAAACTAATAAGCGATATTAACGACGCCGTTGTTTACAATACAACTGGAGCACATGCTGAGGTGAGGGGCGGGACGATTAGACGAGCACTAGAGGTGGTTTAGCCAATCACAACACACTGGGCTAGCTAACCAATCAAAGCCCATCGCCTACTTCTGAGGGAGGGGCTTCATAAAAGCAGGAAATGATCAGGGAGTTTCTGAGAGAAGGGACAAAGAGGTGTGGAATAAAGGTAAATTATGTGAAATATAATGCGTTTTTAAAAAAACGAAACATTAACACATGTTAGACTGCACCCCATAAACACAATCAAGCCTAGAAAAAACCCAGTGAACCACCCCTTTAAATATACTAGTGATTTTTTATACACTTTATAATATTTGTGATGTCCTCTTGCTTAGTAGATATACTGTGGTGACTCATTTTTATCGCATGTAAAGCTGAGTTCACATTATGTGGAAAAAGCAAAGAGGTGTTAAAAGCTAAAACACGTATGTACAAGTCATGTTCAGTGTTACAGATTCATGCTTGAACCAATGAATGCATCATTCATTCGTTAACCTCGAAGTTCTCATCTAGAGCCTTAAAACAAAACATTTCCTTTTGATGTAATGTGTGACTGTGTGTTTCCCTGATGGTTTAGAATGGCGGTTCTGTCACAGTCGTACACAACAGCGAGCCGGTGAGGGTGACAGAGGAGGCCATGATGGACAGAGTGTCATGCTTTTGGCTTGAGACTTTTTTTGGACCTGAAATAAAACAAAAGGCAGATTGTTTAACTGACTTGCAATGCAAAAATTCCAGATGTGACCATCACAGTTACATTTAACTAACCCACCTGTGTTATTCTGCCACCGCTACACCTGCACAATTATCTTTGCTCTCCGAGGTTATAGCTAAATATGCCGCCCTAAGAGAACGGAAGAAGGGAAAGAAAGGCAGAAGGGACAGAAAAGGTAATGAAGAAAAGAACAGCAACAAGAATTTGAAAGGTTTTAAGAACAGCAGCTTGCAGAAAAATGCAGATCAGTTTGGGATTAAGGGAAATATCGTTTTGAAGGAAGAAAAGCAGTCAAAACGGAAATGTAAATGTTTTATTTTTTTTATATATATTTTTTCATTCATTAAACTAATGTTTTAAAGTTTTTACTGCATGTTTGTTAGCTTTGAAACCAGCTTTCCATTTCCCAAGATAATAACTGATGCACTGGAGTCACTTGGATTACTTGTGAATTATTGTGATGTTTTTATCAGCTGTTTGGACTCTCATTCTGACGGCACCCATTCACTGCAGAGGATCCGTTGGTGAGCAAGTGATGTAATGCTTCTTTCTCCAATGAAGAAACAAAATCTAGATCTTGGATGGCCCGAGGATGAGTACATTTTCAGCAAATTGTAATTTTTGGGTGAACTATTCTTTTAAAAATAAAGGTACTAAAGAACCTTTTTCCATTAAAGAATCTTTTGTGGAATTTAAAGGTTCCATGGATGTTAAAGGTTAAATAAAAACCTATATTTTTAAGAGTGTACATGCTAATGCACTCCAATAAATTCTCAAAATTAACAAAATTTGATTTTACCGTAAAACTAAATAGATTTTCACGTCTGTTTATGGTGGTAGACAAATACACACTTCAATATGTTTAATCCCAAATTTCCTGTTTTAATAGGATAGCAAACAGAAAGGAAGTCTGAGGAAAATGGAAACTGAAGACATGCGACTCACTCGCTCTCTCTCAGTGCTTCCTCTCCAGCTGCTGCGATCTTCCTGTAACAGTAGACCATCTCCACCACCAGCCACAACTGCAGCCCGATGATGGACACGTACATCATGATCTCAGAAAAGATGGATGCCATGCCTCGTGTAGCTGGGGTGAGTGAGAAAAAAATTCTAATTCATATATTAGGCTCTTTTATAACTTTCATATAGTCCATAACACCTTATCTAATTACTTTTGATTTACTACTCTTTAAATTTTGATCAAACGATGATAGAAGTATTTGTGCAGATTTCAGCACTATGACGCAAACTCTCATAATGATCAGTAGTGACATCAGTGCTGCTGATGTGGGCCTCTGACAGGAAGTAAAGATACGTCTGACTGATTTATCACCGTCAGCAAATATGACATGTTGTCAGCAGAAGCATCAAAGCAGACATGTGACCCCTCAGATTCCGCCGAAGCTGATTTTGAGTGCATCAACAATAGAAAATTACAATTTAATCATTTGGCTGTTTATTATGCATTGTATTAATGGTGGAAACTAAAGTGTTTGTCCAAAATTTTGCACATACTTCCCCCTAAAACACAAAATAAGACATCAGAGCCTTGCCTTGTGATGACTGGCTATCAAACTCAGTCTACAATTGTTCATTAGATTGGAATTTGAATCTTATAGAAGCCTGTTTTAAACTCAAAAATAGAAAAGGTACTTGGGAGATAAAGTTTACTGTCAAATTGTGATACAAAATTTTTTACAAGAAAAAAAGTCATTCATTTGTGTGAACAGGCTTCACTTAGAACCTGCTCTCCTTGCACTACCAGTATTAGTTATATACTAATATAGTATCTTTTTTTTTTAATTAGCTATTATTTTTATATTTTCAATTTTAGTCATTTTTTGTTTTGTTATTCTTTTATTCGTTTTTATATTTCTGTTTAGCTTTAATTTATATTTCAGTTTTTGTAGTTTTAGTACTTCAACTATAACATTTTATTTCAGTTAGTTGCCAAAGTCAATTTTGTTCAGATTTTCCATCTAATATTTATATTTTATTTTATTTCATTTTTTCTTTAATTATTAAAAACGAAATTTTATAGATTTAGTCTTTGTTTTAATTAACAATAACAACACAGTTGACTACTTGACTAATGGGGCATGGTTTTATACACAATTTTCTTTAATAATTTGTAATTTACTATTTGTTTATTTTGTTTTCCTACAAAATGCTTTATCATTTTGGCATTGTTTTTATGTTTGTTTTCATGCTTTTTAGCAGACAGGACAGGAGAGTTGGAGAGTTGGCAATGGGACTGACAAAGGACCACAAATCGGGACTCAAACTTAAACTCAAACTTTCAACACACTGGGATGTTTGGAGCAGTTTAAGTACTTGTTTGAGAACAAGCTCAAAGAAAAAAAATGTATAATAATGTTACATCAATCCACTATAAAAAAAAAATTCAATGACATCCTTGCTTTCAAGCAGATACGCATTGGTGAGTCAAGGACACCAACGATGATGAAAGCCTTGATGCTGCTGCTGCCATGACAACACTTTGCTTTCAGGGCCGTTTAAAGGCAATGCCAGTGTCCTTGTTTTTGACATTTTAAAGGCATTTCTATTCAGTGTTTTGACTCATCTTTCTTTATGGACACACCCTTGAGTTCCTTTCAAGGCTGAATTGTGGATATTGTCAGACCAATGAAGTTGTCACCTCCTTACTTTGATTTGTGTCATCTCATGTAAATCTCCTTATTCCCACTGTCTGTTTTAATGAACATACCTTTGCCTACTACGTTGATGTTGATAAACTTGGTGGCGTTGGTGCGGTACTCGTAATTGGGGAAGACAAGGGTGCGGTCGAAGAAACATCGATAGGTGCCGGTGTCGTTGAAGGTGACGTTAAGGATGAAAATTGAGCCGTCCTGCACATCATCAGTTTTTTTACTGCCGTTCCAGGCCAGGCGGTCATCGAAGCGGTCATCCATTATGTAGCTTGTCATATCTGCATAACTGTATATCTAATTTTAAGAAAGGAGAGCTCTTATTAGCTTGTGTGAAGAACACAGCATTTATTCAGCACCCAAAACAGCCATTTTTAAATTCTCCAGGTCAGTGGTTGACTTACACTGGTTAAAGAGATAGTTCACCCAGAAATGAAATTCTGCCATCATTTAGTTGTTCCAAACCTGTATGAGTTTCTTTCCTCTGTGAAGTACAAAAGAAGATATTTTGAATGTTGGTAACCAAACAGTATGGAACAAAAATACTATGGAAGTCAAAGGTTACTGTTTTGTCAGCTGTTTGGTTACCAGCATTCTTCCAAATATCTTCTTTTGTGTTCAACAGAATAAAGAAACACACAGGTTTGGAAAAACATGATGGCGTGTAAAATAAATGAAGACAGAATTTTCATTTTGGGTAAACTATCCCTTTAATGGTCATGGAAAAGCTGTAAATGTAATGTCATTTTCAATTTTAGTTTTTCAAAGTCATGTAAATTAGTAAAATCCTTTTTTTTCATATAATAATAATAATAACAGTATATTAACAAAAAATAGAGTTTTGGTCTGTTCTAAAACTGTTCATAGGCTAGATGGTGGTCTTATACTGAAAAAAAAAATTTGGTGAAGGATTTACTTTTATAATTCATTATAAGTTGCTAGTAAATTCCGCAAATATTTACAAAAACAACAGAAAGTAATATTGAGTTAAAAATTTCATTTTGAAGATGAAAGACTGAAATAGTATTTTCTTGTCAAATGTTGTCCAGCTATCTTTGCATGAATAATTTTTACAGTGTAGAAGAGTGTAACAATCAACAGTGATAATATAGTTTTTGTTGGACACTAGTACATATAATTGAGTACATTTATTACATTTATACTTTATTACATTATTACATTTAATTCTCTATTAAATGATTTTATAAATCCTTTATGCAGTCATCTGTAGAGGCCGTGAAAAAAATTGTTAAAATGTGCAGAAACCCTAAAAAAAACTGCAGGACATAAAATTAGCTTTGTATTACTTTTAATATGCCAATAATCTCACATTTTTAATGGAATTGTAAATATTAAATATAAAAAATATTATAAAGTGTATATAATATATTCCTCACGCTATGTAATGTTTCTTATTCTCATTCATTATCGCATAACAAATATAATTCTAGTAATGTAATATGCTAAATATGCTGTCTCTCACAAATGACTATGGCATAACATTGAAAATGCTTGTGTGTTGGCACTGTAGTTTTTTGGTTGCAGCTAATTTTTGTAATGGCAAAGTGCTTAATCTGCCTTCCTTGTATAATGTCTGAAAATTCCACTCGGGAATGTTCGTTTTTTAAAATGTTGTGCAGTAATTCACTTCTGACCACAAAGACAGTCATAGAAAATGCATGATCCTGGCTTTGCATTAAAAATGCACCGTTTTAGATCTGCATTGAGCTTTAGATGTTTGTTTTTTTTACCATGAAAATAATGAACCTGCATTGATTGCAGGCACACAGCTGTACTATAGCTCTTGGACAAAAAAGGATTTGAAAAAGCATCTGCACATTAATTTAGGTAATGCATCATGTGCAGCTTGACTTCAGTAATGTGAAGTCAAGCTGTAAGGCCTGGTCTTTGGTCTCATCCTCACATGTGCAAATTCACTCTCGCCTTTGGCCCTGAACCACCAGTCCACTGTGGCAGAGGCCGGCACTTCCCCTCTCATCTTGCAAGAGATACAGCCCAATTTGAAGCCTTTCCCCTTCACTGCCTCCATGTCGGAGTCCACTTCCACACATGCCCCATGGCAGAGCCAAGCTACGGGAAGAACAAAACATTCAGTGACAGAAACACAGACACAACTGCTTGACTTCATAAAGCACTCTAGTAAGTCTTAATGATGCCCACTTTTTGTTTAGAACTGACAGGCATTACTGCGTCAAAATCTCCTTTATTTTATTTATTTTTTTGCATGCGTTCCCATTTTTTGGAATTATGCATGCTGGCTTTTTAGTTCAAGGCAGAGCGTTTTCTTGCAAGTTTTATTTCCACTCATGAAAACTGATTGTGCATTAAAATAGACCGAATTAACTGTGATCTCCGAGCACAGTATTTGCTTGTTTTTTTTTCTCTTTTTTTTTGAGAGGAAATAAAGTGTTAGCGGTGAGCTGTGATCCTTTTTTCGAGTCATTAATCTATTTTCATATATAGATGCAAGTCTCTATATATGCCGGGAAGTCGCAAACACTAGCAAAAAATAACACACCTGATATTCCAAGTATCTCTCTCTCTCTCACACTTCACCCTGCAGTTTCCACAGAGACATCTGCATCGGTCTCAACCAATGATCTTTTTGCAATTCTGACCTCTGGAGAAGTGTTTATATATGTGCAATGAGATGAAAGACAGGAAACATCGCACACACATCAATCACAGCTACAGATTTACATTATTAACTAGAGTCGTCCTGCAGGACTTTCTGCTATTTAGATTGTTTTTATGGCCATCTCTTTACTGTAATACTCAGGAAAACAATATTTACAATTTGCTTTTGAGGGCTGAGAGGAAAGAGAAAGTAAAAATTAGTGCCACATCAACTGGAAGACAAGAAAGGAAGAAAACAAGAGAGAGAGAAAGAGGGAGACAGAGAGTTAAACGTTTTCAGCGTTACATCCATCACATCACTGATCATCATTGACAGATAATTGATTTATTGGCCTCTGATTGGCTGCAAAGAGGAAAAAGAAGGGTAGACTGGGAAGGAAAGACAATTATCATCATAGAAACACTACAGTTTGAGAGTAAAGGGTAGGAAGGGTATAAACACATGCTGACACACTCCTAAAACAAGCTAACCAATAGATGGCTGAAATCTAAATTTGATACTTTTTAAGTTAAACACTAAAAACTACAATACATTTTTTTAATGAGGCATCACACCTTTGTAATTTATAATATGACAATGTATTTCAATTTTCAGATTTGCTAAAGATTCCAACCAGCTAACAAAAATATATTCTAAGAACATTTTACAAACGTTCCCATTACTTTTTCAAAATGTTATTTATGAATGTCCTCTTTTTAATCCTTTTTTTAAAGGGTTAGTTCACTTTCAGGAATAAAAAATTCCTGATAATTTACTCACCCCATGTCATCCAAGATGTTCATGTCTTTCTTTCTTCAGTCGAAAGGAAATTAAGGCTTTTGAGGAAAACATTCAGGGATTTTTCTCCATATAGTAGACTTGAAATACTTTTTGAATACCACAAATGCCCGTCTTGCTGAAAACGTTTCACTAGATAAGACCCTTATTCCTTGGCTGGGATTGTGCAGAGTGCTTTGAAGCTGTACTGAAACTGCAATTTGGACCTTCAACTCGTTGGGTCCCACTGAAGTTCACTATATAGAGAAAAATCCTGGAATGTTTTCCTGAAAAACATTAATTTCTTTATGACTGAAGAAAGAAAGACATCTTGCGTGACATGGGGGTGAGTAAATAAGGAAATTTGTATTCTGGAAGTGAACTAATCCTTTCTTAAAGGATTCCTAACATTCAATTAATGTTTGTTCATAACTTTGAGAGAACCTTGCTGGAACATTAGCCAAAGTTCTGAGAACGTTCGCTGTTAGCTGGGCATATAACATGTGACATACAACATATGACTTGACTTGACTTGATAACAATTTTTAACGATTAACTTCAAAGTTGCAATGGAATGTTTTCTTGCTTTTGACGTACATCTGAGTGTAATGGAAAAGAAAAAATGTAGAATGAGGACTTTGCATCGTTTTTGATTGGATTTTGAGATGTAAGCATTGCACTCAAAAGTGAATGTAAGCTTGTAGTTGATTATAAGAAAGTAGTGGGGTTTAAGCAGACTAAATGATTGGAGACATCCAACATGTGTCACAAAAAGATCAATAACACACATTTACAAAACAGATAAATGGTGAATTTTGATTTCATGCTGACTTTAGATGACAGCAACAAAGATCTGGGGATTTTTAGGAATCGAAATAAGCAGATACATCAAAGGACACTATAAAGTGTGGGATGGAAGGAGACATTGCCCTTTAAAAGCAGTATATGCACAATAAACTGACCTCAGACCTGTCAAAAATTCCCGTCTACACTTCTGTCAATGTCACTGCAGCGGCAGGGTCATTACATAACACTTTTTACAGAGATTACATTATGCAATTTATTCCAGATTAGACGGCACAATGGCCGCTTAATCCCAGGATTGAATTAATGCATTAAAGGGTTGAATTAGGCACTTTTAACAACTGCATGCATTTTTGGACGGAAATGTGAGAGACCTACAATTTCGCAAATGCTTTTACCCAAAGCAACTTGTATTGCATTCAAGAACATTTAATAAATCCATGCATTTCCTGGGAATTGAACCTATGACCATGGTGATGTTTGCTCTACTGTGGTGCAATGAGACATACAAAGATAGAGATTTTCTTCAACCCTTTTGAGAGCTGATTCAGGCTTGAAAACAAGCAGCAGAGGACAATGTTTCCATGCTAGCCAGCATTCTCAATCTGTATAGCAGTGACATATACAGTCTGGCCTCATGGGAAATGGCAAAGATCTGTGAGAAACACTGAGCTCCAGGGTGGAGACTTTCCATAGAAACAAGGGCTCTCTGATACATCACCAAATATGTGATATCAAGCCGGACAGTATTTTTGTCACTTTGGTCTAAATGTCGTCCTGTTGAATCCACATGTTCTCATCTCCATCCACTCCAGTCTTTAATCTAATCTCTACAATTAATCCACACTGAGCAATTCTGTTGGAGACCCACTGGTCAAGGGTAAATGGCACATGGCAGTGATATTTCCCCAGGCGACCAGATCCAAAGACAAAAAGAAACTGTTTTCACATCCATTTTTGAAACTTGGATGACGGGTGGGCTGCGCTACAATTTCTCTTTTTCTCATGCAATTGCCATTTCCTCAGCTTCTCAATTTAACTGATGTGAGCTTTAAATATTAAACCAGCGAGCAATGCCCTTCATTCATTATGTCCTTGCATGCCCTTGCCCAGATTTAGCATTCACGTTCTCTGCGCCCTCACCCACATCTCATCTCCTTTCCGACACGCACATGGGCGCGCATTCAGACACACCTTTTCTCACATGCACTTCAGTTTTCCACAGTGCCAGACCCGTGCGTGCATAAAACCTGCGTCACTGCTTTCTGAGCGAGCATGAAAGTGCTGGATTCTGTTGAAAATCTGCTTAGAATACAAAGACTCACTCCTCATTGGTTTGCCTGTTTCTAGGCCTCCGTTTTTAACCTCTGTTAAATGATTAATAGCCATCTTCCTTCTGCCCCCCAGCCTCTCTAGGCTGTTCGAATAGATGTCTGCTAATGCTCAGCGGCGCTGTCTTGACAGTTGGCCAGTAGATCCATTATAGATTGCTTGATCAGCAAGGCATACTTATTAAATGATAAATTAAAACACATTAGCCATTTTTAAATCATTTGTTTTTGCCCTAGAAGCACTATTTATCATGCTTAAGTTAGGTGGTTTGTTCATTGGAATCCACTGATATTAAAATGTGTGTGTTTATTTAAAATATTTTTATTTATTTTAAGTTTAGGGGGTTTATCCATTTGGATTTTCATTAAAAAAAATTATTCATAAATAATAAATAGCCTGTATTAAAATTCTAGTTTTATTTGAATAAAATAAATATTCTTTTATAAATAACATAATTTTAAAATCTATGTATATGTATATTTATTTTGATATTTGCTCAATTTTACATTTGTCTGTGTTATTAAATTATTAGTGACTATTGTCAAATTTAACTTTAAGAGAGTGTTAGATGATGGCAAAATAATCTAAATGTAAAAATAGGGAAAACCAACTTTTCAACAACTCAATATCCAATATGAAAAAATATATATAGGCAGGTATGGTATTAATGTTGTGTGTCCTTATTAAAAACTACATAAGCTATTAGTTAAACACAAAGCTCTGGCAACCACCCATAACAACATAGTGGTGATATCTGCAACTATTGAAATGTTGCTATGAAATTTGTAATGCAGTTCAATGAGAAGTCCATCATATTGTAGGACTAAAACATTTTATGCTCTATATATGTATTTCAATCAGGACTATTTCTGCCAATGTTTCTTAACTGCATCCACCTCCCACTGCTTCACTCCATGTTTCCTTCAGAACTACTGAACGCTCGCTGCCAGCTAATCATCGTCCAGTAACATGCACACACCTACATTAACATCCACAGCATCGTGCATTACCAATCCAGACGGTCTAATGGCACTCCTGGAGTACAGTAGTGTTTAGAGCAGGATATGATACAGCTGTTAAACAGTCGGTGAAACTGTTATCACAGTAGGTGTCTGCTGAGATTGGTGGAGATTCACACAGTGTGAGCAGCACAAGAAGACTGTGATAATGTCAGGTCCTGATTTCTATTAGTCTTCATTTAAACCATCCGGATGCTGTAACACAGTACAACATTAAATAATGGAATCCACCGCAACATGAGATATCCACTGTGAGACTGCACTACTTTTCTTTGTCAATGATAGCAATGCTCTATGGGGCAACAGTGTAATTATAAATGTAATTACATAAACTAATTACAGATGTAATTACATGCAGGTATTTTAAAAAATATAAGTACAATGTAAAAGCATGTATGTACACAATAAGTGCATTGTACCAAATAATTAATTTAAATGTAAGTACTACATAGTTAAGGCCACTTAATATTAAGTGGGACCGTATTAATTATAATTTCTTTAAAAATATACTGTATGTATATATATATATATATATATATATATATATATAAAGGTGATGGATTGGCCAAGCATGTTTCAAGACCTAAACCCTATTGAGCATCTGTGGGGCATCCTCAAACGGAAGGTGGAGGAGCGCAAGGTCTCTAACATCCACCAGCTCCGTGATGTCGTCATGGAGGAGTGGAAGAGGACTCCAGTGGCAACCTGTGAAGCTTTGGTGAACTCCATGCCCAAGAGGGTTAAGGCAGTGCTGGAAAATAATGGTGGCCACACAAAATATTGACACTTTGGGTCCAATTTGGACATTTTCACTTAGGGGTGTACTCACTTTTGTGGCCAGCGGTTTAGACATTAATGGCTGTGTGTTGAGTTATTTTGAGGGGGACAGCAAATTTACACTGTTATACAAGCTGTACACTCACTACTTTACATTGTAGCAAAGTGTCATTTCTTCAGTATTGTCACATGAAAAGATATAATAAAATTGTGAGGGGTGTACTCACTTCTGTGAGATACTGTATATATATATATATAGTGAATTGGTGGGTTTTTGTTAAATGTGAGCCAAAATCATCACAATTAAAAGAACCAAAGACTTAAACTACTTCAGTCTGTGTGCATTTAATTTATTTAATACACAAGTTTCACAATTTGAGTTGAATTACTGAAATAAATTAACTTTTCCACGACATTCTAATTTATTGAGATGCACCTGTATATGGCAAAGATAGTCAAGCTATATTTCAAGTCTTAAGAAACAAACCGAAGTTTGTTTTATTTATTAGTATTTTTTTCTGTCTGAGCTTTATAATAAAGCCTAGTGCATAAAATCCTTTTGTTTTTGTTTTTATAGTGTTTTTTTTGTTTGTTGGTGTTTTCTGTCCTTTTTGGAGCTTGACAGACATGGTCCCTTAATAGCCCTTACAAATATTCTTCATAACAATAACGACAGAATTTTACATTTTGGGTCGACTGTTTCTTTAAGGCTCAGCAATGGCAAGCAGAAGGTCATGGTAAGCCATCACATTTGTGCCCTTGAAAGGCATTTAACCTCAGGATGCACTAGGGGGAATGAAGCTGTAATGCATTTGATGCCAGAAACAATTTACACCGGCCCTAATCGTTTGACGGTTCTATTCAGATACTGTAGTTTGGCCATTCTGAGACTATATAATACAAGCAGATCACAGGCAACCACAGGGGACTTTCTTTCTGTCTCTCACACTTTCATTCTCACACATTTATCTTTCTGTCCATCTGCCCATGCTCACTCTTCTCTTTCATCTCTTCTAAATAAAAATGGTTCCTTAAAGCCCCTTACAGTGATCCTGAGAGATGACTTACTGTACCAAAAAGGTGTTACACAAGTACCGTTGTGTAACAGTTCTCCTTTTGAGCTTTCACATTTTCTAGTTTTAACCTTCTGCTCCAACATTTTTTACTCCTTCCTTAGGGCATGATATGTAACATCATGTATTAAGGAAATATGAAGGAATATTACATATTTGATAGATATTATCAGTGCAACCATAAATGCAACTATTATTAGCATAAAATATGCTTAATCAACTTTGTGAGCTGCTTTGAATAAAAGGGTCTGCTTAATGTTTTAAATATTAATCTAAATTAATAAATTAGTGCAATAAAGCACAGCTCATCATGTAAATAGATTAAATTTACGCTTCTTAGCAAACAGATTCTTACCTCTTACAAAGTGTGTACCATTTGATTGCAGTACTTATGGAGAATTAGCATACAAAATAATAAAGACTTGCATTGGAAAACAGGTGTAACATTTAAGCAGCTGAGGTGGTTTACATAACCTGCCACTAGTACAGGAAATACAGATATCCTCATAACGGGCGTCCCAAAACACGACATGAGGGGAGATACAAATCCCCACTGCGTAAACTAGGACATCTAATGCTGAGGCATAACTGACAACACCTGTTCCCCGGAGAGCGATTTATTTCCATCACTGGCCTTCTTACAGTCATAGATGAAAGATATTCAGGCTATGCACGAGCGCTGACAGCCACATATTTTGGACACCCACTACAAACCCCAAAAAATACAAAGCATTCACAACCAACTAGAAGATAATAACAGCTTGTTACAGAAGCAACCAAGCAACCTTGGCAAGCAAGAGCTATATTACTGTCTGGACCACCCCGATCACACACGGCTCCATTTTAGCATCAACACACTCTCTACAAACAGTGACAGCTGGTTTAGGTTTTTACTCAGCAGTCCGGGAACCCCAAAACCCAATGTGATCTAAGACTAAATAAACAAATGCAAAGACATACCACTACTGAACAGGTGCTAAATTGCCGATTGGGTCACCAAGTAAAAAAAAAACTTTGCAATAAAGCAATTAATGTCACTTCAGGTGCATTTTTTAAATATCTAATAATTAATCACAAATGGCTCTGGTAATAATAATCTCATAATAATAGCCATAATAAAATAATAATAATGTGATTTTTATATATCATAAATATGTATATAATTAATTGAATATATGCTGTATGTGTGTATGTGTATATATATATATATATATATATATATATATATATATAATAGAAAAATGTAAATAGAAATCTAAAATTATAAATATAACATTTTGTAAAAAATATATAAAACAATGTGTATATGTACACATTTTAATTAGTTTATTATTTTAGTGTATATATTTGTTTCTATCTATCTATCTATCTATCTGCAGTATATACAATTATAAATATATTTTGAATATATATAAAATATATAATAAAATAGTCTGTTTGCGTGTATATACACACACATATATATTTATATATATATATATATATATATATATATATGTTTATTATAGTGTATGTTCTATCTATCTATCTATCTGTCTGTCTGTCTGTCTATCTATCTATCTATCTGTGGTATATAAAATTATAAATATATTTTGAATATATATAAAATATATAATAAAATAGTCTGTGTATATATATATATATATATATATATATATATATGTATGTGTGTATGTTTATTATAGTGTATGTTTGTTCTATCTATCTATCTATCTATCTATCTGTCTATCTGTCTGTCTATCTATCTATCTATCTATCCAAAACACTTTAAAAATCACAACACATGACAGCAGCAGATACCATTTATCTTGAGTTGATTTCTGCTATACAGGTACCTGCAGCTTTGTCATGGCCTGATTGACAGTGATAAAGGCTGTGAGGCTTGAAATGTGTCTCAAAAAATGTTCCATGGTGCGCTTAAGACACTCACCGTGTGTTACACACAACAGCACAGGGACCCACAGAAGCCGCAGTGCAGACATCTTCATAGACGATAGGCGTTGCTTTCGGAGTCGTGTCTCTGTCTTTCACACACACAAACACACACACACAAAACACAGGCTCAAACTGAAGAGCAGGAGGTCTCGGCCAGTAGTCCACAGCGACACAGGAGCTCTGCGAAGGAAATACGTTTTCTGGATCTGTGAACAGATGAGCTTGACAGCGCCGAAAACACTGAGATGATGGTGGGCTTCACTTTTAGTTGAGACCCTGATGATGTTTCCTCCTGTCCTTCTAGTCTGATGGGAGATGAGTGTTGTGATGAGGAGAAAGCGAGTCCAGTGAGGGAGTATCAGAGATGTGACGCCCTCTGTGCAAGTGATCAGTTTAACTAGTCCAGGCACAGAGTATTCAGTGCTCCACGAAAGAAAAAAGAGCTGAGATGCCAGACTCAAGTTTCAGTCAGTAACTGTTCTTCTTGACCTATTTATATGTTAGCAAGTACTTTATTAATAATGAATATTAATACACTTTTTGTTGATAAAATACTTTGATTAGTATCTAATCTGATTTCTAAAATATATATATAGTGATATATTCACTAAACGTTTTCTTGTTTAGTTTTTTGGACAGTGGAAGACTGAGCTGAGGTTTGTGATTAGTTTAGAATGAGAAATTCATGCAGGTAATGGAAGACAAGTGACATTAACTAAGGATTTTGTGCTATACATTTATGTTAAACATTGGTTGGCTAATTTAACCTGAGAAAAAAACTATTTTATGTGACGCAATGTTTTCCACAGTGAGTTTGAAATGTAAAATGAATCTTCTTAATGATTATGTGTCTTTGGCTTCATGCAAACATTCATTCAAACATTCCCTTCTCCTCTAAATTATATTTATTGCTTATGTCTTTTTTTGTTATTGCTTATGTTAGGGTGTCAACGTGAAGATGGATCTCTCGGAATCAATTTCAACTTAAAGTTATAGGCTTATAGCCAATTAAGAAGAGGAATGCTTTGAGGATATTTACATTGCATTGTACATAAAGTAACAACTGTAGATTTAGCAGGCTACCCATATGATGAACTTAAATATTGGATTTAATGTTTGTGTCTTTGTCTCATTTAAATAAATGCATATGAAGTTGCTAACACATGTAGTAAGTGTTTACTATGACCGGATGTAGTTATGGCTCATGCCATCTGTTATTTTGCTAAAGCGTCTGTAATTTCCAACTGTCAAACATCAAGGCATATGTCTAACAGCGAATAATGATGATCACCAAAAATATGCTAATATCATTCATGCGTCTACGTTACATATAATTTAAACTACATTCCCTATATTTTTAAACAATAACGTTATTCAGTTGCCGTTTTCCTATTAGCAACGGATGCAAATATCAACAACGTCGACGGTATTTCCCCTGTCAACAGTAATAAACGTGACCTCGGTGATTGTTTTGTGGTTATATTATAATATTTCTCAGCCTACCGTTACCGATTACCACACGTATTTAGTCAATAAAACGTTCCTTCCCCACGTTTGTCTTCATTCAGTTGGTTACGATCCCAAAAAACGGCTTCTCAGTGGATGAAGTCGATTCGCTGATTTCGCTCGCGCCGTTAAATCATTCCGTTGGTCGCGCGGGGTGTTTATTTGTGGGTCACGGATTTAGCCAAAATTGTGGTGCCGTCCCAGTAAATGTTCGGTATGAATTAGAAAATGCACAAAAGATTCCGTTTGGCCCGGAGCACCACACGTTAAGCCATACCGTGGTGCGTTCATTGGCGATATCTCACACTGTAGGGAAGGATGCTGCGTTTCGGGATAGGCGAGGACTGGGAGGGAGCAGGGATGGGGGAGGGATATGCAGACTGATGATCATAGACTGATGCATTGCAGTAGTGGGATGGAATGGAAAGCAAGATGTCTCGGAGTTAAAATTTCAAGTCGTTATGGCAACGTAAATAGATGGTTTCACGTTTATTCACGCTATTTCGGATGCACAAGATCTTATAGTGCTGCCACGTGACGCGTGATGAAGACGCGTCTTATCTCGAAATTTCGGTAGGATAAATGTAGAGTATGAAGTATGAAAACCTCGAGTACATGAAGGTCGGACTATTCGAGAACAGATTATTCTAGAGTCTTGAAACTGGGAGCAATGTCATTATCACGTTAAAGGGGTCATATGATGCGATTTCAAGTTTTCCTTTCTCTTTGGAGTGTTACAAGCTGATTGTGCATAGATAAGATCCCTGATTCTGGGGGCTTTCCATTGTCTTATTCTTTGTTTGCTGCTTTTATTGCACGGTGCATGCAGTTTTAAATAAGGAGACGAACAGTGAGTACCAAACAAACTTTGAGCTTTTAATCCACCGCGTGCAAGCTCATTCACATGTGACCAATCACTGCCGATACCCACCAATCTCTTGCAGTGTTGCCAATTTAGCTACTTTGTAGCTAGATTTAGCGACTTCCCCGCCCCTTTTGAGACTTTTTCAAAAGTTTAGGGACAAATGTAGCAACTTCTTGGACAAACCTTATCTAAGTTTTCATCTTGCCCACTGATCTACGTTCATCTTTATATAGATCAGTGAATTTGCCATTGTCATGTCATCTAGTGACATTTAGCTACCAGTTTTAGCTACTTTCAATTGAAAGCAGTTGGCATTGGCAACACTGATCTCTTGCCGTAGTACCGTAAATTAGTTTCGCAAATATACAGTACCTACGTGAATATTACATCCATAGACTTCGATTACTTTTATACTGACCAAACAATCTATTTTCTATTCTCTAAACCAACCCTAACCCTAAACCTACCTCTTAGGCCTACAGAAAACCTGTTTGCATTGTTACACTTTCAGATAAACATCATTTACTATTTTTAATAATTTTTTCCCCTCGTGGGGACCGCAGACCGGTCCCCACAATGTCAAAAATTTCAGGTTTTATCCTTGTGGGGACATGTAGCATGAACAAGTACACACACACACTTTACATTGTTACAAAAATATCCTAAATGGTTCCCTTACGAAAATTTCCCATGGTTTTACAACAAATAAAAAACATACTATAGTTAAACCATGGTAACCACTATTTAACGTGGATTTTGCTATGCTAACCATGATAGCCTATTTGTAGTAAAACTGGTTATACAAATGATAGTCAATAAAAAAATAAAACATGGTTACTATACTATAATTAAACCATGATTCATTTTCTTAAGGGTTTTGAATCTCAGATGGGAAAAATGTTATGGGACTATATTATATTAGGCTATATTTAACACAAAATTAGTGGTCCATAACATATTTCAATATAGCGAAAAAACGAAGAGTAGGCTAATGTGAGGGGTTATAACGTCCCTTAAAACAGACCGATTAACCAATATTCCAGGCTGTGAAGTCCGATTTGAGAAATAATTATTTAAACCGGTTTTGTGAATTAGACCCGATTCATTAAAAGTTTTGACATGACAACGAATGATTCATTCACGAATTGAACTCACAAATATGAACCAAAGACCATAAATGTAGAAAGATAAGTAAGAAGGAAGTGAAAAGTTTTAGTGACTGAAATTTAATCTGTTGATAAAAAAGAAGATTGGAGATTGACAGTCTCAGTCCTCCTTAACTTTATTTAGAAGAGTGGTCAGGATATTCTTCAAAAATGCACATTGGGGGGGGGAAAGTAATAATTTGGGTCCTAGTTCCTTAAAGTTAGTTGTAATATGGTTTCTCACCTCTAGGGGGAACCACACATTCATTTATGAGGTGAGCCAAAATTATAGATGAATTATACTGTATATATATGAATTATACTATATATGAATTTCTTAATTTCCACACTGCAGATTTAGATTAAAATACATTTCTTTTATGTGAACTGCTCTTCCTGTTGTAATGTGGGGTTTGGTGTTTGGGTTTCATGTTCATGTTTTCCATGTCTTTTATTTTGTATTGTTTCACCCTGTTAGTGTCATGCTTCCCTTGCCCTCATGTATCTCTGCCTTGTGTATGTGTCATGTTCTGATTGGTTGTCTTAGTCATGTGTCTTGTTTCCCATTGGTTTATTCTTGTCTTGTGACCCTCTTGTCTGCTATAAGTGGCCATCATGTTCCCATTGTGCCTTGTCGTGTATTGATGTTGTAACCTGTTGTCAGTGAGTCAAGTCTTTTCATGCCTCGTCAAGTCTGTGTACCTAGTCTTTGTCTGTTTGGATGTTTGGATCACCTGTAAATAAACTGAACTTGGGTTCTTCACTACACTCGCCTTCAGTGGACTGGATTCGTTACACCTGTTTAATACTGTTTAAAGTCTGCGCTACATTTTTGTGTGTGACGAACCTCTTAATCTGCAAGATGACACGGAAGTGATTTTTTTTCCGCTTTAATTTTCTTTTACTTTACGGGTTAACATATAATTAACTGTTAACATGACAAAAATAATTGTGCACTAGAATGTGAGCATTGCATGATTAAAAAAAAATGCTTATCTCCGTAGCAAATAGAATGAACTCAACGGACCTACATTCTATTCTGACAATGACATCATAATAGTCATTGAAAAGAGCTTTACTTGGTATCTGACTGCTGTGATTGCTGCTTGCTTATCACTCATTCAAGCCAGTTTTGTTGTTGTTATTGAGAATCTTCACTCCAACATTTCAACATGTGGTACAGAGTGAGAAATACTGTTGTTTGTATAAAAGATTACAAGTTCTAATAAAATCTGATGTCAGTTACAGTTGGTGATTTATCAATAAATGCAATAAAAACGATCAAAAACATCGGTTCCTCAAATGAATATATTTTGATTGCCTTTTCAACTAGAAGAAAATATTAGGCTACTCATTTCATACAAATTTAAGGGTATAGTGCACCCTTTTTGGTACCTAATTTCCAATTGTCACAGTTGGTCTTCGTGAGGGAGTTCTCATAATAAACTTGGTACAGTTCAAAAGTTTGAGATCGGTGAGATTTTAAATGTTTTTGAAAGAAATCTCTCATGCACACTAAGATTGCATACAGTAAAAACAATACTATTGTGAAATATTATTAGGCTAATATTTAAAATGTATTCTATAAAAAAAAAGACACTACTCCGCAGACAATACTCCAGATGATTAAATCATAGCCTATTTGGTGCTCAAGAATAATGACTTATTATAAATGCTGAAAATGGTTGCGCTGCTAAATATTTTTTGTGGAAACCATGATTTTTTCAGGATTCTTTGAGTAGAATGTTAAAAAGAACAGTATTTATTTAAAATAGACATCTTTCGTAACATTATAGGCTACAGTCTTTACTGTCACTTTTGTTAAATTTAATGCAGGGACCATGCAATATGAGGAGATGAAAAAGTGGCCTTTAGGACCTGGATGTTTGCGGAAACTTCACATTATATTCTGTGACGTGAAGTCAGCTGCTGATAGAAAATATTACACTTAAAACTTTGTTGAATAATGGCTTGAATCATTATAAAATATATAATGCTTTAATGACATTCTTTAAAAAAGTAGATCTGTTTAACAGGATTTAGAAGGGTTTAATTTTTTTTATATATATATTTTATTGATTTTTATTTATTTAGTTCTTCCTATTCCAGCAATGGTTCACTCTCCAGCCCAGTAGGTGGCGGGAATGCACCTATCGTTTGTTTGCCAACCGCCATAAAACTCCAAAAGAAGAAGAAGAAGAAGACGTCAGCTGCAAATAACTACAGGCCCATAGTATTAACATCGAATCTTTGTAAACTGATGGAACGTATGGTAATGAGCAGATTGGTGCATAGCATTGAGAAGAAAAACCTTTTCTCCCCATACCAAAGTGGTTTCCGGAAAGGGTGAAACACAATGGGCTCTGTTTGGAAGCAGAAATAAGAAAGGCACAAGAAAACAAAGAAGTGTTAGTAGGAGTTTTTTTCCATGTTGAAAAAGCATATGACATGATGTGGAAAGAGGGACTTTTAATAAAATGAGAAAGAATGGAAATAAAAGGAAGAATGTGTAATTGGATCAAGAATTTCTTGTTTAAAAGAACTATACAAGTTAGAGTGGGTTCTGCATTATCTCAGATATATCCAGTAGAGAATGGAACACCTCAAGGAAGTGTTAGCAGTTCTGTTCTGTTTAATCTAATGATTGATGATATATTTACACAGATAGACATGGTGATAGGAAGGTCCTTGTATGTAGATGACGGTGCACTGTGGAAAAGAGGGCGCAATGTGGGGCATGTGGAGAAGTGTATGCAGAATGCTGTTAAAAAAGTTGAGAATTGGGCTAATGAATGGGGATTCTGTTTTTCTGTAGCAAAAACTCAGGTAATCTGTTTTACAAAAAGGAAAATCAATCCAATTATGAATATTAAAATGTATGGTCAAAAATTGGAGCAGGTGTCAGTAATTAGATTTCTGGGAATGTGGATGGATTCAAAACTGGATTTTAGAATTCATATGACATTAAAGTGTCAATGAGTAAAGCAGAAGTAAAAGGGTTAATTGCAAATGAAATAAGAAAGAAATGGCAGAAGGAGTGGGATAGTGGAACAAATGGTAGACACTTTCATCATGTTCAAGAGAAAGTAGGTCAAGAAAGAGGAAAGTTTGGCAACAGGAAAGAAGATGTTTTAATGTCAAGAATGCGTATTGGACATTGTTCGTTAAATCAGTGTCTGTATAGAACGGGGAAGCATGAAACTGGAAATTGTGACAAATGTGGTCATGCAGAATCAGTAGAACATGTACTTATAGAGTGTGATGCATATGAAGGAGCGAGATTTCAACTAATTCAAGCTTTAGGATCATTCGGAATAAATCATTTGTCACTTCAGGTTCTGTTAGGAAATTGCCCAAAGCAATCAAGAATATTTCATGAATTAATTATTTTCTTAAAAGAAACAAGACTGATCAATAGAATTTAGGATACAGTTGTAGTAAATAAAGCGGGAATAATTGGCCTTGTATTTTTGTGTTGTTTTTTGTTTTTGTTTTTGGCTATAGTTCTCAAACTTCCAATTATTATGCGCTCCACACTCCTATCCAGTAGGTGGCGGGAATGCACCATTTAAGTTGGTTTGCCAACCGCCATTAAATTTAAAAGAAGAAGAAGAAGACGTCAGCTGCTGCAAGCAAACATGGAGGACGGCGGAGTGCTGGTTGAGAAACCTCAGGTGAGATGTAATGTTGTGATTTTAAGTATTTTACAAAGAGAGGGGAGGCGTACACGCCGTTATTATCTGTAAAAAGTTCTAGTCTATATAAGCAAAACATATATAGAGTGAGAACACTAGTCTAAAGCTTACAATAAACAGTGAAAAGATACCGATTCATTCAGTTCGCTGCAAATGCTCAGTCATGCCATTCTCTGACAGCGGCTAACGTTAGCATGTGTGCTCACGAAAATAACAGATGAGTAGCGATCACTGCGAATATGTAGAGTTTAAAACTTCATATTTGATCATATTAGAATTGTATATGACCTCTTTGAATACATTTCTAAACATGTTCACAACATTAACCAGTTATGCTATTGCTTAGCCATGTAGCATTCAGTTTATCATCTGTATTTTGTTTAATAACATTTGTCTTTAGTATCTTTTTATAAGAGAAGTTATTAAGAAGCTTTATATAACGCTTTACAGAACGGTAGTGTTTGTATATTCAAATTTGAATATGTATAAATAATACAGCAGGGTAACTGCTTGAATATGCATTCATTATGATGTGCTTTACCGTGTGTAATAGTTTTGTAATTGTAATTCATGTAAATTGTGTATTTTATCAATATTAGTTTTATTATGAATTTCTTGGCTTGTACAGTTAATGTGCGTAACAGTTAATTTGTTGTCTTTTTTTTCTCTACAGGAGGATGTGCCGGCCCTGCTAAATTCAAGGCCCCAGACCGGCTTGTCTTTCTTGTATAAATAATACAGCAGGGTAACTGCTTGAATATGCATTCATTATGATGTGCTTTACCGTGTGTAATACTTTTGTAATTGTAATTCATGTAAATTGTGTATTTTATCAATATTAGTTTTATTATGAATTTCTTGGCTTGTACAGTTAATGTGCGTAACAGTTAATTTGTTGTCTTTTTTTCTCTACAGGAGGATGTGCCGGCCCTGCTAAATTCAAGGCCCCAGACCGGCTTGTCTTTCTTGGCTCCTGAACCAGAAGATCTGGAGGACCTTTACAGTAGATATAAGGTTTGAATGTTTGTGAGGTGTTTTATTTATTTATTTTTAAATGTGTGTGATTGACATGCTACTAGTTTATCACAGTATTGACCGCTGAATATGGACTCTACCACACTTGTTGACACGTAATCACTTCCACACTGCAGAAGTTGCAGCAGGAGCTGGAGTTTCTGGAGGTGCAGGAGGAGTACATTAAAGATGAACAGAAGAATCTGAAAAAGGAGTTTCTTCATGCCCAAGAGGAGGTGAAGAGGATACAGAGCATCCCTCTGGTTATTGGGCAGTTCCTGGAAGCAGTCGACCAGAATACTGCTATTGTGGGCTCAACCACAGGTAAGAGGACTGATCAGTATAGGGTTTGTGCAGGTCTTAAAAAGGTCTTAATTCACCTTTTCTTAAATTAAGGTCTAGTAAGGCCTTAAATCTGAGCAGAAATTCTCACATTCATGAAGCCATGCCATTAAATGTTGCATGCACTGCAAAAAATGATTTATTTTTCAGTATTTATGTTTTCCAATTCAAATATATAAACATCCTTAAATCAAAATACATTTACTTGAGATGCGAAATGAAGATATGAAATCTTGTTTTCTGAGAAATTGAACAAAATTGTTTATGCATAAAACAAGAAAAGATATCAGTGAGGTGTAAAAACTGGTTTTCCCTTTGAATTAAGCTGATTTTTCTGACACCATTGGCAGATATTTGTTCTTGTTTTAATCATAAACCGATTTATGATTACAGAATTATCAATCTACTCCAATTTCTGAATTTTCAAAACTGTTTAATATAACATGTATAATGTAGTTTCAAATGTATACTCTATGCAAGCACTGTAAGTTTCTTTGGATAAAATCATGCCCGATGCTTAAATGTGCATTTGAAATTTGTAAATGTTTATTAGTTCAAACTACAATGTCAATAATACTGTGTGCTTTTGATTCCTTCAGGCTCCAATTACTATGTTCGGATTTTGAGCACAATTGACAGAGAGCTGCTGAAGCCCAATGCCTCTGTTGCTCTGCACAAGCACAGCAATGCTCTGGTGGATGTTCTGCCTCCAGAAGCTGACAGCAGCATCATGATGCTCACTTCAGGTATTCTTTGTTTATCCTGTATTAGGGATCTAGATTGCACCTTATTTCTGAAAAGCTCTTGCACCAGCTTTATTGTTGTCACTTTTAATGTGTTTCCTCTCTATTTGACCCCAGATCAGAAGCCAGATGTGATGTACGCAGACATCGGAGGAATGGACATCCAGAAACAGGAAGTGAGGGAGGCTGTGGAGCTCCCCCTCACACATTTTGAGCTCTATAAACAGGTGAGTCTATGCACGCAAGTGCCTGTGGGTGTGTAGCAGTCTTGGTTGTCCAATCACATTCTGCTTCTGTTCTCAGATTGGTATTGACCCACCCAGAGGAGTGCTCATGTATGGCCCGCCTGGCTGTGGAAAGACTATGTTGGCAAAAGCTGTGGCTCACCATACCACAGGTAGGCTCAAGTGTGGTTAGAGGCCTTTCAGCCTTTATGCCTAAATTTGATTTATTATTGAGCTTTAAAGCTCATTCCTGAACACAGACAGAAATAAATGACTCGATCAGAAGCACATGGTTATATTACAACTTTTCTAATTGTGATTTAATGTTCTACAGCGGCCTTTATTCGTGTGGTGGGATCTGAGTTTGTGCAGAAGTATCTCGGAGAGGGTCCACGCATGGTGCGAGATGTCTTTCGACTGGCCAAAGAGAACGCCCCGGCCATTATCTTTATCGATGAGATTGATGCGATTGCTACCAAGCGATTTGATGCACAGACTGGAGGTATGCATCCCTATATATATATATTGATAATAATAAAAAATATTTCTTAATTGATAAGTAATATTTCTTGAACACTAAATTAATATATCAGTTTGATATCTGAGGGATCTTTTAACACTAAGGACTGGAGTAATGGCTGCTGAAAAGTTGGCTTTGCAATTTAAGGAATAAATAAAATTTTTAAATGAAAAATTATTTTAGTCTGTAATAATATTTCACAATATCACTGTTTTCACTGTTTGATCAAATAAATGCAGCCTTGTTGAGCATAAGAGACTTCTTACAAAAACATTAAATTACTGACTCCAAACCTTTGAAAGGTAGTTTACATATTGCACAAAAAATCCTTTCATGACATCCTGACGGAGACCGTTTTTTGTTTTAATGAGTTTTGTTTGCTCATTTTTCTGTTTTCTATGTTTGTAGCTGATAGAGAAGTGCAAAGAATCCTGCTTGAGCTGCTCAATCAAATGGATGGGTTTGACCAGAATGTGAACGTGAAGGTTAGAAAAAACATTTTGGTTATTCTTTATAATTTTAAACATATTTTTATGGGAAAAAAGACATGGAAAATAACATGAGAATATTTAGAGAAAATTTATTTTTATATATATTTTAACTACACCCCCACCCCCCCAAAGCATCCAAAAATTCAATTACACCGGTAAAGAAGTTATTACACAAAGGCTAAGACAGACATATCCACATATTTTCACATACAAAAGCGCAACATACATTCACATATCAATCAATCAAAGTGAGAGGTATTTAACATTGCCTGTGCAAATATTTGGTTATTTTCCAGAAGCTGTATAAACGGATCCCCAAATTTTATGGTAGTTCTTTAGTTTGCCCTTTTATACTGTAGGTTATTCTTTCCAATACAATATAATGTGCCAGATCTTTCAACCAATGATCAATGGATGGACCTTCTATGTTCTTCCAGTAGAATGCTACTAAATGGCTTCTCTTTTTCATTCAGAATGTTTAGGACTCGCCTAATATTATGAGTAACCTGACCATTCTTGATAAATCCATTTTGGTCTATACCTATAACAGATGTTAGACATTTCTCTAATCATGTTTGTAGAAAGGTTGCTTCAATCTTAAGATGTTTTCAGCTTTTGTTATGGAGAGGGTATGGTATTGAACCCTGAGTTTAAGAAGTTTATGATTTATATTATTTGAAATGTCTAAATAAGCCTTTTCCTCGGCAAGCTTGATTTCTTTTTCTAATAAATTTAATTCCAGCTTAAGTTCATTAGTTTTTGACCTGTTATAACAAATGATCTGACCTTGGATATATGCCTTGAATGCTTCCCACCTTACAGTAGCTGACATTAAATTTTTATTCTTTAAAAAAAAAAAATATTTATCTGTATTACATTGAGTTTGATAAAATCAGGATCATGTAACCATTTCGGGTGCAGGTGCCAGTGACAAGTTTCCTTCATATCACTTATTGATTTATAAGCTAAAGAAACTGGACTATGATCTGACATAACAATAGAGTCATGCTGACATAATGTTACTCTTGGAAAGAGCTCATTATAAATTAGAAAAAAAGTCAATATGAGAATGACCCTTCATCACTGTAGAACAGCATGAATATGTTCTTTTATTAGGGTATAACCTTCGCCATGGGTCACACAGATTAAGTCCTATTTCTATTCTTAGACTATGTGTGTTGTGTCTAAACCTGTTGAGCGGTTAAGGCTAGGAGATAATGTGCAGGTAAATTCTCCAGCAATTAGCAATTTTCCTGGTAAAGAAGACAGTAGAAGAAATAATTTTGCAAAAAAAACTTAGACAATCTGTATTTGGTCCATACACATTTGCCAAAATAATGTTTTCATTAAATATAGAGCCTTGAATTATTATGTAACGTCATGCTGTGTCCTGTAAAATCGTAGATACGTTAAGTGGAATTGACTTATGTATTAAAATCATAACCCCCCTAGAGTTAGGAGAAAATAAAGCTGAATAAATTTGGCTATTCCAGTGCCTTTGTATTGGCACCATCATGTCATTTGAAGAAATATGTCATTCTTGCAAAAATACAGTTGAGGGATTAAATTGTTTGATTCTAGTCATTACTTGCTTAATTTTAGTTAATTTCCCCAAACCTCTCACATTCCACAATGTTATTTTTAACTCTGAATTGGATTCCATTACAGTATTAGTGCATAAATTGAGAAGTGCTCGCCAGCACATGAACGTCTTGACACAAAAACTGAAGATTCAACACTTTGTGCAGCATAGCGCGAATCATGAGTATGTGTTCTACCGTCATATGCTCCCACAAACAAATGGCTCAACATATTAGAAATTGAACAACAGCCTATAGCAACAACTGAAAAATCCAAGAGCAATCAGCTTCTCAGATTCAAAGTATTCTGTGAATTATAATAAAGACAATAACAGAAAAATGATAGAGATAATTAGAAGTCACTGACCACAACCATACTGAGTCTCTTTGAGTCAATCAGTCCTATTTCACTCTAAATACATTATCAGTCCCAAACGAGATGAGATAAAGAAAAAATATTTAGTTACGTGACATTTTCTTTCCCCTTATTCGGTCTTACTGGTTGAAGGATTGCAAATGAACTTTTCCACCTCATCTGGGCTCTCAAATATATGATCTCGTTCTGTGTGCGTGATGCGCAGCTTCGATGGAAAAATTTTTCATATCGGATGTCCATGGCTTTAAGCGTTTGCTTCACTTCGTAGTATTTTTCATCTTTTCAAATGTGTCCCTTTGTGCGATATCTTGTAAAAAAAATTTGTAACTTTGCGTTCATTGTATGTTACCTTGCCTTTAGCCCACCCGATTTGTAGCGCTTTGTCTTTATCCTTGAATTCAAGAAGCGCATAATGAGTATTCTGGGAGTGTTTCCGTCTCGATGGTCCTGTAGGCGGTGCACTCTTTCAATGGTTATCGGGTTGGTAAAAGAATCCTGTCCCAATACCTATAGCAGTCATCTATGGAGGAATCCCACCTTATCTGCGCCCTCAGGGAGACCCACAAGACGCACATTAATGCGACCGCTTAGATTTTCCTTTGAAGTTTCACCTGTTGCTAAAGATTGTCTACAGTACTTTGCAGTACGGACACCTGATCTTCTGTTACTGATACGTTGTTCCGCCGTAGATGGTCTGTTAGAAAATTCCTTGACTTCTTGTTTAACCTCCTGTATGGCTAAGGGGATTCCTGTAAATTTGACTGAAAAGTCTTCTCTCATACTTGTGATTGCACTCGTAATGTTACTCTCTAGATTTTTGTCGATATTTGTGCTGGCTTCTATACCCTCGTATGTCAGGCTAGCTTGGTGATTAGCAGACTCAGCGTTGGCGACATATTGATTTCCATGTTTTTTTTCCGTTGTACGTTATGTTGTTTACAGTGATTTATATGTATTTGTTCAGTTTGAGGTGATTTAAGAAAGAAATTGCCGAATGTTGTAGGAGCTTAATGGACACGTCATGTTGCCGACATGTTGGATCCCCTTGGTTTTTTTGGGGGTTTTTTCAATTATGTTGCACTTCTCCTTCTGTTCTGCTTTAAAACCATTTCAGCCATTGTTGACGGTCTGTTTGTTTTTTCAATGACAGGTTATCATGGCCACCAACAGGGCTGACACACTGGATCCAGCTCTGCTGCGCCCAGGTAGACTGGACCGTAAGATTGAGTTTCCTCTTCCTGACCGGCGACAGAAACGGCTGGTGTTCTCCACCATCACCAGCAAGATGAACCTCTCAGAGGAAGTTGACCTGGAGGACTGTATCCTGAACCTACATGAATTTTCTCATTAAATTATTCATTTGGAATATATATATATATATATATATATATATATAACCGTATTAACACTGCCACAAAAAAAAGATTATATTCTCAAAATTTTTTTTTAAAACAAATTAGTATGTTTGTTCAGCACAGATTCATTAAATGAATCAAAAGTAACAGCCAAGAAATTTTATGATTTTGGTGTCAAATCTTGAAAAAAAAAAGTGTCTGCTTTGATGATTTTTAATAAATATTTCTTGAACAAATCAGCATGTTAGAATATTCAGATTTACCCTTACAAGAATAATTTATTTTTAAATTTGAGTAATTTTTCACATTATTGCTGTTTACACTGTATGAAATAAATGCAGCTTTGGTGAGCATAAGACACTTTCAAAAACATTTAAAAAAATGTTTTTACAGTCTCTTGATTTAGAAGACTGTTATGCCAGACTTTCAAAACCAAATAAACGTTATACAATTGTCCTTAACCAAAATGCAGATGTTGCCAGGCCTGACAAGATCTCTGGTGCAGATATCAACTCCATTTGCCAGGAGGTGAGTTAGGACAGACTGTATGTTCATAAAAAAAAAATGGTCTTATATATTTTTATTTGTATTTTATTTGTGATCAGAATTTCTTCAAACATATATGTTTTTCTGTTATGATTAATCATGTTACTTGTCTACAGGCTGGTATGCTGGCTGTGCGTGAAAACCGGTACATTGTGCTGGCTAAGGACTTTGAGAAGGCTTACAAGACTGTTATCAAGAAAGACGAGCAGGAACACGAGTTCTACAAGTAGAATACACCTCGACTAGATATCGGCATTAGATTTTACCCTGTTTGTTTCAGCCTTTATTTGTACGTACAGTGTAATATTGAGGACATAAAACTTGAACCTTGATTTAAATCTTAAGGGTTTACACTGCTTGTACTGGGACTTTGATTTCACAAGATTGTTTCAGATTCACATATATAAAATATGGATGGAAAAACAAACATGTACATCTGGTGAGCATTTTATGTATTCTGTTTAATGACTCCTCAAAGAACCATTAAAATGTTTTCCATAACGACTCTATATAAAGATGTTTTTGATGATAACCCTAATGTGTGCTGGCAGATAATAGTTTCTGTGTGGACCCTGTTTGTTTCAGCCTTTATTTGTACGTACAGTGTAATATTGAGGACATACAACTTGAACCTTGATTTAAATCTTAAGGGTTTACACTGCTTGTACTGGGACTTTGATTTCACAAGATTGTTTCAGATTCACATTATATAAAATATGGATGGAAAAACAAACATGTACATCTGGTGAGCATTTTATGTATTCTGTTTAATGACTCCTCAAAGAACCATTAAAATGTTTTCCATAACGACTCTATATAAAGATGTTTTTGATGATAACCCTAATGTGTGCTGGCAGATAATAGTTTCTGTGTGTTTCTGCTAAGAAATTAACAGGATGTTGATATTTAACAACTAAACAAGTTTCACCCTGCAGGTACTGGTGCTTATTTTCAAAAGCTAATTGTCGATAATGTGTCCTGTAATGTCAATTCATGTCTGTAAAGACAGATGAAAAATACATCTGTTGAGGCTTTTTGACCTTTAATGACCTTTACTTTAATGATTATTCAAAAGCCTTTTTTTATTTCTGAAATTTGGTCTGTTCAATTCAATCTGTAGGAACAAATCAAATCTTGTCCATACAGTTTAGAATACATAATTGTTTGGAATACAAAATTCTGTCTGAAGTGAAAAGTATAACTTTTCCGCAATTTAAATGTTAAAAAATAAAAAGTTCTGGAATTGTAGATTGATGAAAATTCAATGAACTCTTAATGTTCAATTTAAAAATAAAATCAAAACACTTGAATTAAAAAAAAGAAGAAATATTTTATTTGTTTATGCTGTGCGTCCTCATTTTTTGTGTAATTATAACCGCCTACAATTCCACAACCTGGACTTCAAGAGCAATAGGCTTTTTTAGAAAGGAAAATGTTAACGATAACAAAGGAATTAGGAAGAATTTACAACATTTTGTAAATATTATGTAATCGGGTAATCATTCTAAAACTACAATAATTGTACGTATTTAATAATTACAAAAAAATGAATCTGATTTTGTAATCCAGATTACATATAACTAGTTACTACCCGGCACTGCATATAAACATAAATCACCTGATGTTTCTGAGAAACCTTCTGAGAATGCAATTAAACATTTATTTCAAACCAAACCTTTTTGATGATGACTTTCACTTTCCTTGTTTTGGTTCACAAGCATTTCAGCCTCCATTTGTATTACTGACTTTTACCACAAGATGGAGTTTGGTAATAAATAAAATGTGCCTAGACCATCTGAGTGTTGTGCATTGCAGTTCACTTATCAGTGTCCATAGTGATATACCTTGTAGACTAATCAACCCACCATTGTCTTGTACATTCAGGTTTGTCTGAAAGAACAGGTTCAGCAGGTCTGGATGGTTTTAGGACAGATCATGTGAAAGATTATCTCTTGTGCCGCCACCCTACAATGTAACATCACTACAAAACTCTGCTCTTTAATATCACTTATGAAAAAGCTTAAATTGGCATTTAGGTGTATTTTAGTAAATGCAATTAAAAAATAATTATCTCACCCAGTTATTTGGAGTTGCTGTCCATTAGGCTCAGTCATGTTGCACAGCTTTATTTATTGTATGCTGTCATTTTCCTCAGTTTATCAGTTGGCAAAAGTTCATCAGTTACCAGTAATTATGGTTGGATTATGATCTTACCTGCACTTGATGTTCAACTAATAAATATGTTTTGGACTTTGAGACAGTGACTTTGTTTGCACCTTATTTGGACTGACAGGAATGATACTGAATGATCTATAAATGATTGTATAGATAAATGATTATAGTTCAGATGATGTTCTCAAGTCCACTATATTAATTTGCTGATGTGATTTTGTCACAGACTAATATGTTTACTAGTATGTAAAAATGTTTCCACCAATCATCCTGAGGTGACAACAGAAGTTTGAAGATTCTGTTTCGTTTAAAAACATAAAGGATTTACAGGACAAACTCAATTTTGAGGTAATGAAGTGGCTTTCATGCCTGACTTGTAATTTGGTTTCTGGTCCTGTTATTGGTTGTTAAATGATCAGTTTCTGTTTTTATACGTCTTTAAATAAGTTGTTTTGGGTGGAGGCATGTTATAATGAATTAATTATTATATATATATATATATATATATATATATATATATATATATATATATCATGCTTGCATATTTACATCTATTGTTTCAGTTAGTTTGCAGCTTTTGGCTATTGTCTATTTTAACATCAGTGTTTACTGAATTATTACTGTGTTTTTATATGTTTTAGTAAATAACTAATGATGTTCAGTAAAATTTCTGCATTATGCTTAGTATTTTTGAACTGGTTTCTTTCATCAGGTAAGTCTGGTATTCGGTTTCTTAATATTGCCCAACATAATGACACTGAACTTAAAGTAAACAACAGGCTCTGCAATTCAGGTCAGATAAATATCTATAACACCTGATAAGAAGATTGTCATGTGTTATTGTAGTATTAGGTGCTGGAGAGGACAAAAGTGTGTTTTGTGTTTATTATTTGTGTACCCTCCCCCTAAAATCTATTAAGAAGTTTCGTTGTACAATAGACATGTGCGGTATTCGGTAATGCTGTATATCACGGTAATGAATATGTTAACATCAGTGTTTACTGAATTATTACTGTGTTTTTATGTTTTAGTAAATAACTAATGATGTTCAGTAAAATTTCTGCATTATGCTTAGTATTTTTGAACTGGTTTCTTTCATCAGGTAAGTCTGGTATTCGGTTTCTTAATATTGCCCAACATAATGACACTGAACTTAAAGTAAACAACAGGCTCTGCAATTCAGGTCAGATAAATATCTATAACACCTGATAAGAAGATTGTCATGTGTTATTGTAGTATTAGGTGCTGGAGAGGACAAAAGTGTGTTTTGTGTTTATTATTTGTGTACCCTCCCCCTAAAATCTATCAAGAAGTTTCGTTGTACAATAGACATGTGCGGTATTCGGTAATGCTGTATATCACGGTAATGAATATGCACGGTATTGTTATCGTGGGCACTTCTAAATACCGTGAATAATTATATATTACAAATTATTCCGAATTTTGAATGCATTTTAAGAATACTTTTCCCATCAACTGGTCAAAATGCACAACACTGCTGTATGCTGTATGCTGGTGAGAAGCGCATTGTGAGAGACGCTATGGATGAAAGAGCACTTTCACTCTCTGACAGCAGAAGGCGCTAAACTGCAAAAATGCAGCCGTTACCCCGGAAACAAAGCAGCAGCACTACTTTCTGTTTCTGAAACGAGTTTAAATGATTTAAACAGCCATTCAGATTTGTGTGTTTGCTATGATGTTCATCACAGCGCCAAATACTTAAATATTTAGACTTAATAGGCTATTTATTTTCTAACTTTTTTTTTACATTTTAATCTGGACTACAACATGCCCTAGATATTGTTTTGATTCTTTATTGTTCGGTCACACTTTACATTAGGGCTTCATTAGTTAACATTAGTTAATTCATTAGTTAACATAAACTGCCAATGAAGAATTCTTCTGAACATTCATTAATCTTAGGTATTCCAATATTTAATAACACGTTGGTGAAATCGAAAGTTGCAACCGTGTTATTTAATGAGCTAACATGAACTAAGACTTGTATTTTTTTAACAAAGATTAATAACTTCTGTAGCAAATGTAGCTATTGCTCATCGTGAATGTTAATGCATTAACTAAGGTTAACTAATGAGGTCTTATTGTAAAGTGATGCCTATTAGCCTTTATAGTTCTTTTGCACTTTAATCTGTGTAAAACTTTTAACTTTATACATTTTTTGTATTGCTTTATTGTATTTAAATGTTCAGTTATTTTTGTTATAAGGAAAAAGTTATTAAACCTGTTATACTGTATTATGACAACACTTATTTTTTTTTTAAACTAAAGTTCAATATCGTGATAATACCGTATACCATGATAAAAGGATGAGCAATTAATCGCAACATAAAAATTTGATACCGGCATATCCCTATTGTACAATATCTGGTTGTGTATGTCAAGCATCTGTGTTCTGGACCGTTCACCCTGATGGCTCTATTTTCACCTTTTGCCATTCAAATTCATTGTATTTTGCCGTGTAGAAACCTTTTGCGTAAATAATTGGTTGGTAGTTTGCCATTGGCAGAACGGTTTAAGTAAATTTCCTAGTGGATAGATCAAATTTGGCTATTTAAACACTTCTTGGAAGGCATCATGAAGAAAGAAATTTCTTTGAAGATGATGTAATTTATAGTCTGACGATGAGGCTTAAGAAACCTTGACTTTTTGTCATCCTTTTGTAGGTGATTTATAAACCGCTTAAAGACCAGAAATATTTTTTAAACCCTGTGTGATTTGTTCATTTGGAAAATAAAATTCTTTGTATTTGCCTTTTAGAGTCATCATTCAGGTTAGTTCTTAAGTGCATTTAGATAAGAAAGTACTTCCAGCTAGTCCTGTTTTACTTATTGCACAGCTATTCCTGATAATAAATTGCTGTGCTTTGTTTTCCTGTGAGAGTCTTTGACTCCTTTTTTTTTTTGTTATGGGTTGACGTTTTTAGTCCCATAGGAGCTTATCGCTTGGTTACAGATCCAAGCAGCAGGTTGTCCTGCTCGCTCTATGGGTTTTGCTCTCCCTGTAGCTTTGTGGCATATAGGGCACAAAGTAGGAACAGCAAAATGCAAAATGGGTCAGTGAAAATGTGTGGTTTTATGTGGAATCTCATTTTAAACCATCAAGGTCAAAGAAATTATATCCGTTGAGGGTTAATGGATAATTTCTGCTCTACAGTGGCACTGCAGCAGAGTCAAAAGCAAAATGTTTGCTGGCCTTATAACATTCTAACTTTGAGAAATGGTACGAGTTTTAGGCATTGAAAACCATTTGAGTTTTTTTCTGAAGAACTTAATATGTTCCTGACTTTGCTTACTAATATTTGGCATCTGTCAGTTGCAGTTCTTATGTAACAAGGGAATTAACCAA